CGTACGCTCTACTTCTCTTTGAATGCTATCCTCCAGTATGTTCCCCATGAATGCGCAAACACGTTCGACGTTTAGACGATGGCATTCATTCAGGCGCAATTATACAGTACTTGATTGTCTACGTAGTACATGGGAGTCGGACTTCTTCGTTTGCTTTCAAATTTTTATCAAGATAAAAGGCACCTGCGAAATGTCATCAGTAATGAAACATTCAAATATATGGCTCTCATAGTATACCTCGACATCCTCCATCTCTTCATCCATGAGCATGACTTCAACCAGAAGGTGATTGGTGTGCGGGGGGATAGGCTTCTTGCTCACGTGCTCTACCAGCCTACTGAATTTCATGGGCATCCTCTCTGCGCTCTAAATGATTCACATGAGCACCTGTCATGGGTTAATCGCATGCAATACGAACCTTCTTCTTGTCGGTGAACGAACTCCAGAGCATGCTCACGCCCTGACTAACCATGCTGACATCTAAGTTGTGGTGAGTCTTAAACCAAGTGATGAACTCCTTGAGCGTCGGGTCATTCTTGAACTCCAACCGGTCCCAAAGGGTCCACTCAGTGTTTTGGTATTTGTTCTTTGGGGCAGCGATGGGCTCTGAGAAACCGAAGAAAGGCAAAGCAAGGTTGATAAAACCGTTCTTGAAGTCATCTAACTTGTTCTTCCCGTCTATGATCTACAAAGCACACCCGTCAGCGCACCCGACCGGTAAGGAAGACAAACATCTTGCCTTGTAAAGCTCAAGACACACCAGACCGACAACGAGCGCGGTGGTGGTAGCGATGGCAGGAATGATTTTGCCTGCTATCTGCTTTGTGGAATGACGATCGGCGACGGTAATGTTGTAGTTCATCGCACGAAGGTTTGACGCAGCAGTGATGAGATCGATGTGATGGTTAGTGTCATCGTCCTTCTCAAACTCGACGGGAGTGAGACGATAGCCAGCGAGCGACGAAGGAGGAGGCAGCTTCTTGACCAAGTCGGAGACGTTGTCAGGATCTGAAAGGAATCACGCTCTGCAGGTGACAGTCTTAAAATGAGTGAACGTACCAGAAGACGACTGATTGACGGGGTCGTTTTCAGTAATCTGGATGGTCACTCCGCTCTTCGGAGAGAACTCGGGAACGATCACAGAGTCTGCAACCCTCTTGAAGACTGCAGGATCAGTCTCTCCTCGGAGGCCATAATTATAGGCATGAAGATTGGCTGCGGCAATGATGAAAGAAAGATGTGTGGGCTGAGGAAAATAATCAGCATGTCAAGGTCTAGTAACATGCTGGCTGACATACATCTGAAGAGTCGAACACAAGTGGGTCTGGTGCTCTCTTCGGCCCACTCCAGAACGGCTGGCCCGTGCTGGTGACATGATCCTTCGGAAGACTGTGCAGAAGCTGCCGGATAGCGTTGTTAAACTTCTCCTCGAACTGCAGACGAGCCCAGATAATACACTCCTCAAAAGTCAACGGCTTGTTGGTAACCAAATATGAAACAATCTGGGAGATGTGGTCATGTGATTGGCCCGAGTATTTGAGGGAATTCTCAAGGTAGTTGGGCTCCGAAAGATACTGATTAACAGATTCCACAGGCTTAACAAACATTGCGTCAAACTCTTGCCGAGCCCACTGTATTGTTATTAGTCCATGCTGGTCAAGAAAAAACTGAAGAGCACACCTCAATCGTGTGTGTAATGGCGTTCGGGAAGTTTTTAACTGTGCATGACAATGTCTGCTTCTCTGGGGGATCTTGCGAAGACGAGTACGACTCGGTGAGATGGGGAATCACAACTTGGGTATTGCCTTTCGTGCCCATGGTACCAGATTCTAGGAGCGGCTTTTCATACAAAATGCAACGCTGATCCATGTATACACCTACGACATGTGCCGTCAGACGAATATCACAGAGAACTAGAGAGAGCCTTACGTGCAGCAACGTTATCCAATGCATTTGTAACACCGTCGAGCCCCGCAAAGAAGTTGTCATCGAAGACATCTTTGGAGAAATTCAAAATGGGGACAATACAAAAGGTGATGAGTGACTGACTTTCTGTCGCCTGACCAACAGGATCTTGTCTACAGAGAATATGGCCCTTGAGAGCTGGATTCATATCTGCAACCGCTGCCGCTGCAACTTCAGACTTAAATTTCCCGAGATCTTTGGCGCGGAAGAGGAATTGCCGGTTCAGGTTGCTCTTTTCGATGGTGTCTAGGTCGGTGACATGGATCGTAGCGTCGGGCCCGGTAGCGAGACCCATCATGCTCCAGTTCTTCAACATCTCACACCCGATTGCTCCTGCACCAACGAGGAACTGACGGTGATTGGCAAGCTTGTCCTGGAAAGACTTGCCAAACACTGCAATTTGCCCATCATACCGGCTGCCAAGTGGTTGGCAATCCTGCTCATTCGGCAGTATAGTTGGCAACGACTCCAAAGAATCGAAATACAAGTGCTGGAGCATAGGATGGAACTTCGCAGAGCATGCTTTCAGCACTTCCTGTGCCACAAAACCACCGATTACAGCTGCAACGGGCGGTAAATCACCAGTCGCTTGGTATGCCAGCTCTGTGATAATCTTCTCATCAGCATCAACATCTATTTTCTTCGCCAAAGCTACCAGGGAAGTAGCATCTTTTGCGTTTCGGGGTCGAGGTAGACACTGGTGTTTCGCCTTGAATTGTGATAAAGCTTGGAAACCTGCATGGAGAGTAGCAGGCCTATCGAACTTGGCGAAGTCTGTCATAAAGAACTCTGGAGCTGCAAGCGACTCTCGCAAGGATTTCTGGAAAGAAAGTGAATTGTAATCTAATGAAACCGGAGTATAACTTACAAACTGGAGGATTTTGGGCATTTTCACCTGGGTAAAGATCCCACCTCGGACATACTCTCCCAGGTCAGAAGTATCACCGATGGCGAAAGTATATGGACCCTTCACTGTTATTTTGCGAGGATTACAACCATTCAGCTCAGTCATGCCCTGCACTTCAGTGAATGTGACAAAATCGCCATCTTCAAGGCCGTGTCTTGATTCATCGAGGCATGTTACCAGTCCTTCCTTGTCCTGTGTAATGATAGTATGGATAGGACGTCGCAGTTATAGTCCATAAGACTTACTTTTTCCACTGACACGATCATTCCGGTAAGAGCTTGCTCGCCTGTAGGATCCACGCAAGTGAATTTTGGACCAAAGTCGTTAAATACGGAGCTGATCGCGATCAATGACATATAAAAGGGTGTCACAGCCGTCACGTACCCAAAAAGACCATGGGTCTCCGCTGAGATAAAGTGAACACCATTCTGATGTGTCCAGTCGTTGATCTCAACTTGTTTCTCGTAAGAGACGCCACACAATACGACGGCCTGGAGGAAATCAACATCACAATCTGGCTGACGGTGCATGAACTTACTTGGAAAGGTCGTATTAAATCAACTGAGATTTCCTGTCCTGCATTTCCTCCAAGATTCCGGACGGGGACGTAAGCATTCAGTTCGGCTAAACGAGGTAGGGTGGATGCTGCGCGCGGCTTTCCGATATCTCCTTCGCGAAGAAAGTACTATGAAAAATGGTTCAATGACAGGTCTTGAGGCAGTGTGATGCCTAAGCACGCACTTGTGAGCTGAGATCCTGCATGGTAACCAGTTCTGGGTCATACAGCGTCACGGACTTGACTCCCGCCAGACAAACATTCTTGGCTGTAGAAGATATGAGAATGAAATGAGTTTGTTGGGACCATGCTTGTTGGCAAAAGGGTTACCAATCTCAGCTCCAAGGCCTTGCAACCCGACGATCAGTACATTGGAGGCAGCCATCTTCTTCATCGCTGCACACATCGCTCAGCAAACATGGAAAGTTATATACAACATGACTGACCCTCATGCCCTAAAACATAGCTACAAAATCACGTAGGATTGCAGGTGAGCGATGCGAGCCACACATGATTGCAGCAACACCTACAGTTGACGAGAGTACAAGCCTTCATCAATCGCGGTCTCGTCAACATCCATCTTTGCTGCTAGATTGCTGGCATCTGCCATGATTAATATATGTGTATGAAGGTAGGTGGTGGTGAAAGATAAGATCGTGGTGCAGCTGAATAGCAATACAGTCAGTACACTTGTTGATGACTAAGCACAGCTAAACCAATTTTGGGACTCTGTTGTGAGTCTGACGTGCTGGGATGACGGAGCGTAGTTAAGCCAGGACATGTACTATAATACAACTTGAAGAAAAGCTGTGGGCAGGTGCCAAGGTGCACTGGCAGCATACTCTTCAGATGTAGTTCTCCAGGCCCGTACTATAGCCCCTGTCTCGCTCACTGGCACCCTTGAAATTCTAGCGCTAAGTGGGCATGCTCTCATAAATTGTAGCCCACACACCGATCTATACGCTCTCCCTTGTCCGAAACAAGAAGTTCTACAGACTGCCAGCTGCTGTTGCTATTGGGGAGCCCCGGTTATTACCATGCCCTCGCCCTCTGCCCCTCCATCGCCTGCAACATGCATCCCTTTCTCCTCCACACACTCATCATCTATATATCTGCACTGTATTCCACCTCTATCATGCGGTGACACTAGTGTCATATGTTCTTACCTCGATACTCAAACGTAAAGACTACGCTGATGTCATGAATAACACTCTCAAAGGACACTCGGCATATTATGAGCCTAATTATAATGAAATATAATCTTGACGTCGCACACAATTGTTGAAGGCTATATGGTTCAGTACTGCTCGAAAAATCATCGGTATCATTGGCATAAGTCAAAGATAAGTGATGCATCGACTATCCACAATTAAACAATCGCAAAGTAGGACGCTCTCGAATCTGTGAGGCGCCCTTCAGCTTTCCAGAGCCATTCTGCGCAAGATGGTCAGCATTAACTAGAATAAGAGAAAAAACGATTGCCTCTTTCAAACAGCGGAGTAGCCATTGTCTATGTTGTCCAGCGTTCCGTACCGCCAGATGGTGGTATTCCTGCATTGTGGTAAGATGATTTCAAAAAAAAGGCATAAGTGGAAAACACTTAACGGGAAGAGTACCGATGGAAGAGCCGGGGTGAGTTATCCACAGGTGGTTGGTCGACATAAAACTTGCGGAATTACCGGTGCACGATTTCCAACAGTCTGTAGTGGTGTAAATCACTTGAACGGATTCTCAATTATAGTACAGCATACCTGGGTATCTGCAAGATTCACCATTAAACATTTCGATCCTGGAACATTTAAACGTGCCTGGCGGTCGAAGAGTGGTACTAGTTGGAGAAACTCTTGATCCAAGACACCATTGATGACGCACTCAAGCCATAGCACTCGAAGCCGCTTGGATTGTCTGTTCCACACCATTATCATGAGCCATGACCACTAAAATATTATTGGACTCACATTCAATGTCAAGTGCCCCAGGGAGGGTGGACCACCCACCACCATGCTTCAAGAAATACGAGGCATGCGTGGCGCTATTGGACGAGACTGGAAACATCGATGCCCGGAGGATCTGAGCATTTGGTAATAATAGGTTCAGCAAGAGTGATGCCAACTTCATGGTGTGATGATTGGGTAAGGATTAGGTTACCTATTGACCGGGCATTTATATCGGTCGATGAGTGTCAGTGGTGCGCACGTCACCAGGAACCATTGATCACCTACCTGGACATTGCCTTTATTTTGAATCGTTTGTCAAAGATGCCAAGAGAGTGAATACACATAAAATCTACCAAATTCTGCGATGAAGGGAAGCCCTAGCAGGCGAAAATTACAGAACAGATCACAACATACACGTCACCGGGAGTCACCTCTCCCGGACATTGTCCCAAGTTTGAATCTTTTGATGACAAGAGAATGAATTCACATGGGGCTCACCAACTGCTCCGCTATATAGTTGGGCCCGCCACAATTAAAGTACGACATTCGTCAACGCTTGCCAAGGGAAGGCATAGACACTTTGGAAGTGCTGTCACGAAACGAATGATAATTTCAGTCAGAGATGAAGAAAATGCTAAGGAAATAATGGCTGATCAATTGTGGCGGTATTCCAATGATCTCACTCCATGATCCACGTGAACTTGAATCACCACGACAAGTCATCATCTATCCAGGCTGGTCGTCAACGGGAGATACATGCATGCACCGCACCCAATTCAATCAAACTGAAGCCGTTGCAGGTGGTGTCGCTGCGTTTTCGCGAGTTTGCCGAGGAATCGTTGAGGCGGCGACCCGACAATTTGAACGTCCCCATGTGACGGTGGTATCAGAAGCCTTTGTTCCTTCAGCGCGTAGTGATGGTCTGCCCGGGGAAGACCAGGATCTCACGAACAACTGACAGGTTATCACAGCCTGAGCCCCCGGGAGTGGTGCTGCACCTCCGAAGTGAAGCGCCAGGCCCAAGGGCTGCCATGACCTTCCAGCACGACGGCGGCTGCACCGAAGGCCGTGTCATCAGTTAATGTTAGTCAAGGGGTGCATGCCTAGTAAAACATATGCGCAGCGGCAGACAAGTTAGTACTTACCACTAGTTACTGTCAACTAGTACACTGTTGAGTAGAGGGAGTGAATTGGCACTGGCCAACCTCAACTTGTTGCATATTGCTTACTAAGATGATCTTGCAAACTGGCGTCCGTCGGATCCTTGTCCGAGTCAGTCCGACGCCTTGGCCTTAAGGCTTACATTAACAGAGAAGACTGTCTCAACCTGGTATAACAAGAAACGACAACGGTATCACAACGAACTACAGGAATTGTAAATATCCAAAATGGTCGATTAGTAGCAAGGGGTGGAAAGTCAAGGTGCGCGAGAGACGCATAGTACACGCTAAAAAGGTAAGAATTTTCCCTATGTCCACCATGAGCTTTGGATTGGACGAAGCCGGCGCGCTGGCGCTGAGCTTGGCGGAGGCTGCAATTTAATGCTGCCAACTTATGGTGCCAATGATCTCGTTAAGATCCACCAGGAGAGACCATACACGACACAGAAGACAAAGCATACTGGAGGGATGGGAAGGCAAGGAGATCATAGAGAGGAGACGAATAGGATGGAGCGATGGTGAATTTTCACCCAAGAGTGGTCTGACAAGGGCCATAACGACCTACAGAATGGGCCAAATGCGCACCAATGGTGCTCAAAGGACCCCCAACTGCGGCACCCCAGGTCCCTTGGGTAATGAATTCCAGTAAATCCAACGCTGTCGTAGGCTGCCTCGATTCAGGTGCAAAATTGTGACTGCCCGGGGCAATGCCCATCGTACGAGGGTTCTTATTGACGATGGGGTCTGCCTCAGGACACCAGTCACTGGGGTCCGGGAGACAGGTCAAGGGCTTGACCGGAGTGGGTGCATGGATCATCAGAGGGTCCTGGCGGGGCGCTGCAGCAATTTTCTTCTTCCGACCGCGGTATCGGATAAAAGTCGTATTGACATCTGTAGCTTCATTGACAGCGAGCACATCATCAAGAACGCGAAATATGACGACACTTTTGTCGCTAGAGAATTGGCTAGAGGAGATACGAAGCCCAAGCACCCAGCTATGCAATGAAGAACTGGGGATGTACCCGAGATAGCCGAGGGACGCCAGCGCGGTCTTTTCAACATTAGTGAGGGTGCAGGAAGGAATTGCGGTTGTCTTGACCCTAGACAGAGCTTCAGCAGTCAAGTCATTAAATAGAATGGCCCCACGCACCATGTCTTACTCGGGAGGCAAGAGTCGTTGACCAGTTTGTCGGCCAACCTTGCAACGACAACGAAAGCGGAGAAGAGAAGTTCGTCGAAAGTGGCCGCGCCACAACAGTGGAGGTGGTTGAAGATCGAGACTCCTAGGAAATCATTCCCTTGGCCTATTTCTGCCGTGGTAATCTTAGAGATGTACCACAACGCATGAATGACAACCATTTGAGGGTTGCTGACGGATTCCAGAATGGATCGAATACGAGTGCCAATGATGGAGGTCACATAATTTCGCCCATCCAATTCCCTGCACATTGAATAGATAATCAGGTCGAATGCCTTGCCAAATAATGACTCACGGGTCAGGGAATATTTCATCTGCGCCGGCTCTAATAGCCAACGAGTACATGAAATGCGCGGAAAGGCTAGAGAACGCAGTTGCAATGCCATCAAGGTCTGGGCTCTTGGACGCTATGACCCGAGGGACAGCGGTGCCACCCGAATGTTCAGGAGTATCTGAGGAAGCTGTGACTACCCTGGCGACACTATCCGAATTCAACTGGGAGAGAAAACTCTCTGTACCGTGTCTCCCTTTGGCGACGCCAGAAGGAGCCCCATGGGAAACACAGCCAGGACGAGCGACCGAAGGCAGAGAAATAACATGACCGAGACCGGGAGGAACCATGGGCGCCGAGTTGCTCAGCGCGGCATCCTTGGAAAGGGCACGTAAGCGAGGCGGCAAGCGCGGCGGCTGAGACATAACAAACAGACGGTGCTTGAGCGAGTAGGAGTGCCCGCTCCCACAGGAGGCGCTCGCAAAGTTGCCTCGGGCAACTTTCGAGGAACTGGCAGCAGCAAAAGGGAACAATCCAAGCTTTTGTAACTCCGTCTGAGTTGAGCACGCTTTTACGTCGTGTGGGGGTTCCACAGCCCCTTGCACGAGGTGAGGGTGATCAACGAAGTAGGAACGTGTTGCCCGTGAATGGGCGAAGGGGTCTTCTATGCATGTGGTGCTAAGCGCCTGTGGGGCCTCGATCGTGCCCCTGCTGGTCTTCATATTTCCGCTGTCAAAGATCGGTGGCGGAAGGGTGTCTGCGTCAGGGGAACAAGCCCATATTGGTTTTCTGAAGCACGGGTTATAGAGAGTTGGACGTTTCGAAGAGCACCTTGAAGTAAGAGTACCTCTGGTAGCAGTCATTATGGTCAATACAAGTGTGAACAGGGATGCTGAATGTTGTTTCAGGGAGTACAAACGAACTGTACAAACCAAAGTAAATGCGGGGCGCCTTTTGTATCGTACCCCCTCCCTGACAGGGAAGATACAGGAACAGTGTGAACGTCCACAAGTTGTTCAAGCGATTTCGACCTCTGATTGCGGTTGTGGCGCTCTCGACGGCACTATGGACAAAGTCAAAGCGAGCGGTGCTCGCCGCCGCCGGAACGATATGGAAATAAAGCTAGGACAATGAAACCATGGGTTGAGGATTTCCATCCGCTCAAAGCGCAGGGACGATAACAACCCTGTAGGGACAAAGCAGTTGAAGTGGCGAGCACCACTCGAAGTTGTTGAACCCTCATTATTTCGTGTTACACAACTTGATCATTTCCAAAAATGGACTGTTGTCAAGAAACACGTTTACAACTTACGCGAGAGCAGTTGTTTGTTGTTATAAATGCGACCCAAGTTCACAAAGGGCTGTTTGTTTCGAACGTCTTCTTGGAAACTTGTCCACCGAGGACTAGTTGAGTGGCGAATTCAGAGTCGGCAGAGAAACATAAACAAACAACATTACATTGAGGAAACTGCAGGGACGGTACATATGCCACTACATGCTCGAGATCGTCTACTTCCGATAGAACTGTGGCAGCGAATGAGCACTGTATACAGGAACTAATTATGGAAGAACCTACATTACGACGGAAATTGAACCAAAGTGACAGACATCCTCTATCAAAACTACTTCGGAAGCCCCTGTGCCAGCACGTTCAGCATTGGCGTGACAGAGTCAGGACGCGAGGCTGCTCACCGTTTATGTGAAAACTCCCACTCCCGATTGACGATCCTGAAACCGATGTCTTCATATGGAGGCCCAGCGCTGAAATGTAGCAACACGGTGTCCTCATTCCCGGGTTCCCTGACGATTTTGTACGTAGGAGCTTTTGATTTGTCGATCAGATCCGGGTAAAAGATATTGAACTGAGGTATGACGTGAGTTGGAAGCAAGTTGTAGGGTAATCAATACATACTTTATAACCCTGAACGACCTTCGGAGGCGGGTTGTCGACGCTAATTAATGGTGTCAAGAGAAGATCGAGGAAAGGAGATAGAGCACGCACTCGTAATGAGTCTGGTTATACTTATTCCATTCGTAGCCAGTATGCACGCGGTTGAAGTATCTGGGTTTCCGAGGTCGGTATTTGTCCTCCCAGTTATATGACGTAGGATTTGCAATGTTCTCCTCAAGATTAAAAAGTTCCTCCTCTTCGTCAAGCTCTCTCTCTGCCTCGGCCCTGTACAAAGCTTCGGAAGCGAGGTCAGCACCGCTTGCAATTTCTGGAGCTTCGACCTCAACCATAGGCTGAGCAGCCTTAGGCACGAAGCGGGAGGCAGCGACCGTACGGCGTTGTTTCAGCTGTCCAACAATAAGCAGAATTTTAACCAACGCGAAAATCGATGCCTACCAAAGCACGAAGGTCGTCAAGCTCTGTCACTATATCGATTTCACGTTCATCTTCCGTTAACTTCCTGATGTCTATTAGTGGCGGACTCATAGACCTATCGTAAGGTTCCATGTCCTCGTGTGTATCTGTTTCTGCTGTAGTCATAGGTGCAACATAATTTGCGTCCTTCAGCCCTTGAGCCGCTGATCGAGCAACACCAGCAAGAAGCTCCTCCTGTGCGTGTAGAGCCTCGTCGCGCTGGCGCTTGCGTAACTGCTCAAGTCGATTGCGAACAACGACTTCATGCAGGCTCTTCAATTTTGCCTGTCATGTAAGGGTTAGTTGCAGTATCATACTTCTGCAAAGAAGAAGCATACCTTTGCCTTCCAAACCAGTAGTCTCTTGAGGAGCCCTTCCCAGTAGTCCGTATCAATAGGTTCGCCGCTTGCAAGCTTTGCCTGGATCTGCTTCTGAAGCGTTGCAAGATGGTCGTAGCTTTTACCAGACAAAAGTGCGGTGATTTCTGATTCAACAGCAACAGCTGCTTCTATCCCCATGCACTCACTGGCTTTAATTCTGTCGATACGGTCTTTGCAGACCACCATCATATTCTGAGGGACATAATCAGCTAAGGCAAAACAACAGATGCAACTAACATACCGTCCAGAAGTCGATGTCCACCTCAGAGGTCTCGAGTGAGAGGTAACGCTCAATGTCATCATGAAGTTCGTCAATTTGGTCAGGCGAAAGATTCTGTGGGACCAGTTAGTTGCATGACGACATTCGAGGTCTAACATACGTACGTCGAGAATGTTATACGGCTCGTCAAGGTCAATTTCGAGCCCGGCATCGTCCTCAACATGGTCTTCGTCCAGCGGATGTGCATACTTCAAGTTCAAGGCTAAGAAGTCGATGGCTTTTGCCCTCTTTTCCCTTATGCGAATGGCAGCCCGGCTTCGCTCCTGCTCCAGCTGGAACTCCCCATCCTTCGCTATCCATTCCGACATCTGAGCAGATTCTGCCATTCTTGCCATGCGCGACTCTTCCTCTTCCCGCAGGCGTTGCTCCGCTTCCCGTTCCGCTCTACGTCTGTTCAACCTCTCGAGCTCCTCCTTAGCATCTTGCCTTCTAATCGCATCTTTACGCTGTGCATCCGCAAGGGACAGACCTTGCTTACGGTCTTTCTCGTTCTTCTTATGCCAGCGGAACTGCTGCCCGAGGTTGACGTCGTGGAAGGGATTATCGGTTGCGCTGTACACACTAAGTTCAGCAACCTGACGAGCTTCTTCCTCTTCCTTTATGCGCAATTTCTCTGCTTTACGGGCCCTGCGCTCCTCGGACTTGTCGCGCTTGCGTCTGCTTGAAGTAAGTGGGGTATCAATGTGAATAGATAACAAATACACACTTCTTGTCTTTGCGCTCTTCATCTTTGCCTCTACTGTTACTTCGCTCTCTCTGTCTGCGCGGCTGGTCCTCGTCGTGATCCCTACTCCGACTGCGCCGCCGCTTCCTGTACTCGTCTGGTGGGTCCCTTTTAGAAGAGCGCCCCTTGTCTTTGGCGTGGTCTCTGTCTCTTCCCGACTCTCTATGTGAAGGGCTCCTGTAACTGTGGTCTCTTTCACGATCATGTGAGCGAGAGCGGTGATGGACCATGCTGGCAATTTGACGATAACTCGAGCCAACTTTCTGTCTTCAGAGTTGCTCCAGGGAGTACAGTGTTTGTCGTTGTTTACTCAGACCTGATACAGCGTTTTTGTATGATGACATCTTGTGAGATTTTGTGTCCATCACGTCTATTCTTTTAATTCTTCCGTAGACTCTCACTTTCCTGGGTTGCAAGTTGTATAATAGCAGGTGCGAGCACTGATCTCTTTGACCACAAGGAGCCATGATATCGAGACTTCCGCACACCTGCCGAGTACACTCCATGCGGGTTCTCTCCCGCAATCTCCAGACGCAGGCACGATACGAGTATCCCTCGCGCGATGAACAGGATGATGGTTCGTTTCTGCCACGATCTGGACTAGCGACGCCACGACAGGTAACAGCCATCCTCGCGTTTCGACCAAAAGAAAGACTCACGGCTTATTACTGACAGCTTGTAAGATACCTCGATGAATATGTAATTGGGCAGGAGATTGCAAAGAAGGTCCTTTCCGTCGCGTGAGCATCCATACGTATTGCCCTGTAGTATGTGTAACTGAGCCAGTAGGAAGTGTATTCAACCACTATACCCGTGTTCGCGCAAATCTTGCCGCCTTTGACGATGAGAGTGGTGCGGACCCATGGTCCGAAGCGAATGCGGATGATGGTGTGTGCCGTTTATATTTTTATCAGCCAGAGTGGATGCTAATGGACTCAGCACACTCTAGCGTGTCGTCCGCACACTTACATCCTCACCCCCAGCGCGTCCTCCCGCATCAATTACCACTCCAACCTCGACAACCAGTCTCTTTATTCGAGAAGAGCAATGTACTGGTAATGTATGCAGAAAACCTTCATATTGAAGTATTCCCTGCTCAGAAATATCGTTACTATAGAGGACCAACAGGCTCAGGGAAGACTTTGCTCGCGCGTACCCTTGCACGCGTCCTTGACGTTCCATTTTCCGTCAGTGATGCGACATCTTTCACGCAGGTGCGATAACTTCTACTATCCTTACAAGCTTTTCACCCCTTATTATGTCGAACCAGGCTGGCTGTGAGTCTAACTGACTACCTCGCGTGAAGGTCAGCTAATGTCTCCTCAGATGTCGGGGAGGATGTTGATATGTGCATACAACGATTGGTACGCGCATATAAGCTGAAAGCGTGTGGACAGTCTCATTCTGTACTATCTAGCTCCAAGCAGCCAATTGGGATTCGTATCGCGCCAGGTAATTCTCACCTTCACCCTGATCATAACCTTTGTTACTGGTTTCATCTTCTTGTCGCTGTCTATTCTACTTTCTTACATCACCTACAGCACGGGTATCGTCTACATTGACGAAGTCGATAAGATTGCACGTAAATCCTCATCTACGACTGAGAGTTCACGAGATGTCGGTGGAGAGGGAGTGCAACAAGCTCTTTTACGAATGATGGAGGGTTCTGTTGTCACTGTGCAAGGAAAGCCATCGTCACTGGAACCCCCAGCACCCACGGCACGAGGGCGGGGCTCACCAGCTGCTGCACAGCGTCAGTCTTATCGGAACATATGGTTACACGAGGAGTACTGATATGTCAGCCAGAGAGACCTGATACCTACCACATTGACACTTCAAATGTGCTCTTTATCCTTAGCGGTGCATTCGTGGGGCTTGATACCGTCGTGAAGCGGCGGGTGAGCAAAGGAGTATGTTTCTCATTCTTTATCTTGTATTTTATCCAGCTCTTATTGATTGACACTCCTGTAAATGCAGTCCATTGGTTTTACTGCAAACCTCGCACCTAAAGAGGAAGACTCAGACAGCAAAGGTTTCTTGCCGTTCTTTACATCGAACCGCCGATCATCAGAAAACTTACTAGAGATGATTGAACCCGCTGGTAAGTTATGTTTTATCAAAATATCCCTCCCACACCTCAAACCCGCATTCAGATCTGGTGAAATACGGGTAACTCACTTGTCGCATGCTATGTCAAAATTTCGAATTCATTTTCCCTGCATAGCTTTATTCCTGAATTTATCTCCCGCCTCCCAACCTTAACTACACTATCCCCGCTAAGCACCCAGGATTTACGACGCATTCTGACCGACGTCCGTGGGTCACTTATTAGCCAATACACTGCGCTTTTTGGTCTCTCGGGCGTGGAGATTCGGTTTACAACAACATCTATTGATCAGATTTGTTTCCGAGCAGTCGAACGAGGCGGAGGGGCGAGAGGGCTGAGGGGAATCATGGTAGCTTTTGTTTATCCGGAAAATCCATCGGTGTGCTCATTAAATACTGCAGGAGTCATTGCTGTTAGATGCGATGTACGAAGTCCCGTGAGTTCTCAATCCTCTTACTGTTGTATATATATATTGATTGTTTTCTGGCGTCTCACCAGTGGATCGGTGTGATGTTTCTTCTCCTGACCGCTACTCACGCTAATCGTGTCTAAGAATGTCCGTTATGTCCTGATCACGGGAGACATGGTGCTAGGCAAGTCGCCAGCTCTTTATTGGATGCGTGGGGACGGTTCCGCGTTTTGGGCGGCCTGGGCGGATGAGGAACAGCGAGCAGAAAAGCATCAGTTGTAGATGCGTATAGCTGGCGCAGCAGATTTGAAAATCTGCTTGCTTGATTAATGTGGTGAGAGGCGCATCTCTCTTGGAATGTATTATCGTCCATGTATCGTGGGACACGGGATTCATCTGGGGCTCTTCAAAGCCTTAGTCTTTCCCCTAGATCTCGATTTGGGCAGGATGAACACAGATACAGTCACGAGACCGCGTGAACGCGACCAGGTGAAGATGAAGTTCATTCCCACTGAGATGAAGGTGGGGAACTGTCTCCTGTCATTTTTTCCAGTACATGTCGGATGAATTTCGTAAAGCAGGGTAGGTAAGTGATCTACATTACTTGATCAAATGAAACGGCAGCGAGCGGTGGTGTCGCAGGGGCACTCATGAAAGCAAATTGACGGATAGACGTCACAACAGGAAAGAGGCTTTAAGGAAAGACGAAGGGATCGTTTCGTCCAGTACATCATTATTCCTTTTCTTGTGGCGATTCCTCTTTTTTCTCTTCCTCTTCCTCTTTTCCCTCCTCTTCCTCTTCTTCCTCTGCTTCGGGTGCAGACTTCTCGTCAAGAGAGGCGCCGCAGTTTATCTTCTGTGTCAACTCAAATTGACGCTTGAATTCATTTGCATTATCAGAGTTTGCGAAGCGGATGGCTAGGGTTTCGGCGGTTGGCGGTTCTTCAGTGTAGTCAGCGGCAACCTTCCAAACCCAGCTCCTGTCAGAGCCAATATTAGGCTGAAGGCGCATTTCTGCGGATACTGTATTTCTCTCGATATAAGCAGAACCAAAGAGGCTAAAAATCAAACTAACTGTGGTGGTTGGCACACACTTTGAGGGTCTTGTCACGTCTCATTACGAGACGGACCTTCTTCGTCTCTTTGTGCTGAAGAAGTTTCACATCGCCGGTGCCACGTTCTTTCCATTCGTTTAAGCCATTATCGAAGCGGAAGAGCTTTGCTCGCCTACAATAGCGTTAAATGATGGTAGTCGGTGGGTCAAGGGGTACGAGAACGCACATCTTGAAGAGCACATCCTCATCTTCCTCATAGGTCTTTACCTCCACTTGTTCCGTGAGCTTGATAACAGGCTCAAAATGAGGATCAATCTCTTCGCCCTCTGGCTGATCACATCGCGCCACAACACCGCAGCTCGTCAGTTGTTAATCATGCTAGACTGGTCTCGTGCAAGAGACTCACCTTTGGCGCGAGTGGATCAGAAGTATCTGCCATTGTAATTAATTCGTAGTGCTTCTAGGGGAATCTGGTTTTGAGTAGACAGAATGACTGAGACTGAGATTACGATTACGAGCAAGATCACAAAGAATACTCAACTTTGCAAAGACTGATTCGATTTCTTATCGGGACCCCGAAGACTCTCATGATCAGCAGGTCCCCGGGAGTCTTGTTAGTTTCCCAATTTGGACAGAGCTTTTCTAGACAACACGCATGCACCTTCTGCCGCTCAAATTCGCTGCACAACTTTCAAAATGACAGTGCTTCCGTCGTGGCGACATGCGCCATGGCTCGTCCTCTCGATACTGTCTTTAATCTCCTTTGCTTCTGCCCACATGATTGAAGTTACAGCTTCCAGAAAAGAGTGCTTCTTTGAGGACCTACACGAACATGACCAAATGACTGTTACATACCAGGTTGGGGAGGGTGGACACCTCGACATTGACTTCTGGGTATGTCCATCATATCAATGTTATGGTTATCTTCGACAGCGACCTTACTGACGCCCTGCATGTAGCTAACGGATCCAGAAAACAATGTTCTCACTAAACATATTCGTGAAAGCACCGGCACGACATCCATAACAGCTGAAAAGGATGGCCGATACGAGTACTGCTTCTCTAACCAGATGAGCACGGTGGCGGACAAGATGGTTAGGTATGGCTTTCTATCCCCGCAACTTCCCGGCATCTATACTTATGGGGTGTGCTTAGCTTCAACGTTCACGGTATCATATACGTGTCAGAAGAAGGGGAGTGTGCCTACCTTCGGCCGTGCTTGCCAGGCCGTGCTGACTTTCCTTTTCTCTCACAGCAGATATCACTGCTCCCGTTGAGCGCGAGATCCGCTCCCTAGCCATAGGTCTCACATCTGTCAAGGACGAACAAGAATATATTGTCGTCCGCGAGCGTAGGCATCGGGACACAGCAGAAAGCACTTGCGACCGTGTGAAGTGGTGGTCTGTGCTCCAAGCGCTTGTATTGTTTGCGGTAGTCGCGTGGCAGGTGTATTACCTTAAGGTGTGTTGTAACTCCTCGTTTGCTGGCTTCCGTAAACTGATTTATGACTATAGAGCTTCTTTGAAGTAAAGCGCGTTATATAGTGCATGGACTATAAAATATCATACGTTCGCCTCTACTACTTCAGGTTGTGTCTCACAATCATGACATTCATATCAAAGAGAAGGATGGCATGTAACTAATCGTTCAGTGTCCAGCGGTCTTCATCGCCGTCAGAAAGATACAAGGGGTGATAGCTAGCGGACAACACATTCTGTGACTTTCAAGTTGAGTAAATTAGCCATCGTAGAGCTGTCGGTGATGTAGCTGGCAAGGAACCTGACATCATCCATCCTCCCCTCTTGGAGCGGTGAGCTTATAAACAAGGAGCACCTGCCAGACAGTCGGATCAGTGCCTTCGAGCAGCAGTCCCAAATTATCGGTATGGCGTACGTTAGACATCCCTCCGGAAAACAAGAAATTTTTATATTAAATGATTTGCAACCCGCCTAACAATATCACAGCATAGCTGACCACCGTCACGCATGTAACTTATACTTCTCAAGTACTCAAAGATATCTCAATGACTTGCCTAACAGCACAACTTCGATTATACAAACAACAGAGTAGCAAATATACATAGATCAATGTAAAGTAACATGATGACCGGTAGCATACAGGGAGGATATGTGCAAGTGCAATATGGACCCTCCGACAAAATACGAAGAATGAAACAACACGGGATATAGCGAGACACAGCTAGTATAGTAGGAATGGGTGATTCGTCATATTCGTCATGATAGCACAAGGAGCGATACTGTGTAAGACACAAATAAAAGTACAGGGGAGGCATCGCCTCTCCGTCTAATGAACAGAAAAAAAATGCAGTTACTCATCTCCACGTAGGCTTTGAGGATACTCTCATGCTCGAATCAGGCAGAATGCTCAGGTCCGCGCTGATATTAGCACTCGTATCGCTGCTGGGCACTGGGAGGGCTGCCATCACATTGGGTCCCTTCACCCGCAAGGACCTTGATGCATTGGCAAGAAGTGAAAGTCTCTTTGGCCTCTTCGTAGGTGAACGCCCGATTGTTTCTACGCGTCTGGGCCCACTTGTGGACTCGTACAACGGAGCGTCTTCGGATGACTGGAGGATCATGCTAGATCGTCTTCTTGCCTTCTCGCTGCGCATGGGACCAATGTTCGAGCGCCGTCGGTAGCTTTTGGACTGTGTTGTTGTACGGGAGGTTGATGTAGGAAGGCGTGGCGTTGGGCTAGCATCACGGTCCTTGTATTTCGGAATGTGCAGGGATTCTATATCTTGACTATTCATGCTGCGGTTTGAGAGTGGTGATGCACGCCGCATTGGTGAGTCTTCGTCCGCCTCCTGAAGACAGCCAAGGGAAGATGCGCCTTTCATTTTGAGAAAGCTCGGGTCCAGGCGGTTTGCTCGTGGGCGCTTGCTTGTGCTCGAGTGAAGGCTCATGGAAGAATTGAGCCTTGCCGACGATGAAGAGGATGTTGCGGGAAGTATGATGTTGCTCAGGTTGAAACTGTCTTCTGTCCGCTCGTCTTCCCATTCGCTCTCGGACCCAGCAACAGAATGACAGCGTCCATTAACACTTTCGCTGCTATCGCTGGACGTAACGAGAATAACTGGATGGGATGGGGCGTTTCCCCTATCATCCAATGCACCTTGTCCGGCTTCATCTTTCCATTGGACGACCTTCTTCTCCTTCTCCTTGTCGGAGACGCGGCGGTAGGGTTGACCGATACTGGATCGCAGTGAGCGTCGTGGTGACTTGCACGTCCGCCGTGAAGGTGAAGCGATAGCATTGTAGGACATGGACTTTCTGGAAGCTTTGACAGCCTGCGGTAGTGCCGAACCTGATGGTACGCGGAGTGTATCAAGAGCACCCGTCCCATGAGCCGCATATGCCGCCGTAGTTTGTCCTACCAGGGCTGCAAATGCGTCGTCATTTTTCTGCGCCGTACTGCGAAGTGCAGATGCCATTCCTTCGAAGCCATGTTGTACTTCTAGAGAACGGGCTGTCTCTCCTAGTACAACTGTGCATCGACCGACCATACCCAGGAGGCTGATGATCATCTCCGATTGAGCGCGCACCGACTCCCGGACTGCGTCACGTTCTCTTTCAGCTCGTATGCGCTCAACCTCTGCCTTACGGTAGCGTGCGTCTGTCTTGATGCAGTCGACGTGCAGCTCCTCTAGTTTATCGGACCGTCGTTCTGAGACTGCGCGCAAGGTCGCCTCAAACATGTTACGGGAGTTTTGGGACCGCGTGAGACGAGTTACGAAGGGGGAATCGGGAGTTGTTACGGATTCCTCGAGGCGAGCGAGAGATTTGAGCAGGGCACGCTCCGCTTCGAGGTCTGAAGAAAGCGGGAGAGATGACGAGGCCATTGCATCAATCTGCGCAAGCCGAGAGCGGATAATGGAAAGTTTCATCTCTGCTACCGAGATCTTTCCAGCACATGACGCGCCCTCAACTATGCTGGCTTGAGTCTGCTCCATCTTATCTTGCATATCTCGTTTAGAACGATCAACTTCAGCAGCAGCCTCTGCTCGCTTGCGCCTGAGAATGTCGTTCTCAGCGCCGAGCTTGCCAGCAAGCTTGGCTTTGAGCTCGGCAACTTCGAGGTTGAGTCTATTGATAGCCTCGACGTATTGACCTACGTGTCTGTCGACGTTGACAACATTACGGGTGACAACCTTGGTCTTGATTTTCGTAGCACGTTCGGCATAAAGGAGGGTGTTGTGCGTATCATCGAAGTGCTGCGATGTAGGGGCAATACAAACGACCATGACGGTCTTACAGTTTCCACCAAGTGAGAACTTTAGCAGTCGAGTAAGTTTGCTGTTGCGATAAGGCACATGGCGGATAGCGCCACCGCTCTCACAGAGCGCGTTAATGCAATTGCCGAGCGCGAGAAGTGACTTGTTGATGTTAGCACCTTCAACCATGCGCTGTCCCATATTGCTCGTTGCCGCAGCACGCTCACTACCAGCAAGATCAATAATAGAGAGTGTTGCCATGGTGCGCTGCTCAGTCAGAGAAGCCGTGCGAGGCGCTTGAGTGACATGCACCTGAAGGACTGCGTGCGATCGAGACGATGTCTCATTCGCGTGGGTTGGGGACTGTGTCCTCCGCAAGTTACCCTGGAGGACAATCTGTTTGACTTCCTCTGCGCTAGTGGGACGGAGCTCGACGAGGCCCACGACCTTGACGGATTTGTCTTCACGAATTTGCAGACCGCCACGCGGAGTGGGCATGCCAGGCTCGGAGAGTAGATCTCGGATCTCTTCGTTGTAGATTTCGAGAAAAGTAGCAACAACTTCTATGTTCCAGTCATCCTTTCGATCCTCGATGCGTTGGAAGAGGTCCGCCATTGTGAGGTAGATGATACCAGGATCTCCTTCAGTCCCGCTGATGGTATGTGTTTTACCACACCCTGTTGCCTATGGAGCATCGTCAAAAGCTACCCACAGCCTTTAAGAAAATTCGCATACCCCATAGGCAAATACGGTAGCATTGTAGCCGTCCAGAAGACCATTTAATAGTGGCTTCGCGGTGGCTTCATAGACATCACCCTGTCTCGCCCCACTGTCGAATACTCGATCAAACATGAATCTCTTGTCCTTGTATCTCTTTGTCCCAGGGGGCACAAACCCGCGCTCGACAAACGCACGGGTTTTATCTCTCTCCTCTGGATCAAATGTAAGAATGCGGTCATCGACAATTTGCACGATGTCGCGAAGAGGTGCTGACTGGATTACAGGTCTTCCTGGTGTTGCAAGGGTGCCGTCACCGCGAATTGTAGTATCATAAGAGGGCTCTGGGAGACGCGCAGCTTCCCATGTTGTGGGAGGTCTGACACGGACTGGGTGATATAAGATTATGAGAAGCACATTATCAAAGAAGCTCACCCGCAACAGTGATGGAGCCAGCGGCAACCATGGCTTGGTTAAGGACTGTCAGACTGTATAGAACAAATTGGGTGGTTGTCACTGTGCACTACGGTCGCGATGAAAGATGTTAGCTCGACGCAGCGAGCAATTATGAAGGGAGTAATGATGCAGGAGTTTGCGGGATGCCTCGTTTCGTTCAAAAATCAACTTGACGCGTCCAAAGCATGCTCACGTGATCGTTTGCCTCGAGGATTCGGATTTGGCCCTGGGCCAGAGTCCAGAACATTGACTCTGAGGGCACTCTCATGAAACAAATTTATATTTATTACATATATATGTGGTTACGAATCCAATGGTATAGAAGTAAATGATGTTAGCACACAAAACTTCAAGGTCTCAGGTATTGTCGAGGTCCTCTTCAGCTATGTTCGTATGTCGAATTGTTAACTTTGAGCGGACTTCAAAATTGCGATGAGACTGATCATGTGCAAATCTATTTCACCCCACATACCCAATTGGTTGTCGTGATACCATTGCTAGTCGGATTGTCGGCTGTAATACAAAGAATCTGCTAGAACACGAGCTGTACATAGTACATTAACATGCGGCATAGGATGGCATGATACACACTGCACATATTCTGGGACGTTCTGTGGCTCAGAATAAAACATCACCTCAGCTTGCTCTCAGGCGTTTGGTCCATTGATATTAATGAACACGGAGCTCCATTTGATTACCAAATCCCCGTGTGGCACCTACCAATAATGACCAAGGAACTTGCTAGAAGAAGGTCCAAGAGCCAGCATAGCAAGTTTCACATCCACGGCCTTCATATCTGCAGCACCCCCGGAATGACATGGCAGTTATGGACTCCCGTGTGTAACCGAGGCTTCTAACACGGCTGTGGTGTTTCGTTTGTGGGCCATGACATCATAGCGCACTGGATGGTCGATAGTTAGATTCTGTGACAAGGCTAGATATTGCACTCAGAAGCACATCGCTTCTACGTCATTAGGGATATGTTCACCGGTAGTCTATGAACGGCGTCCCAAAAAGCTGTAACGACTTGTCGCACTGCGAAGGGAAATCTACTGAGTGGATCTCCCTGCTCAGCAGTGTCATCCTAAGTTTTCTACAGCACTCACGAAGTCGTTCGACGAGCCAACGTTGTACATTCCACAACTTCTCTAGACATGAGGGTACTGGTTTGCATTAATGACATCACGCACGTGTCCGGCGAGTGAGATCGTGTGGAGGAAAGGCTCAGGGGGAGGGATTAGCGAAACCAGCTTGATTCATGGGCATGAATAGGTGAGATGCTGCCTTGCCAAGCTCCTTCCCGACGTGGCTTTGATTCGAATAGGTGGAACAAGGGATGCCTTTGATAATGGCCATTGTTGTTGATCAGGATTGAGATATCATTGATAAAGCACCCACGAGGCACCTTGGAGCATGCCTAAAAGGCTGTCCGTCGAAAGAATGCCCAGAAAGTGGCAGTACCCTCCGACCGGCAGTGCGCCAAGCTGTGACAGGGTTGAAAGCGCCCACAGGTGAAGAGCAGTGTTCGATCCTTATGGGCAGCGGTCCACTGTGGTCATGAATGATCTCCATGTTAATGAAATAACCGTCATGGGTGGTTTTACCGTCTTCGTACGCGTGTCGGCCGGCTAGAGCTGTAAGAGCTGTAGAGGAATGGTCCGAATATCGATGGAGTCATGAGCGCAGCGGAAGAACCAACGTGACTTACACTTCTGCCCTGTACAAGCCCTGCCACGAAAGGGCCAATAAAAGACACTAGCTAGTGACCCAATGCTCTCCAGACAACAATATTCTCCTCGCCGTAAATTTAGGCTCCTTCGTGTGACCAGATCAAGGATCCTTGTTAAAAGAAAACGCGGGTGATAACAACTCTTTGATACTGTCACATTCGTTATCGTAATGATGGTAGCGTTCACCGGAACCGATCTGCCTGCTTCAGGTCAGTTCATCATCCCTGGTAACTCGCTTGACCTTGTAGTAACTGAATTAGATCAAGCTAAAGCTCTGCGATCACCGTTGCGGTCAGCTCCCACCGGAGATACCGAGGCGGTTCTATCGTATTACAAGTCTGCTGCGGTCAATGGAGCAATGTCGGACGCCAGTAGTCTGTTAGCTCCAAGTCCAGGTCCTTCATCCACCTTTGTTTCCCCAGCTGCTTTTCATTCTCGTTCGATCTCGTCAACGTCTATTGCCACCCAATCTTCTTCCTCCGCTTACTCTTCTGAGTCCTCGAAGGCGCGTGCAACTGCTCCAAGCGCGTATAAACCTCCTCAGACACGGCCTGCTTCCCCACTTAATTTAAACGGACCAGTACGCCGCCAAAGCATACCATCCGAAGGTAGCGCAGACAGACGACGCATTGCTATCGTTGAGATGAGCACACACGTTGACGAGTACCCGAAGAGTGATCCCTACGCGAGCACTTCTCCTTCGAGCGACTTATATCCCCGACGAGGTCGTGAGACACAACTAGGTGGTCTCGCACTTGTTGCACCACCAGACGCGTCGCCACGAACGCTCGGTTTTACCCATCCACTCGCTTCACCTATTCAGCCCCCGTCTATCCAATCACAACCCTCTTCGAGCACCGCACCCTCTCACGTACGCTCATCGCCGGAGATGGTCAGAGTCCCTAGACGTGATATGGGGCACTCTCGGAAGTTGTCGCGCGAGGTGGCTGTCGTAGGCACATCATCTCTTTCAACCAAACCGTCAGACCAGGGCTATCCATCCCTTGTCACAGAAACACTCAAACCACCCCTATTCCAAACGCCCCAATCCCGTTCACCTTCCCCTGGGACACCTGAGACGTCCGATTCAGGAAGCTCCACTGTGCCTCCCAAGAGCAGACTGAGGAAAGACGCGCTCTTCCCTAGTGTAAGCCCAATTAAGGAGCTGAAAGAAGCTATTTCTCCCCCAGCAAGCCCCATACCCGCTCCTGTAGTAACGCCACCCATAGGAGACAGCAAGGGTATCGGTGATTGTGTGGCTGGTCCTGTCATCGTCAATATCTTCCCCGGATCGCCCACACCTGTTAATGGGAAGCACATTATGAGCCCATCCCCCAAGCCGTCTACAGTCACACCTACTACTCCTTACTTGCACTATCAGCCTGGTCTGCATGCAAAGGCAGGACCGCTACCTCCTCCTCCAATGTCTGTCTTTAGTATTGATCCCAGTGCACCGCCACCACCTAGACCACCTCGACATCAGCCACTGAAGAAGAAAGGTGATATGGATGCTGTGAAGCAAGCACTGGCTCTGCCTCCTTCTGTTGCAGCTGCACTCAAAACGCGAATACTTCTCGCGGAGACCAAGGAAGAACGTGGAGCGACTACCAGCACCAATCCCCCGCCTTCGGAAGCAGTGAAGGAGCTTGCTCCGACTTTGAGTACCAGCCCTTTGGGGCTAGATGCCTTGCACCCAGTAACCTCCGAAGTCCGGTCAGAGGAGCCAAAGTCTCAGTGTGTCCTTTTCTCATGTGTTTCCTGTCCCGTATTAAATGACCCTCCTACAGGCCCAATGCCTCAGACCAGAGGGAGAAGGAGTCGGAACTTCCCCAGACGCCAACTCATATTCGCGAAGGCGCCTTCCCTCCCTCATGCGTTTGCACCACGGACTCGAACTCAAACCTTACTGTGTCCCCAGATCAAACGATTGTTCCTCTTCCCCGGCATGAGTCTATGGATGACCTTGTTGCTACAGTCGGACATGCAATTGATGACATGGGTATAATCCGTTCATCTGACGTTCCTCCCCCGACTATTCTCGAGCCCTTACGGCATAACGAGAATCGGGGCGACCGACCTGGTCTCGACATTCGACGCATCTCCTTAACGCCCACGCCACCACTACCACTAGATGACGATAATAGCGTTAAGAATGAGAGTAGACCTGAAGTTCTTCCACCCCTGCCGGCGAAGAATGAGCCTCAACCTTCAGACTTACGAATTAGAAGTGCGCTTAGTATCAAGCGGTTTTCGTCTCTTCCGCGCACGCCCTCGTCGATATCGCTCACTCAACCTTCCACGGAAAGAAAAAGGTCTTCAAGGACGCCGTCGCCATCGTTCGTGGGCCATTCAGTGCCAAAAACATTGCCTCCAGTTCAGAAGGTCAAGTCTGCATGGCCGCCAGCTATGCATTTCGCAGATGTGGCTGTGAAGAAAAACGCTCTCGATCGGTCGGTGGGATATGCGCAGAAGATTAATGAACTTTATATGTATGATTGCGGGTTAGGCGATTGGATTGTAGAGACAAGATATAAAGGTGAGAGTTACATTGGTCCGCCATGCATACATGCGTTTACAGCATGATTAGCTGCAAATCCCCAAAAGCGCGCCCCTGCGAACACGAATGCTCGTGTTCCATCGACACATTCTCCCCGTACCCAAACTCGTAATATCTCAGAGTCCTCCACTGGCTCCGAAGTTACTTTTCCTAGGCGTCCAGACGCATACTTGGCTACAGATCTGTCGACACCTCCCTCCAGTGACTCCAGTCCCCCCAATGCACCTCCTTCGCTTCCATACCCAGCACTTGCTTCAGCGCCACGCAACGGGTCAAATAGGGCATCCACTATCATTGCCAGCTCATCTTCATCTTCTGGTCGCTCACTAACTTCTTCCTCCTCATTAAACAAATCTCCAGGAAGCTTTTTTGCGTCTTTGGGACGGAAAACAAGTCTTAAGAAAGATAAGGGTGTAGCATTGATAGCTCCAGTAATTGGGAGGGCGTTGTCTAAAAGTCCGCCGCGACAGGAACCGAGTCCACGACCGGTGACTATTCCGAACTCTCCATCCGTGCCTGGGGGTCCACGCGCACCCCCTAATCGTATGCAGAGGTCCAAAACCATAGTCCTTTCTCCTCAGTCCCCGTCGAGTGGCTTGGGTCACCACCGATCGAGCACAGTTGTTATACAACGACCTTCGCAACTCAGTGGCCACCACACATTTTCTGAACGCGGATCGCCCACTGACCCAGATGAATTCGCACGTCAGGTGGACAAACTTGCTGCTCTGCTCCCGAAGGCCGATAAAACTATCCTTGGAGGGTATCTTCGTAGGGCAGGCCAAGATATCCTTGCTATTGGGCAATATCTCGAAGACGAGAAGAATGGAACTCTACGTTATGACTAGTCCACCCTCTCGTTATGTTTGATCTGACAGTGCTCATTTATGCTTTGTTGCTTTCACTCGCACATTTTATACCCTCGTGCAATACGGTACTCGGATTCGTCTATCTATATGATACATGTATTATTTGTTTTCATGACTACACTACTGCCGGAATCGGAATAGAATGATACTGTGCTGAGATTTACCTTGCAGGTCTGAATCCATGTTTGACGACCTGGTTGCTACTGAACTCTGCGAGTTCGGTGTGTTAGGGCGGCTAGAATTATGACGGTGGTCGACTCACGATGCTGCTGGGCAGGACGAGGTCTGGCAGATGAACTTGTCCCGCCCCAACCGGACCCGCCCGAACCACCGGATGGCGGAGGAACTTTTGAACGATTGAAGTGTGGGAGGAGCATGTTTTCAACCTCGTTGGCGCTATCGGAACGTTCCGAGATAGAGTTTGTTCTATATGAAGGATCGTTGTTGTTGACAGTAAAAGGTCGTCGCTGCACGTTGGTGCGCTGCTGAGGGCGAGCAGCCTGCGGCCAAGCGGCGCTTTGATGAGGGCCGAAAGGACCGGCCATGGTGCGATTAACCAACGGAGTTCTTTGTATCTGAAGCTGTATTAGGCAAAGTCAATTTGGCAAGTATGGATCCTGTACCCCATTCGCGTCCATTCCGCCGATCACTGCACCAATATCCACACCAGCTCTACCTTTATTATGGTCGTCTTGAGGAGGTTGATTAAACATGTTCACACCGCCGACACCCTGCCTAGCTGGAGCAGTGTCTGGAGCAAGCAACGACTTCCGCTTGGCTTTGTCGTATTGGGCCTGGTGCAACTGTGAGCATGTCAACCCTCCAGGCAATTGTCGGAGTGACCTTAAGTTTTTGATACTCCTTCTCGCGTTCTCTGGAAGAATCCTGTAGTTCATGAACCTTTCGCCGTTCCAGTTCCATGTCGCGTTCCAACTCTGAGACAATTGAAGCCTATGCTATTATGTGAGTGGGGCAGTTCACTATACCTGCGACCTTGTTGCTCAGAAGATTGATTTCTCCATTCGCTAAAAGCTGTGAGTGAAGGTAGTCTAACGCAAGAGAAGCATCACCTTCTCTGATGACATTGTCTAGCTGCTTCTGTAACTGTGCTTGCTTGTCATTGAGGTTGCGGATGACCGCTTGCTGGAATGAACTAATATACCGATACAATACCCCTACTCCACGAGTAGTATAGCACGTACTTTTCTTGGTGTACCTGATACTGCCAAAATGATAGAGCCCTCCACCAGATATGATATGTCAGATGATCAAGGAACTGAGTCAAAGCGGACTCGTGAGAAACACAACGCTCACCGGCTGCAAATTTCCATGATTAAGGACGGACTGAGACCCGAAAGAACAGACTACCGACACTAAGCTTAGGTTCAATGAAGAATTTTGTGCATATATTCACCGTTTTGTAGTCATTAGTGGGATGTAATGAGCACACCTAGAGATAATCAGAATTCTGAACCGGAACGCAGTGTGTCGAGTGACTTACAACCACGTCGTCTCTTCATGATATTACAGTAGATGAATTCGCCTCGAATTACAGTATCGACGAGTGACTTACGGCTCGGTCAGTGATGTTTCGCAAGCTAGGACATCATCAAAATGCAGTATGCAAAAAAAAAACGAAAAAAAATACCAGGACATAACCGCGAGGCATTGAACAATTCGTTCGCACAGTCAACTAGTGAAACCGCAAGGGTCATTCCAAGTCAGTGAACCCTTTGCGTTTGTTCGTTCGGCCTTCATCAGATCTTACCGCAGAATATATGCGAGCCTAGCGTAGAATGGTTATTCGCAAACTATTAATCACGCCTGACTACTTACATGTTGTCTGGAAGAATCGTTGTGGGCAAAGCAAAATCGGAACGGGAAAGTGATAGGCTTACCACCACCGCCTTGTCAATGAGAGTCTTGCGACATGTCAGTCGATTACATCGTAGCTCTGCATCCATGCTCGGAGTACGAGTAGAATATCGTTATTCAAGCTTCAGGCCTTCAGGTTTTCGGGGAGTCTTGTACGAGTTTGAGTCACGGTAGACAACTCGAGGCAAGGGCCCAGGGGTGGTGCTGCTTTTGATTTAAATTGTTCATAAAAGGAAACTACTGTAGTTCATAGCATCCGAGTCCGGTAGCAATCATGCTGTACGTACGTGACCCCGAGCAGCGATGTCAACAAAGAATAAAACAAATACATAGCAAGAAAAGTGGAGCGACTGGTATTGTGTTTGATCCACATGAGATATTGTCTAATTAAGAGGAGACGAGGGAGGTATCGGGAGTAGAATCAGTCCGGTAATATGCGAGTAGAAGAAATTGTAGGTTATCATGGCCTCCACAGATTATGCCGAGCTGGGGTATTAGGAATGCTTGTTCGAGATCGATGTGGTTTCGATGGCGTTACTGGGCGCATTGCATCAGGATTCGCTCGCCTCAGAAACTGAAGCGGAGCTAAGGGAGAACCCGATGATGGCGTGGACTTCACTGAATGTGGACTATGTGCTCCTGGAGTCGAAATGGTGAAGGAAGGAAGGAAAGGACCTCTAGGTTCGGGGGTGAGAGGGGGAGGAGTAGTTACAATTTCAGGCGCTTCGAGTAAGGTCGCGGAGCTAATCCACTTTTCTTCTCGAGATCCAAAGCGGGGAGAGCCGAATTTGGGAGGAGACTCTGGAGGTATAATGCGAAAAATATCTGCGAAGTGATCTTTGATAAACCTATACATCATGTTAGTGAATCATCAGGTCAAGTCTCTCAGCGTGCTTACTTTGATAATTCTTGCCAACCACCACCAACACGCACCATAACGGTCTGCGAGCGCAATATGCGACAAAAGCACAGCTTTGGCTCTTGATCACCAATCCAGTACTTCCCGCTTTGATCCTTCCAAGTGTCGGCAACTACCTCGATATTGATGTTAACTGGTAATTTGTTGACGACGTCTCCAACCGCGATGTCCAACTTGTTCTTGGGATTAGCAACGTAGGTTTTCCGCGTTTGTGACTGTGTTTTCTTCGGGGGTGTCTGGACTTTGTTTGAAGCAGGGAATGACTGCCGCGGTGCGCGGGCCCACGTGGACATGGATGAAGACGACCTTGAGTGACTTACGGTGGATCGCGCAACGACAGAAACTTCCGAAGGTGTGGGTGAGGCCCTCGAACGTGTCTGCGCCCGGGGACGGATAGGGACGGGAGGTTGCTTCGCCGGTGTGCTGGGAGGTGCATTACTAGATAAACTAGTAGTACGCTGGCGAGATGCAAAAGTTGAACCGTGCAGAGAAGATGATGATAAAGGGGTTCCCATCGGCCCTGATACTGATCTTGAGATGCTTGCAGTAGATAGCATCGAAAGTTTACTGGGCGGCCGAGGTCGGGTTTGGAAATCGCCAGACGCCACTCGGCGGGGGCTTGGATGGGCTGGAGCTAGGAGACGCCCATTGGCAGATCCTCTTACTGAGAGGTTGGAATAACCAGTGGCCTTTCTGGTGTGACCAGTCGCTCCAGAGCTGATACCAGATGCACTGCTATTCCTACCAGAGCTGAGGACACTAGCAGGACGAGATTTCTTGCCGCAGATCCTATCGTTGGCCATTTCTTCCAACTCGACCCATGTCTGCTGAACGCGTCGATGTTCAGAACTAGCGCGAGCATCATCCTTGACTGATTCTATGTATGCCGCCACTTGAGCAACAGTGCGCTTCGTGAAACCAAGGCGAGCTCCGAGTTGTTCTTCTGGGGGCAAACGAGAGGTCGAGATATGCGTGCTAGAAAGTGGTCCAGCAGGAGGAGAAGGGTAGCTGTCAATGTGCTCAAGCAGATCACTGAGAGCCATATCACAACGATGAGCGACGTCAGATAGGTCAGCCAATTGTCGAATTCGTTGCATCAACTCGGTAGATGCTTCGACTTCCGAATTTGCCGATCTCAACTCCATATCTGCAGCGGGGGATGACATCGAAGAAGGTAGTGCAGCAAGTTCGGACAATTCAGAGACTATGGTCGCAAAGCGAGCATTCATCTTCCCGTATTGCTCCAGAGTTGGTAGATGATTAGAAGAATTCGAGTTAGCTGCAGGACGTGCGACCTCGTTGATGCCAATAGAACGAAGACGTTTCCTCAGCGAGACGACCTTATCCAGCAGGTCACTTCTCTGGTGGGTTTTCGTCGGTGACGGAGAAGGAGCAATGCGCAACCCAAATACATCTACGAATGGTTAGAACTTATCAGCAAACATCAAAGACTGACCCGCTCACCTTCAAATGGATGCGATTCATCTCCTCCCTGTAGGTTTCGCCCGTCCTTGGCACGTTCGGTTTCCTGTAGCTGAATGCCCGCCTTTATTTGAGCCTCAGCTTCAAGACGTTCGCGTTCTCGCGCCTGACGCTCCATCTCGGCCTGCTGTCGCTCGGCCTCCAAACGCTCTTCCCGCGCCTGTTGTTCACGCAGCTCATTCTCAATCCTTAGCATCTCTGCCTTTTTGCGCTCTTCCTCTTCTCTTGCTCTTGCCTCCGCCTCTCTGCTCTCTTCCTTTTTTCTTGCTCTCGCCTCTGCCTCTCTGCATTCTTGTTCTTCTTTGGCCTTCGCCTCCGCCTCCGCCTCTCTGCGTTCTTGCTCTTCTTTGGCTCTCGCCTCTGCCTCCCTGCGTTCGAGTTCAAGTTCAGCCCGACGCCTTCTCTCTTCCGCTTCTTGTTGCTCCTTGAGTTTAGCCACCTCGACACGTTGTGCCTCTGTGGTGAGCGCAACCGACAGCTTGCCCCGAAGCATAGCTGCATTATCGGCCCAGGCATTCAATTTGACTTCAAGGTTATCCACCTCCTTTCTTCGTGACACGACGAGAGTCTCGTAGATACGCTGATCGTGCGAACAAGGTATAGACTCCATTTGCCGCAAAGATTCACGGATCAAAGAGAGGCGGCGCGATAAGCGAGAACGATGTTGCGATGAATGTCTGTCAAGCTTCTCTGATAGGTCTTGCAGCGGAGTAAGTTTCTCGTCTGCTCGAGAGATAGAGTCCAGTAGTGTTCTCAGGGAGCTAAGTTCTTCAGTGACACCACGTAAGTCATCAGTCACCGAGGTCAATTTAGAATCAGCATCTTTGGCCATACATGCCAGCTGAAGATGTCCAGCCTTCTGCTCGAGGCTTTGTACATCCCCTAAGAGACGCATGACTAGCAAATTGGAGTCTCCTCGGACGGCATCATCAAGGTTGAGCAACGTAAATGGAGGTTCAACGGCGGCTGGTACATCAAATGGAATGAGTTTTATGTTCCCTGCCGACGAAAACCTTCTCCGAACGAGGGTAGGTGCATTTCTTTGATCGGAGACATGTCGAGAGAGAAATGGTATCCGCTGAGCTACGGTGTTCGTGAACGCGTCGGCAGTGCTACGGAGCACATCTGACTCGTCCTTTAGTTGATCCTGCGCGTTACCCAAGCTTTCCCCACAAAGTTGGTCATTGAGAACTTCCTCGATGGTGGCATCATAATGGATCTTGAGGTCCTCAACCCGAACCTGGAGCTCGTGAACGCTGTCCTGAAAGGAGGTCATAGCTGCAAATTGTGACCGAATAGCATCCAGGAGGACGACCATCTGTTTCAGGTTGTCCAAGTGACCAAATAATCCTTCAGAGGTACGAGAGAGGAATTCGTCAAGGGGTTTCTCAAGCATTCCAGTTAAGGTAGCCAGGGGATGTATCACGTCATTTGTGAGGGTCTGGTGAATGTCCTCTAAACGGCCCACTATATCACTAGATGACACTGAGGGTGCAGGAAGGGCATCTTGAGGTGGTGTCTCCGGAGTCAGAGGTTCTGTACTCTGACTGCTCTGCTTCCATCTTTCTCTCTCCATCAGGTGGGCAACCTCGCTCCGTGTGTCCTCCAGTTCATTCAGAACACCATCCATGATCGACCAAACTCTCCTGGCTACACGGAGTCTGCCGAGTCTTGTGTTCACGTCAGCGCAAATGGCAGCAGCCTTGTCGCGAACAGTAGCTAAAGCCTCAATCTGAGCGGCAGCATTTTCCTTGAATGTTTGGTCAATACCAGGTCGCTCCATATTGAGAAGTGCCACTCGAAAGGCTCGCAGTAGATGGTCAGCTCGAGCGCATGCTTGCTCCACCTCTTGAGTGATTGATGGTAGGAAAGTAAGGAACGCGGAATGCGCTGTAGGATGTAAACAATCCTCCGACATGAGACTAGGAGGGGTGCCGTCACCATCACAGGCAGTGACTCCATTTTCAAGACGATCAATGGCGGACTTGAAAATTGTCATCAATTCATCAGCAGACCGGGATAAGGACTCGACATCCTTAACGGCTTCATAACCAACTCTGTACTCCTTGGCAAGGGAATCAACTTTGGCAACGAGATCCGAAGTGGAAGCAAGTTCTGACGACAATATTTGACTGATGGTCTCGTTGGCTGATTGTTGATCGGGAAAGAGAATGTGGTATGGTCGCGGAAAGGCGCCACCACTTGCGGTAGGGTTACCCCTCACAGCAAGCCTTTTTACAAGGGTTTCTGCACGAGAAAGGAAGCTAGTACTCTGGCGGTAAGTCGGGTGATAAAGCTTCGAGGTTTCGATTTCTTCCAAAAGGTTTTGGGCGGCATTCTCATCTTTCATTGTCTCGACGTAGATTTCATCAGCTCTGACGAGCAATTAGCGAAACGATCATCTAGGAAGCCAGAAGTCTCACTTCCGCCATTGCGTAACAATATTCATGACAAATTTGCCGACGTGTTCCATCTCGTTGATGCCTTTGTCCTCGAGTTTGTCCTGCTCGTCTAGTAGCTCCTCCGGAACAGCCCTGCGACTGTTGTCTATCAACTTGTCCAGAGCTTTGCCAGCTGCAGCGACTTTTCCATGCCTAAGTGACGACACCCTGCCGGCAAACTGTGCCGAATCCCGCGAAAGGAGTTCTGCAAGCTTGAAACGGGCGCTGCGAGAGAAACCAGCATTGGACGTAACAGACGTGTCTGAAGCCATGGAAGCAACAGAGCCGCGACGATTTGAGGGCTTTTCTTCAGATTTAACCATGAATTCATAGATAGTGGGTGACCATCTAGCACGAGTAGTGAGGAAATTCTCGATGTCTGCGAGTATCTTCTGGCGGTCACTCCAGGCTGCGCGGCGTTGCTCTTCCCACGTCAACCTAATACCCAGAAGATCAAGGTTTTCGGAGCGGTCCCGTAGGAGGTGGAGGAGCTTGTCAAGTTCATATATGGTCGTAAGCGTGAGTTCGATAACGTCAGTGTCTTCCGGCGAAAGATGCCTCTGTGTAGCTGCTGCTGCCGTCGTCAGCACTCATTTACATGAAGGACAAATGGCCCTCACCTTTAGTGAGTGCCCTAAGTTTCTTCAGCTCCCCAGAATCAAAAATTTCTATCTCTTTCTCAATCCTGTCATGTTCTGCGAGCCATTCCTGAAGCTGTTCGCGTGTGGGTAAACCTGGGATGTCTTTTGCAGAGGTTCGTATGGCGTCCAGCCCGACGAAAACCTCGATGGGCGGAAGTGCCTCTAAGAACTATGGGACAAAGAACGATTAACTTTAAGATAGGGATAAGAATGACACATCCACACTTTGATTTTATCTTCTATCCAGGCTTTCCGCTCGCTGAATGCCTGAAGCTCAATGACCTCATGAATATCTAACGCCTGTTCCTCCTCATTTTGCGAGACTTGAGCTTGAGTGAGCTCCAATTCAGAGCCAGCGAATACCTGTTGTTGATCGAGTGGAAGCGTGCCGGACGCCATATCTGGAGAAACATATGAAGCAGCCGCTGGCGTGGCTCTTGGCGCCTCGGGCGACATCCAGTAAGATAAAGACCAAAAAATATATGAAAGTTATCAGCCAGGAAAATGTAGCATTGCCTGCAGGCGTTCGCAACGCTGGATAGCAAAGTCTTATGACTGCGCGTTCGCCTGCAGAAATCAACGAGGCCTAAGCAGTCACCGGTGCATATATTACCTAAGCCGTTCGGTGCAATTGGCTTGAACGGGAGAAGACCTCGGACTTTCAGAGTCTGGGTTGTTGGCTTCTACTTTGTTCTGTTCGGCTCCTTTTCATGATATGGAGGCCAGACCGCCAGAAAACACTGATACTAACACCTCTGCCTCACCCACAAATACCGTGCTGGATGCACGAGCCAACTTTTTCCAAAGACATCCAGCCATTGCCCATTTCACAGTGTTAGCACTGTTTTTGACACCACTTGCTACGGTGCCATATTTGCTGTCCAAGAGACGTATCTCCGCTCTATCCAGAAGGTTGGACGAACTCTCAGCCACAACCACTGCTTTACGGAAGGAATTAAAGGCTTCTGCGGCTGAGAATGCCACACGGAAGGTGGAATTACATCGCACCTCAGCCTCACTTGAGGCTGCAAGGTTGGAACTCATTCAACTGCGCCGCAGCCTCAAACAGCTTCGTACGGAACACGATGCGTCAGAGATAACGACACGGAACGCTCTGAAGCAGCTTCTTGAAGAGAGAAAGCTGACCAGGCAAGCGGAAACTGGAATTGCATCATTCTGTGATACGCCATTCATTGCTGACTTCGTTTTCTTACAGCGAACGCCTGGCACTTCTCCCACAGCTGGGCACTTCACTGGCTGATGTCGCCGCATTCATGTACGAAGTAGAGTTACATCACGGTATTACGCCAAGCGTCATTGATGGTCATGGTGTGGAAAGGCTTCGCCGACTTGCACTCAAATTCCAGATAGCGCAGTCGGAGAGGCCAAGGTAGCCACCTACAATCGTCAACCACGTACCCCTACTTCAGTGGGGATAATCGTGAGATGGTTCCAGAGTTGATTATGATGGACTAGGAAGTTTGGATAACTGTATGATACATCTCACGGTGTACCGATATCTGAGTGCATTGCAGTGCTGTATCATGTATATATATCGCGGGCCACGCCAGTACTTGCAAGGTCGAGTAAACCCGTTACAACGTTATATCCTGATCTTTGATTTTGATTACAACAACGGCAAAGCATTTCCAAAACTCTACCTGGAATATGTGAAAGTGATACATTAGTGACGACAAAAGCAACCCCATCATGCAAGTTGATACAACTGGTACTACACTAGAAAGACACAGCGTGCAAGATGCCCAACGGACCAAGGCCAATACAAGTTCCATGCAAGAAAGGTATACATATGTACAAAAACAAACGCTCACGTAGATAGCCACAACTTCCACCACTTGCGTTTCTTTGGAGGAGGGCTGGGGGGTCCGGATTTGGGAGGTATTCTGTCACATAAGTCAATCGAAGGAAGACCAACCCTGCCAGTGCGACATACTCATCTACGAATACAGGATAGTCTCTGTTTAGAGAATCTATAGCTTGAGTTATCTGCGCCTGATACGCTAGGCGTACACTACTCGGCACCGCAATCTTGCGGCGCCATATAGCCAGGCTATTGCCCGACTTGGATGGGAGAAATACGAAAACAATCACCAGCGCAGCGGGGTCGTAAAAGGCCACTGACTCCTGCAGAGTACGATCCATGGTCTTCTGTAGCTCCGGGTATGTTAACCAATCGAAAGCTGGTTCACTAGGTGACTTCGAAGGCCGATAATCGGCGTTCACTACGAGAGCACCACGCTCTCGTGTTTGCAAAAATTTATGCAGCTTTAATGAGGGATTCAAGACGGCGAACAATCAGTTATAGAGATTTGACTTACCCCAAATGAGCCCAGTCCGTATGATACCGACTGGATCCATGCCAACAAAGAAGCGACGCGCTCATCTTTGTCATGCGGGAACATCCAGTGGAAACGTTCCTTCGCCATGCGCTCACGACCGAAAAAGGCACCTGTCACAGGACTTATTGCAGCTCCCTTAGACTCGATAAAGTCTGCAAAATCTTTCTTGTTGTTGTGGGTTGGGCGATTTTCCATGGATGCCGCCGTTCCATGGTATGCGTAAGTAAGGGTTTTCGATGGTGTGCTGCTATATGTCGACAACCCGAGCTTATTTGGGGGAAATGCGTTAACGGTAAAGTTTTCTACTACTGTAGATGGAGCAACGGAAGGAGCAACGGAAGGAGCGGCGTCAGGAGGCGAGAAATGCACTCGTGGACCCCATGCATCATGCATATCCTCGTCATCGGGATCGTCTTGCCAGCCATCGCCCAAACCCCAGACATCGTTGTTGTGCTGCTCCTGCTCCTGCTGTTGTTGTTGCTCCTTTTGCTGGCGTTTCTTCTCCTTCTTGCTCTCTTTCTTATGCTTCTTTCCTTCGTGTTGCGACTGGTTCGGGTCCTGATGGTGCTGCAGCTGGTTTGGGTCCTGATAGTGTTGCAGTTGGTTCGGGTCATGATGGAGTTGCGGCTGGTTGGAGTTCTGGTGGTGTTGCGGCTGATTCTGGTGGTGGTGGTGTTGCTGCCTGCGCTGGCTCTGCGCATGAGCTAAGGCGTAAGCTTCAGCCTGTTGCTGTTGAACATGGCGATGGTGTTGTTGTTGTTGTTGTTGTTGTTGATGATGATGATGCTGTTGCTGTTGCTGTTGTTGTTGTTGCTGCTGCTGCTGCTGCTGCAACGGCTGAAGCTGAAGCTGCTTGTGCTGACTCTGCGCCTGAGCCAGGGCGTAAGCTTGTTCTTGTTGCTGGTGGAATGCCGCTGACATGTCGGCTTGCTGTTGGGACCACTGTGTATTGGCAGATTGTTGCTGAGACGCTTGTTTATTCGTGCCTTGCGGCTGGAAATAGCCACCAGTACCTGGGGGCAGATTGGTAGCAGCATACGGCTGTTGACTCTGTTGTGACTTATTAAGCAACGGTATCTTTGTAACTGAGATAGGACTGTGATATTCCAAGTAGGGCTGGGAGAGGATAGATAGTGGAATAAAAAGTCACCTTGGGTAATCTTCGTGCCTCTTCGCCCCACGTCTGCCAACTGCTCTGCTGACTCGGTTGACGCTGAGCATACACCTGTGGTGCATGAGCAGACTGCTTTTGAGCGTACGCCTGTGGTGCATGGGTAGACTGCTGTTGTGGCCAGGCCGTCGCTGGCGGACCCCATCCGTCGTCCTCAGCGGGCCATGCTTCTTCCTCGATTTCCGAGGAATCTCCGCCTTGTTCCCAGCCAGCTTCGTGGCCCCAATTACTCCAGGCAGGCTCCTCCATAGCACGCTGAGTGGTTTGACTCCAGTTACCTTTCGAGATCTGCTTTTTCGCTGGTGCTGGTGTTCCTCCAGCATCTTCCCAAGCTCCGCCGCCGCTTTCCCATCCATCATTATGTTGCGATTGCTGGTGCTGTTGGTGTTGCTGATGCGGTTGGTGTTGCTGATGATGTTGGTGTTGCTGATGGTGTTGATGCTGATGCTGCTGCTGCTGCTGCTGGTATTGGTGCTGCTGCTTTTTTTGAGACTTAGCGTTGCCACCGCCCTTCTGCGGTGGTTGTGGTGCCATCTGTGCCTGGGAAGGAGCGCCCGTCTCCCATTGCTCATCACTGGCCCAGTCTCCATTACTATTTTGAGGATCATTGGACGCCCAAGCGTTCAGATCCTCTGGGGCATCACCGTCCTCATGCATTTGCTCCCAAGAATCCTCATTAAGGTCTCCGGCGTCCATACCACCTTCGTGGGAGATAACATTCAGGATCCTGTGGCCATAGATATAGGATAGGCAAAAAAGACTCACCGAGTCCACCAAAATCATCCTCCTCTTCCTCGATCGTGTCAATGGTCATTACCAGGGGAGGAGGCAGTGCGAGTGGCGGGGGAGGTGGGGGGGGAGCAGGAGGAGGTGCAGAAGGTGCAGCAGGAGTCTCCTTCTGCTTGCCCTTCTTGTTACTCTTAGGCATCTTACCCCACACGAACTACGTAGATTGTGAGGCTCGTGTTTGGTGACGCGTGAAGACAAGAAATGAAAGGCTCGAGGATGCCGTTCGGTTGAACCAAGTAAATGAACCAGATCGGGGCAAAATTTCCAAATGGCGTAGATCGATAACATGTGAAGATATAAGTGGGAGATAGACGGAATTACTTGAATTAATATTGTGGCAGACACGCGCTAACCATCTGTCCGGCCCCGAACACGAGGCATCAGGGTGAAAACAAATCGAGTACATTAACCCCTAACCTTAACGTAAGGTTACAATTCAGCTATTACACCGTTATATACGCTTTGTCACCTCGTCCACAACCTCACTCGTCTTACTCTTGCCACCCAAATCAGGTGTCAGAACCTTGCCTTCCCTAAGAACAGAATCCACCGCTCTTTCGATACGATCCGCGCCATCCCCATATCCAATATGACGCAGCATCATCGCAGCTGAGCGGATTGCTGCCAATGGGTTTGCGATATTTTGTCCGGCGATATCTGGTGCAGAGCCGTGAACACTGTGAAAGTCAATCAATGAGCTGAACCCCTAGCAGATGCTTGTTGCTTACGGCTCCCCCATTACGAATGAATCTCCTGCATTAACTGAAGGCACCAGACCAAGCGACCCCACCAACGCTGCTGCTGCATCCCTGCACCAAGCGGGTCAAACAGTGTAAAAGTGGGACTGACAAATGACATACGAAAGGATGTCACCATAGAGATTGGGTGCAACCATCACATCATAAATCCTAAGAAATAATTAAGGGCGACATCTAGCTTTTGAAGACAGACTTACTCGGGCTCACGGAACAATCTTGAAGTACAGGATATGTCATCGCATACCAACAATCAAAACATTTCACGTACCTGTACACAGCGCTATCTACAAGTTGCTCGGCAACTGTTACATCATCATACTTGCCATCCACACCAGGTAATGTTGGTACTGCACGGACCGTCTCGCGGAACAGACCATCAGTAATAGAAAGGACGTTCGATTTGTGGATCACGGTCAAGTGCTGAGCTGATGGGTCAGTGGAGATGTTTGAGCAATGGGTGTTCGAGTACCTTACGAGGGCGCTCCAAGGCCATTTTGAAGGCCAACTCGCCTATTCGGCGGGAAGCCCGTTCGGTGATAAGGCGAGTAGCCCGGGCCTCCTTGCCGTGTTCTCCGACGGTCTGTGTTTCCTGCTTGACGTACTGTTGTGCCTGTAAGTCAAAGAGAGATGTCGCACGAAAAAGGTATTACCAGGCACTCGGTGTTTTCACGAATGACAACGAGGTCAACGCCTGGCTTCCCTTCAGGATTAACGGAAACCTAGTGGGGAAAATATATAAACGGACAGGCCGAGTAGCGTTGAGCAGGAAACTGAACACACTGATTTCACCGGCCGAATATTGGCGTATAGATCCATCTTTTTGCGAAGTGCGACAATTGGTGACGAATACCCGACCACTTTTCGAGATGGAGAGCTGGTACCAATCATGTATTAGGCTTGATTTATTGCCCGCAAGATAAAGATGTGCACACCTGACAGCCCCAAAAAGTGCACAATCACATTCACTTTTCAATATTTGAACAGTCTCGTCAGGGAGTGCAGTTCCTGTTTTCGTGAAGTACTCGAAACCAGCGAGTAAGTCAATAAACTCTGTCTTCGGTATAGATGATCCAAGAGCCAGAATGGCAGCCTTCGCACCCTGACCGACGTGTCTATCAATCTGTACGAGTGGAAAATACCAATACTAACAGGTAAAACTTCCCTGCCAATTCCGTCAGCTGGGAGCATACCGATTTTCAACGAATGCCGGGCAGCAGTCGCCATCGAACGAATAGGCGCTCTGAATACCATAGTATTAGTTTGTCAGGTTAGGTGTTAAAGACCACCGGTAGAAACTGGAAAGATAATTCGCAATGGTTCGACCTTATCGGAAAAGGGTAATAAACATTTGTAATGCCGTCGGCTTACAAGTTTGGTTATATGAATTGTACTTACTAGGGGTTCGCCGTGCGAACTTATAACCTTGCTCCGCCTGTCAGGTTAACTATACAGATGGCAACGAGTTCCAAGCACTTAGAGGGTATATTACAGTGGTGGCACGATTCTGTTGACTGGTTTTCAAGTTATGCGTTGTGTCTGTATTATATTCTGTAGTTTATGTCTAGGCAGAAATTAGAATTGTATGCGACTGTTTGTGATCGCGTGACTGCACAGCATGATGTTTGTGTCTTTTGACAACACCTACATGACCTTAGTCTGTCTAATGAGCAAGCGTCGATTAGACATCATTAGATAGACTGGTCATACGTCACGCGTCACGAGTCTAACATGATGACTGAGGTTATCAATGATAGCAGCATGGCAAGGGGTCAAACGGTCGACCGTTTTTCAAACTCCGTTCGCCTGACCGTTGTTACTCCCGAATAGGAACCTTTGGTGACTTGTTTTGCCAAAGAAAGAAGGTGACCCTCCGGGAAAGCACCTCTTTCTGGAAAGTTGACCGTTTCGACTCGGCGGACACCTTCAATTGCCATTAGTTAGTCGCGTAGCACGTGATGCAGCGCGACACGAACGCGGTCATTATTCTGTCTGCCACCAGTGACCACCGTGTACTCAACTTACCTCGTCGAAAAAAATCTTGGACATGCTTGATGGTCCCGAGGCTCCTCGCTTTGAAATTTTGTCCGATGCTACCAATATTAGGGAGAACCTGCACTTCCACGCATCTCAGCTTCCAACACCAGCTACACAACTAGGCGATGGAAAACCAAAGCGCCGTATATCACAGTTTGACGAAACACCTACGAAAAAGCCAAGACTATTGGTCGCAGAGTCTAGCAATGACGCAATCCATTTTGATGCTGAAATGGACGATGTCGCCGTCAAAAGACGAGGTTGTCGTCGTACAGTGTTTCGAACGTTGGGCCTGGCTTCCAATAGCTATCCTGCTGAACCTCATCGGATGCTCTGTAAGTCAAATAGCTATTTTCTATATATCTATCTGAGTAACCTCTGCAGTGCCATCTCGCAATATTCTTCAGTCGTTCGTGTCCTCACATACATCGGATGTTTTCAAATGTCATTCAAGAACAGTCGACTCTTTCGTTACACCCCCTTACGCTTGTGCATATTCCAATGGCATGGCATTCCTTTTTGAAACTAGTATTTCCGCTAAATTTTCATGCAGAGGCAAAACGCGGCGGCTCACCCCTTCTTGCCGTCGCTACGGAGCAAGGGTCCATCCACATTCTCGATACGACCAAACGGAAAGAATGGGATTGTGGTAGGTGACATGTCAATTCAGTGGTGACCAATACTGACCTGAATCAAGAACCTGCACGGGTGACACTCGAGCCCCATGACAATGGTATCTTTGACGTCAAATGGAATGCAGACGACACTCTTCTCGCTACGGCATCCGGAGACAAAAGCACCAGGATATCCTCTGTAGAGACACAACAATTGCTTTCTATTTTGGACGGCCATACCAGCACTGTAAAATGCGTTGCGTGGGATCCGGCACATCGAGACCTCTTGACTACGGGTGGCAGGGACGGAATGCTTTGCTTGTACGACCTGCGTGTCAACAACTTATCCGATGGAGATGAAATCGCCGCAAGAAGTGCTGTAATCACGATCACCGCTGCTCACGGACAGGATAAAGTTTCCGGAGGCAGGCACAAGATTCGACCTTTGCCTAGGGGTATCACAAACATTCTTTACCCTAATGACCGACCGCATGGACTAGTCAGTAGCGGATCTTTTGATGGGTAGGGTTCTACTTTTTTTTCAAGTGCGTGGTTAATCGACCCTGCAGCCTCTTACACTACTGGGACCTTCGCCTTCCTTCGGACAAGTCATCAAAGCGTAGCCCCAAAAAACCGTCATACAAGCCGCTGTTTTCCTCTACCATGGATCCGACTACATTTAATGGTGCTCGTTGTCGAGGTATCACAAGCATGTCTCAAGGATCAGGTCCCAGCGCAGGCCTCCTCTTCGCTCTCGGCGCCGACTCTCGCTTGTACATCTATTCTTACCCCACCCTGACCCCACTTCGCAGTGAAGCCCACCCGAACCTGCAAACGAACTCGTTCTATGTCCGACTAGCTACCTCTCCATGTGGACGCTGGCTCGCAAGTGGCAGTACAAACCGAGCTGGAAGCTTGTTCCTTTTTGATATCAGCAATGCTGGCAGAGTAGCGCTATCTTACGGCAAGGAGGCTGATGAACCGATTTCCCCAACAGTCCGTTTCCGTGGACAATCTGGTGAAATCGGAGCAGTCGACTGGGCAAGGGACATGGTCGCGAGCTGTGCTGATGACGGGACAGTACGAATTTGGCGGCCTGATTTGGAGGTGTATCAGAACTGTATCTCGAACTCGGAGGAACAAAAGTGGGACTGGTTCTGGTCCACCTAAATACGTCGACCTACATATCTTGATGTAAGTGTAGCATATCTCGTTTGTTGCCGTTGAAGAAATCTCTTCACGATTGAACCTGTGATGCGGACGGTACTTGGTGGCTTGCTGGGTGGTGACCTTTTCGTTTGCGATTACATGCGTCTAACGGTCCATGCAACATCGCAAAGAGACAAACAGGAGGCCAAAGAAATTATCGGAGTGCTTGCTAACCAGTGGCCGTTATTGCTGAATCTTACTCTTGTACTTCACATCAAGCAAAAATATTATAATCTGGTGAGCCTCACCGATCAGACGTCGGTAAATTTTGTACCCTTCTACGAACGTGGCCATACACCACTTTACACCTCGTGAAAAACTAGGCGTCCTCGATATCAGGTATATGACATGTTTTTAACTCGGGCTCATCCTCGGGTTTTTTATAATCACACTAGTTTAAAACTAGTTTATAACGATTCAGTGATACTTTGAGTCGCTCAGAGAGATGCAGTCTAGGAGGTGAGCGACACGTCTACAGGTACTTGAATCGTGAATCATTGTGGGCAACTCGGTGCCGAAGAAACTCGTTAGTTATTCAGTATAAAATTGTAGCGTGGTTGTGTTCAACGGGGGGTCTCAAAATATTCTACTTGTTCGATTTTTCGGGCACTCGAATATCTGGATCTGACATGACTGGTCGCGAAGCATCAGGTACATAATATACACAATATTTAAGGGTATCGCATATCGACCTCCAGTTCTCTACATGTTAAAAATATGTTAATAACACGTTAAACACTCCAGATATTTTAAACTACCTGGTTTTTCACGGGGCCCTAGACTGAATGCAATTCACGGCTCGGAAACGACAATCATGGGTATGGTCGGAACAACGGGCACGTGTTCTTTTAGCTGATTCCGCATTGATTTTCGGGCATTTAAGCTGCGAGACGCGATACAGTCAGCAAAGTAGTGGAACAGAGGAGACCTGCAATGTGACTTACACTGTGAACATCGAGTTGACGTTTGCTGGGCGATTGGCTTAAGCAATCATATCTGACCAATGTACAAGTAACGCACATTTACACAGAATGACAGAAGGAAAACCAATCCAGTAACGCGCACCCTCTATACAGTACTGGAAATTTACAATCAGGACAGTGGTTACTGGTGGTGAATTTTGAGTAACACACCAGCAGGAGCCACACGATAGCCACTAAGCTGATGTGAAAAGAAAAATGATAAAACATGAGCCTAACTGTTCACAGTGAAAAGAAACCTACGATGTAAATACTCCCATCTGCAATGAAACGACGATGAGGTGTTGCATATGATTGCTTGGACTGGATGTGATTTAGGTAGGGTGCCGGGTACTTGAAAAAATTGAAACATACCGTTTGACTCCAGCGCGCCCCGGCCGAAGATAGAATAAGAATGATCCGGATATCATAACATCGCAGATCACGCTCGCCGCAGCATATGGGACTTCAAGCTGTCACAGTGGCACTTGTATAAGCGGCGACAAATTCATCCTTTGCCAACTAGCTCAGGACGTACGGGGGAAGTGAAAAAAGCGGCTGCGCTTCTCGATTGGGCACTGAGACCATGAGAATTTCCAAGTTTATATAGCAAGAACAGCCAACGCACGTTGTCACAATTGTTGCTTTGAACGATAGAATTGTGAGCGCATGGCCATAAAACACACCAAGACAAGGCGAACGCACCGATTCCGATCCCTGTAAATATCTCTCATTTACTTCACAGTAATGACAATATTAAAGTGCATCCTCACCGTATTGCCCCAGGGCAATTACTAGGACAGAGCCCGTGAGTTTCCAGTTCTTGTCGCTGACTGGAAAATCGATTAAAAGCCTTGTATGACAAGCTCCAAGCGCAACGCACTGATCCAGACTCGATAAGCATAAAAACTTGAGAAAAAGCCTCCTAAGACATCAGGCCACCACTCTCACTAGCCTGATTACATACCACTGGACGATAACAGAAATCATGGACTACAAACAAGGATGAGAACGATTATCCAAACAGGTGCAAATTCTCATTACATTGAGGAAGATACCAGTCTGTGATGAGACCGTCAGTCACAGAGCACGAGCATGCATGTATCATTCTGGCACATACAAGCATTTCCCTACTGCGAATTAACATCCAGGTAGTCACGCCAAATAATACAATGTGGCTCACCATGGAAGAATCACACACTGAGGACTAGTGTTGTGGCGGCAATTTATCACCAACTGCCAAAGGAGAGCGCTTATACACCATGTGTGGAACATGTCTAAAACACTTTGGTTGACAATTGTCAATACAATTACGAGCCAGTAATCTTGAAAGAAACGCACAACACAAAAATCACCTATAATGCAATCCACTGAGCCACAGCCCGAACTGCAACGTTGTTGCAAACTGCACGTACCACCATTTTGATACACCTGTGGTCATTCACAAAAGCCTTCAAATAGAAGGTCAGTTGACCAACAGTTAAGCCGGACATCCTATCAGCATGTCCCGTACGTTCAGTAGTAATACCTTAAGTCGCAATGCAATGAATATACAAAACTTACCACAGAGTAAAGATGTATCCTGATATGAACCCTCAGTTGCAAATGGGATTTGTAGAGAGGTAGTAAGAGTACGGACCGATTACTCCAGGTCCCAATTCGTTCCGGTACGCGTCGTAATCTGATGCTGAGTTCATGGATGACTATGCAGGTTACAGTACAAGTACTGGTCTGAAGCAGAAGTTTAAATGCGTTCCATGGCTATTCAAATATTCATGGATGCCGAGATAGCTGTTGATGCCGCATGATGACTCGTAATATGCATGACTGTCATACTTAGTTATATCAAATACCGGAACTGTAACTTATGTAAAACCTCATTGAACCTTGGCTCAAGATCATCTGGGTTAGTCATGTGCGGTCAAATTAATGTACTTACACCTGTCTTCATCCCCAATTATCATTCCCCGACGGTGAGCATAGTATCGGCTCGGCCTCGAAGTTTCTTGGCCAGCCGACACGCTCACCCACACTGTTACTAAACCTGTACCCCAATGAAAATGAAGGGTACTACTAGTAGTACTTCAAGTACTAGGGTTGTTCAATTCATTCAGTTTGGGTTTATATACCTGTATATTCTGTCTATCATAGGGCTTCGCCCCAACGGACAATAAACACTGATTCAAAATAAAATAAAATTCAGTTTGGAATCAGAGCGCTGCCAAGCGTGCCAAACCTGTCCTAAACAGGACTCGTACCTAAACCTTACAGCGCGCAGCGCCAACACTTGGTGTAGTACAAGCAGTCTTAAAGCATATTCCAAAACTCACTAAACCTTGTCATTCACGTTCCTGAACTTTTTCTTGACCCTTTCCATAAGTATTTTGTGAATATAATCTAATCAATTCTCACTCACAAATGGAATCAATTGAATATACATTGCTACTTGTGTAACAAGGTTTCAATAAGGGTTAGGATACTGCTTATAGATACAGTGCTTTGCATAATTGCTCCGTTCATATGTTGGTAAAAATGTGCCAACGTAAGCAATAGTCCGTGACTCCGTGTGAAGAAAAATAATTTATAAACCACGTGATTAACTATGGTTATCGATACGCACAGTAGTACAGTACTACTGAACATGCAACGAAGACTCATCAGTACTCATCAGCAACCACATCTCATCGATCTCATCCCCAAACGCCCTAAATTCTACCATCTGGCAACATTCCAACAGTGGGCTGGAACTCGTCAACAAAAGTAGCGAACTCCCAGTCAAACTCATCATAGTAGGTCGTGTATCCGTCTGTCGCCTGGAATGTGGACCTGCAGGAAACCATATCGCCAATGGCATGAGCCCTTTAGAAAATGCCAAATATCAGTTCCATATTGCTCGACCCGCCCACCCTGACCTTGCAACAGACTACCAAGCAGGAATCACAAACCTTGAGACGTTGCAAGGCCAAGTCGCCACCACAGATCGACGCATGAGATCGTCGATGACGTTACAAGGAAAATGGCAAACTGGTCCATTCCGGACGAATTTGCGCTGCACTTCGATAGCATCAAATATAATTTCCAAGTAACACCCCTCCCAGTCTTCTATGAAGGCAACCTTATTCAACCTATCCACACAAATACCGCTCTCAACGGTTCCATCGCGGAGATTGAGTTCACCGTGCGTCATTGGTCCAGGAAAATCCAAGACCACGATACTTTCCAAGCGACCGCAGAAAACGTAACCATCCTGAGGCCTGAGGCTCGGTGCGATCCACCACAATACTAACTACAAACGCCCACACGTCAACGACAACGAAGACCAACCGGAAAATAATAAAAATCACCGAGAGACTGACGTGACTCGCGAGTGGTTCGAAAGCCTAAAAAGAGGTAGGTCTTCTACTACTCTCATAATTGTACTTGTATCTCGAAGCGTTTCGAAGCGAGTCGTATTTCCTATCTTTCCAGCACGTTTTCTTGCGTTGTAGTAGTATTCGACAGTCATGTATTCCAGAATAAAATCGGAGACGAGAAAAATCGGCTGAGTCAACCGGAGCAAGGTGGATAGTCTGCAACACCGACCCCTAGTGATTTAGACAAACTGAGTAATTTCGTGCCGTATTTGCTTTTGCTTAGCAGGACCAAAGTGTGACACTGTCACGCTGCTCCATCCTTGAGTTTGGACGATGCCTAGCAACGTCTACGCAGCTGCGTGAAGGTGTTATCGTCCGATACCATGAATGCACATACCTATCGATGAATTGTAACACTTTCAGGCCTTTCACGTGCAAATGTGTACAACATCCTTCAACTATACATGATAATGAATCTCTACATAATCCACTCGCTCTACCCAATGGCCGCCATCATATATTGGAAGCAGGATATCTCATGTCCATTCAAAGGCTTCTCAATGGAAATCCAATCATGTTTCTCGATGAAATTCAAGATCACTTTGCTGAAACACGCAACGTTGAAGTCTTTATTGCTATGGCACTTTCTCGGCCCTCCGAAATCTTGCGAACATGGGTCAAAATTGATGTGCTACTCATAGAGATAGCTTCCGTGGACAGTACACGGCCATCATGCATCAGCGCCCGCATCGTCCTTCGTTCGGTGACGACGACTTTCGAGAAGTCAGAATGCAGCGGTTGTTGGTGTGACACATGCAACATATTTGTACCAAAAACATGACCCAACATATATACAGCAGTGTATAGTTTGGTTTGTCTACGCAGAGGACTGTAATTTACTACACCATTAAAGTGTTGGCGCTATGCGCCGTTTTAGGTACGAGTCCCGTTTGGGATAGGTTTGGCGACGCTTAGCAGTGCTCGAATCCCAGATGAACTCAAACTGAATAGCCCTACTAGTTCAGGGATACAAAGTCACGAAGTTACGAACAGCCCTCCGCGGGGCTTGCTCTGGGCATCCCTGAACGTTTGGACTCACTCCTACAGTGCGTTACATAAAACATTCAATATTCAGTCTCCTTGATTTGGACGCAATATGTTTGTATGTATTCGGTAGGTGTAAACTTATTCGATCATACCTTGGACCACTGAAAAAGCCTCTGAGATCTAAGATCTGAGCGCCACTGTCATACTGCGTAAAGTTCTATCAATCGGACATTTCGTCGGGCAGCCGCCGCAATACTGTATGTACCCTGTTTGAGCTGATAGTCTACATTCTTAGGTCTTGTGGTATCCCAATTGGAGTGTAGCTCCGGCTTCGCTGGCAGGGTCAACAACTCACTCCATGAACTCCCTGAGGCCCCTCCCTACAGGTTTTTTTCGCTGCACACGTGAACCATGCCGGCCGCCAGCCTGTCATTTGACAGACATGAACTTTGTCTCTACAAGGTATGGTACAATTTATGTTCGACAAGCTGACAAGGCCAATCTTGTCAGTTTACCCGACTGGTATAGGCCTGAAGCTCGAACATATCTTATTGTATCGCCGCTTGTATGGTGAGTGCAATCCTTGCGAAACAGTCACCCATCTCGGTGGAGTTTCAAAATTTTGTAGACGTTTTACTGACTGCACCCAGAGAGTTGAGCTGTTTCAGCAACTGTCCTCCGTTGCCAAAAACGCCAGACAACAATCCTCTCTTGCAGCTGCTCTGTGAGCTCATAGAAAGTGACAGGTCAGACGGCAAACATATATTTGAGAATATCCAGAGGTTTTTGGTGGGCACACATGTATTCAAACACGTTGCATCCAAATAAAGGACTGAAAGTTTTTATGCAACGCACTGCATGCTTTCTTTGTGTACTACAAATAGGTGTGACATGATGATCGATGATGATGGGTGCAATCATTCTGCATTGCGTAAAAGATGACAGGGCGTGTCTGCATATTTGAGGTCCAATGCGTGAGTATAGATCGCGCACGTTTCCCTCCACTATACTTCCGGATTCAATTTATATTGCTATTCCACAAGGAACGTCAGAACTGTCGGAAAATTAAGACCATCCATAACATCATCAGTGCATGCAGGGTAAACTTCATCATGCCGCTTGGCATTTTGCTCCTTCCTCAATAGACATTGTGCCTCACCAGGTTGGGTGCGCGTGACGGGTTGAGCGTTGGTTCATTAAACACAATAATTGATCTCAGATAAATCTGGGAGGCCAAGATGTCTCAGAGGAGTTGCGTCTGGTAACCCTTCAGATGTTTAAAAACAACATGGTTAGACACACCCTTAACAGTACAGACATGCACACGCAGTAAACGCGGACAGAATGGCCCGCGCAACGTCGGCGTACTGCTCGAGAGTGAAGGTAGCAAAGTTCTCTACGATATGCCGAAGACTGGAGGCCGACACCGGCAATAAATCTCCGGATGGACTGTTGGACAACAGGCAAACAGAACCATGGTGCCCAAAATACTTGCTGTAGAACGCACGATGGCATAATTAAGCTTTCGTCATTAACAAGCTCTTGATCTGAGATCACCGGTGCAACGAGGCGGGCAAAGTGCCATCGACAACGGAATGGGATGATGAAGAGCTAGCTACTAGCCATAGCGCAGCGCAGTTTAGTGCACAGAAAGGGGACCAGACGAATATAATAAAAGTCAGCGTGGTAAACAAAAAAAAACATTTCAAAGGGTCTGGGATGAACAATGTTTCAGAGATTTATTTTTCCTAGACCTATAGTACCCTGCTCGGGCCCAGGAATGTCTGTCCGAGAGAATATCAACATGATGTGTACCAGCTGTGTCAAGAGCGAAATATTACCACATAGGATGATACGGTGGCGACTAAGAGAAGGCAAGCAGGGTGGAATGGTAAGCGGGAAGGTGTGATGGCGAGGGTGCACAAATAACAGAATGGTGCAGTGACAAGCAGGAGAGCTCAAAGTGATCCTGGAGTAAAAGGTCGCAGTCAACAGGCGTTCAACGTCAAGAGAGTATAGTCGTTAGCAGGTTCGCAGTTTCGCGGGAAGGCGCAAGGACACGGTACAAGATTGAGAGAGCCAACAAGATATTGATGACATTGTGGGGTCACCTGGGATCGCACTTTCCAGTTGCAAGTTCATACCAGTAAGATAAAACTCACTAAATATTGTACCCGTCGTGCTATCCTATGCATCCGGGAAGAGATGAGCCTTGAGATGGGGGAATATTCTAGAAAAAATCCGAGTAACTACGACCGACCTTTAAAAGTGTTAAGAAAATAATCGAACAGTGGTGCGGAATCTCACGTATGTGTTGAGAAAAAGTAGTCCGGTTGACCGCCAAAGTGTTGACGTCCCATTAAAGATATGATAGCACGGAAGACCAGGGGGGGGGGGGGGTGCAAGAAGTCCCGCTGCCTACTCCCGAACTCTAGCATCTAAACAATTTACTTCTTGTAGTAGCACGGGACCCTTAACCTCGAAATGTCCGCTGGGATAGAGTCATCCTTCGGAAAACAGCATCCAAATCTATAGCGCGAATTATGGTACAATATCAATTATGCTTGCTGTACCAATGGGTATACCACTGTCCAAAGATGAATATGCAGGAAACGACGAAGATGTACGCGCGCGAGGACGGCCACATATTCTACTTTTTCTGTATTGCATTCACCAACCTGTCATTCGAATATGTCAATGTCGTCGAAATGGGACAAGATATATCACTGACCAGTCTAATCCTTCCTCCAGACCTTGCCCCTCTGTTGCACAGCTCCCACGCACACTCCATGGTCTTGACGTCTCGTGACCTGCGAGACCAAGTTGTTCGCTGATATCTTCAGGTTTTAGTACTCCTTCGACATCTTGCTTATTGCAGAATACAAGGAGTGGTACGCCGTTGAGTTCGTCTTCCGAAAGCATGGTCAACAGTTCACTCCGTGACGTCGTCAACCGCGCATGATCCGAAGAATCGATAACGTATATGATGGCAGATGTGTTTGGGAAGTAGCATCGCCAATATGGCCTTCGAGCACCATTCAGGAATTGCTGACGGAGATTAAGTTGTACACACCGTATGCTAGACTGCCCTCCAAGGTCCCATACTTGGAACTTAATGTTTTTATACTGGATAGTATTGTCAATAAAGTTAGATACAGATTTTTTCTTCGTCAACACACCTGAACAGTCTCTACATTAAAGCCGATTGCTGGGTTGTTCCTCGTGAGCCTCAAACCCCACAAAGCCTATGATGCCATACTCACTCGGGATCGTAGAAACTACTTCTCCAATCTGCAAATTTGTTTGGACCTCCACTGAATATATTTTCAACATTACTCACCTGTAATCGGTACAGGATTGTCGTCTACGAAAACACCAGTCCGTTTGAACCCGAATAACATCATATTTGCAAGTGGACATACCTTGCCAGCCGAGTCGAGGCCGAGCATGAGTATACGGACATCTTGGTCTTTGCTCCATCGTATCAACGACGACAACGACGTGAAAAGGGAAGATATTGTAAGACCCATGGGATCAGTATGTCAGTTTGCTTTGTAGTAGTAGCAGTAGCAGTGTAAATCTATTTCCGGGGCGTTTGGCTGGCGACCTTATCACGTGTGCGAGCCAGTTTGGATCCAAAGAGATCCAGGTGCCTCTGTTCGGATTCGAAGTAATTATTTCCGATATCATCCCTAGCCGTGTCTTGTCCTGTGCAGCATGCCTGCAACAGCCATCGGGGACGCATCGCCCAAATCACAAAAAAAGTCCAGGTCCGCGGACTCTAATGCCAAGGATGTCGGTCAAGAACACGTAAAGTCGAAGAAGAGAAAGCATAAAGAAGCTACCAGTGACGCGTTGTCCATGACCACCCTAAAAGGTCAAGCGGCTTCTACGACACGAGATTCTCAGAGCGCGAGTCATCCCTTATCTCCTTCAAGTGCACCCTCTGCAGGAAATGTCGCATCCAAAAATGTTCAGCTAGCAAACTTAACAACTACAAGTGATACGGAGCGGAAAAAGAAGAATAAGAGTTACTCGGAGGACGTGGTGCACGAGAAGTTGAAAGACAGAAGTGACGAACGTAGGAAGGAGAAGACGAAAAAGAAACTGAAGCACTCAGACGAAGGCCAACATGAAGGAGACGCACTTAATGGACAGGTCGCACATTCAAACGACACCAAGGTCCAAACACCAGAAGAGGCTGCCTCAGAAAAGTCACAACAGAAGAAGAAGAAGAAGAGAAAGGCGGAGGAACAGTCGGGAGAAACACCTGATAGCAAACCGCTCAAAAAAAAGAAAGGCCACCGTCCACCAGATTTGCCCTCCACAGACCCTAGTGTAGACGAGTCTCTGCCTGATCAAAGTCGGAAAGGTATGTCACAAAATTCGCATGTGTTTTTACTGAGCATATAATGATTTACAGCGTTGTCGTATGCATATGCACGATTCGAGGATCCACCGAACTGGAAGTTTAATAAAGCCAAGCAGATATGGCTGATTAAAAGATTGTGGTCCGAAGAAATGGTGAGTTTCTCCTGTGAATTTGTCGCTTGGCTGATCGTAGTTTCCTGTGCCAGATACCCGAGAAGTATTTTACCCTAGTGACCAAATATCTCGCAGATGTGAAGGGGGGGAATTCGAGACGTATGTCTTGGTCATCTTGTTTGACGACTGGTCTCATAATGTTCTTCTCTAGAACCTCGTACAGATGTGCAATTCTATAGTGGCCTTGGAGACACCGGATCCTGTGACTCCAGAATCAGTCGTATTACCAAGTGATCTTTCGAATGGAGGGTCCACTACCACGACCAAAGTGACGAGAGCTCGTAGCTTACTGGGTGTTTTGTCGGATGGACCGTGAGATTAGCTCACTCTGACGTTGCGCGTTGCAGCGATGTGAAGCATCAGTACAAGAATTGCGGGCTTCATGGTACCTTGAGCAGACAGCCACACAAGTCCAGTAAGAATGATGGAGTTGACCATACTAGCATTGGAATATGGGTCATACTTAACAGTCTCTCAACAACCATTAAGCTGAAACCGCGATAGTAGGCGCAATGGGCATGTCAATTGGATTGACGGGAGCCCGTGGTGCTTTCACTTTCTTCGGCAATGCCCCAGCAATGTGCTCAACAGCTCCAGTCATCAGCGCAGCTTCCACCTTTAACTCCGTCTCGCTCAACTCGACAGCTCCCAAAAGGTCCTCAAAGCTCTCCCGAACAACCTGAACTGCATTAACGTCAACCAAGGCTGTGTCTTCATCATGCAACGTCTGTGGTTGTCCAGCGGTGTTGATCTGAGCGTTACTCCAGATGGGTCCGACGTTTTCCTTGCCTGTACCAACATTGGCACGTCCACCCAACTTTGCCCATTCGCTGATCCGGTTGATGTTGAGCTTCGTGAACACTGTGTCCATTGCACTAATCAAGCCATCAATTTGCTCTGCAGTGTGGCGAGGAGTGACAGTGACCCGAAGACGCTCTTCACCCACAGCGACGGTAGGGAAATTGATTGCCTGAACATAGATGCCGTGTTCGTGAAGAAGTTTGTCGCTTGCTGCCTTTGCGAGACCAGCATCACCGACCAAGACTGGGACGATGTGAGAAGGACCGGGGACGACGGGTATGTCTAGAGCAGCGAAACGTTCCTTGACAGTGCGAACATTAACCTGTTTCAATGCTCGATCACCGACATGGTGCTTCTGGTAAATGACGGAAGCTCGAGCACCAGCGACTGTAGCGGGAGGCAGTGATGTAGTGAAAATGAAACCAGGTGCGTATGAACGAATCATGTCAATGAAATCGCGAGACCCCGCGACGTATCCGCCAACAGTGCCATATGCCTTGCCGAGTGTACCTGCCAACGGTAAGCCGAGCCCGTCAGATAGATATGTATGATAATGACTAACCAGTAATCATGTCAATACGATCCATCACGCTCTCCTTGATTGGCTCGGAACTTTGACCGGCCATCTGGTGGGATTCCCAGTCGAGATGCTCGGCAACGCCCGCACCGCGGGGCCCGTAAAGTCCGACAGCGTGCACTTCATCAAGGAAAGTTAATGCGCCGTACTTCTTAGCCAGATCACAGATCTCCTTGATAGGCCCGATGCTACCGCACATAGAGTAAACACTCTCAAAAGCGATAATTTTAGGGGTTGTCCTTCGGATACTTCTGCAGTTTAGCCTCGAGGTCGTCCAGGTCATTGTGTTTAAAGATCTCCTTCTTCGCACCGGAGTGCCGAATGCCCTGTATCATGGACGCGTGATTGGAAGCGTCCGAGAAGTAAACGCAACCAGGAAGTTTGGAACCGAGGGTAGATAAAGTTGCATCATTGGCGACATAACAAGACGAAAATACGAGCGCGGACTCCTTGCGATGAAGGGTAGCAAGCTCGCGTTCGAGACTGAGATGCATAGCACTATTTCCAGCTATGTTTCTAGTACCTCCAGCGCCTGCACCGTATTTGTCTAATGCCCGACTGCGTGAGAAAAACGTTAGCTTGCGACCAAATCAGGTGATTGCAGAGGCTATACGTACTGCATGGTTTCAAGTACGACAGGATTATTTCCCATTCCCAAATAGTCGTTAGCGCACCATACTTGGACTTCTTCCTTGACACTCGCAGTGTGCGCAATTGGAAATTTGGTTGCAAGCCGGTTAATGTTGTTGAAGTACCGGTAGGACTGATCCTTGTGCTTCTTCTCGAGCTCGGCCGCATAAAACTTGTCATAGTTGTAGGCATCTGAAGTAGCAGGAGCAGTCTGGGTTTCTGTCACAGTAGGCAATTTGACGGGTTGTTCCTTTGCAGCAGTGGCAGCCTTATGGAAAGGGCATCCGGCAGCAGCGGCCTTCTGGGCCATGCTCGGGACTTCCTTTCTAATTTCGGGTGCCTTCGCAGTAGATGCGGCAGCAAGGTCATCCGCCATCCGAGCAGCAGCCCGAGCAGCGGAAGCATGGGGGCATTTGGAAATGTCCGCATCGGAAACACTGGTTCCGGGGAAGATACCTTTGCTGTGGTGAATTTTCTGGACGTCGGCCTGACCAGCGATACTGGCGTAACCAGCAACCATCTGAGTAGAGCGCATTACTAGGGCCGGACCCATGATGGGGCAATTCACGGCTCGCTCAGTGAGCTGAGAGATCGAGTGGAATCTGGGGGAAATGGTGCTGCTAAGGGCGCGAAGGGTTGAAGTCTTCGTCCCGCCCAAAAACGGGCAGGAACTCTTGAAACGAGCCAGCGAAGAAAACTTTTCCATGTTCAAGTACCGGGAGCTCTGGAGAAAAGCTCGCACAATATATGGTCAAATCTGAAACAGAGAATCAACGGTCAGTGACCCAGAAGATGGAGACTAGCACAGATATGTATGCTTACAAGCAAAGTCCTATAGTGAGCGCAAACTGGGACAATATTTATGGGATCGGGGATGTGAAACTGTGAGAAACCTTATATCAGAAATTAGGAAAGCGCCCATTGGCTGGTGAGAATCACGTGGTTATTCCTCTTTCACCATTCTGCTATGCGACGTGGAGTTCCCTGGCGCAATCACTGCATTAATAGTGTAACCGAAGTAACTACTTCAAGCTTAAGCCCGCAAAGATGACAGGCACCCTTCAAGCACGTCCATAGCTATATCTACTTCTTCCTTATTGACATTTAGAGAGGGCACCAGACGCACAGCATCTTTCCCAGCAGTCAGCAGGAACACACCACGCTCTCGCGCTAGCTGCACTACTTCTCCAGGATGTGAGACATCATTGAATCCAAGGCCTCGGATGAAACCACGACCGCGCACGTGAGGCTGTAACGTGGCTGGGAACCATTTCGGCAAAACTTCGAGCCGGTTGTTCATGTACGCGCTCATCTCTTTCATATGAGTCACGAACACACGATCACTGAGGCGATTCAGAACGTGATGTCCAACTGCACAAGCCGTGGGTGACCCTCCAAACGTCGTCCCGTGAGTGCCTGTCGACAACTGTCAGCTCCTGCGGGCAACTCTCACGATTTGTTATTTTTACCTGGTGTCATTGTTGATGCAATGGTATCACGAAGCAATACGGCACCAATTGGATAACCGTTGGCTAGCGGTTTCGCCACCGTGATCACATCAGGATGGCAATCAATTGGAAATGCCGAATGTGCCCAAAGATTCCCTGACCTGTACAGGCCGCACTGCAATGCAGTTCAATCAGAACGCAGTGTGCGAAAATGTTACAAAGTAAAACGAACTTGAATTTCATCAAAGATCAACACTGTTCCTGTCTCGTCACAGCGCTTTCGCAAAGCCCTCAACCATTCTTCGGTTGCGGCAGTGGCGCCTCCCTCTCCCTGTATGGGCTCGACAATAACCGCACAGGTATCATCAGTGATAAGCCTATGGAGGCATTCCAGATCATTGAGCTTGCCAACGCTGACTCCAGGTATCAGTGGTCGAAAGGGTAGCTGGTATTTCTCCGTCGAAGTGACACTCAGGGCACCCATACTTCGACCATGGAAAGAGTTCTCAAAGCACACGATACGCGTTTTAGGACACGATACGTCATCAACTTTTCCACCAGTGGCCGCGGCCCAGCGGTCCTTTCCAACTTTGCGAGCTATCTTCAAAGCGCCTTCATTCGCTTCGGTGCCTGAGTTGGCGAAGAAAAACCTTGGCCCCTTGCTTAGCGGCTGAAGAAGATGGAGAGGTACCGCCAGTGGCGTAGCCTAGTCCACCTTCTTTGTTAGTGAGCGTCACCAGAAGCTGCGCCAGCTTTGGCGCCCACTCATGGTAGTATACATTTGAGGTATGGAGAAGGGTCGATGATTGCTGCTGTAGCACCTATGATGGTATAGTGTAAGTTCCTATCGTAATGGACGGTCTCATCCATAATGGAAAAGAACGTTCAAAATGTAGGGATTACTCACCTCTGAGACACCTGGATCCGCATGTCCCAATGCGTTCACTGCGATGCCTGCGCTGAAATCAAGAAATTTTCGGCCATCTGCGTCCCAGACCCAGCTACCACGTCCATGTGAAAGCACGAACGGAGGACGTGCGTAGACAGGAAGGAGGTATTCATCGCCAAGCGCTATAGTACTTTTCGTTGCAGAGGATTGTGTATGTGCAGAAAAGTCATATATAGGCTTCAAGTAGCGTGTGCTCGGGGATGTTGGAAGCTACGCCTCTTTGCATTTTGTAAACAGAAGTTACAAAACATAGGCTGGCGTACCTCAGATACAGCATTTGAAGCATATCGCCTGGGTGCTGCTAATGGGGTCGCACTGGAGCCTCGAGCCAAAATTTGCAGCCGGGTAACTGGGAGAGGACTCGACAGATGAGTCAAACGCGCAGTGGAGTGCATGGATGCTTGTGATCAAGTTGGACCAACTCTCAGAGTAATGATAGATTCGAGAAGAGTGTAAAGGAAGAGAAAAAACCACAGCAACCACACAAATTAATCGCTGAGCAGTCCTATATGAGTCACATGCACAACGTCCGAGCTCGTCCGACTCTGACCAACAGCAGTACTGCTACTAGTCCGGCACAATTATGGCAGGGGAAGTGAAGGAGAGCCGGCTAGCTGTCAGCGTTGATTCATAGGGCCAGGGCCCAGGGGTCAGCATACAAACAAACAGTTGAAAGCCAATAGCATTACAACCTATTACAACAGCACTCGAAAAAGGAACACCAATCACTGCATGCGTGATGATAGCAGCACAAATTTTGTACAAATTGGAATACAAAGCAGGAGCAAAGTGGGCAAAAGCCTCACAACATCCGGACAAACAACAGATTTCAGAATATTCTGGGTGCATCTCAATCTCTGGAGCGGCTGCGTCCCGTGCTCACAGACATGGATGAATCCGAAGAAGCTGAGCGACCGCGTCCTGTAGGTCGCGGTGATCGAGAGGTATTTCTCCCACGATCTTGGTCGCTTCCATTACGGGGAGGAGGTGGTGACAGCTCGCGGTCTTTCCCAGGTGGAGATTCTGACATATCCCACCCACGTCGGCGGGGTGGTGTTTCTGAGCGATCGCGGCCACGGCGAGGGGGTGATTCTGAACGCTCACGCGAGCGGCGGGGATGTGCAGGAGGCGGTGATCGCCTTATTGGTGGTGTTACAGACCCAGAACGCCGATAGCCTGGTCGGTCGGGGGAACGAGACCTTTTGGACTGCACAGGAGACGGAGAGCGCCGACGAGGCGGAGGAGACCGAGAAGGTGACCTGCGGCGTCGAATGTCTCTTTCACGTCGCGGGCTTCGGCTCCTGCGCTCACGCTCTCCACGAAAATCTCTTGGCCGATCCCTGAATGCAGGAACGGGAGGAGGGGGCATTCTCTCCTTCCTTCGGCCGGTCTCCTCTTTCTCTCTCCTTATCCTATCTTCCTCCCTCCGACGCAAGCGATCACGCTCTCTCTTATCTGCCTCCCACTTCTGCTTTTGCTCCAACCATTTCGACTTGTCTTCCTCACGCTTCCTCTCGCGCTCCTCTCGCTCGACCATACGACGCATCTTATTTTCTTCCTGCTTCTCTCGGTCAAATGCATCACCCTCCGTGTAGTTACTTCTCGTGCCCAGAGCTCGGGCCATTTTGTCGAGTTCAGCCTTTTTGGCAGCTGCAATACCATGCGTATCGGATGGTTTCAATTTTTTTGCGGATGGAGTGAGTGATGCCAAATCCTTGTTTAAAGTTGTGCGAAGTTCGTCAACTCGCGTTTCAATGGTTGCTTCATCCAGACTGTTGAAAAGAAAGTCAGAGCATCGTTAATGCAAACATTTCAAGTCTACACACCCATCATCTTCGAGCTGTAGTTGCAGCTCCAGACATTTGACTTCAACCTTTCTCTTTCTCTCGTGTTCCAAAATAGCTTCATCCGGTTCCCTGTGCTTTGGGGGTGCTACGTCCCAGGCAGCAGCTCGATCTGCGGCAGTCTCGTGCACACGAAGTGCCGAGAGGTTACGCATAACATAGCCATTTGTGCCGCTATGATATGTAATCAGTATGATGAATTCGACTGTGGCCGAAAACAACGCACCTTCCCCGGGGAGTGGTTAATCCGATACCGTTGTACATGACGTTCCAGAGATGAAGACGATGAATTAAGTTGGAGGTCATAAATAGAATCGGAGTTTAAAACCCGGGTAGTGCAGCCGGTCCACGGCATTTGTCATTACTCTGGACGCGTCGTGGTAGCGGCAGGGCGACTGCCTCATAATATAATTACATTAGACAACACGCAAGCCCTTCTCCACAATAACCTGTTCCTCTCCATTCTTACATCTTTCACCATTTCAGCGATCAACCTTCTCCGTAGGCAAGCAGGTGCCATGTCAGCTTCAATACCAACTAGTACTTCATCCGCCTTCCTCCCACTTCCCCCGGCTAAGGATATACCTCTCACATTCACGGCGAGCTTGAAGAGTTGGTGAGTGAAAGGAAGGCTAATATACGCTGCTGTTCGACCCTGACGATCCGAGCCAGGTGGGCTGCTGGAGACAAGCAGGGTACTGCGTCCGAGGAACGACTACTGAGGTATGCAACATACCCCCATGCATTGAAAGCATGCGTATGACATCATTATAGGCGACTTCCGTTCTTCCAGCCAGAGCAGATGGCTTCCTCAACCAATGACAGTCCCGTCATTGCACACAGGGAGCGTGTGCAGCTTGCGGCACCGAAGCACTTCCTGAACACCTTATCAATCAAGTCCACAAATCCTTCGCCGACTGCACCGCCCCCAGCCGTAGTCCTTCATGGATATGGTGCAGGTCTTGGTTTTTTCTTTCGTAATTTCCCCGCACTCGCACAATGGGCAGGGCACCGCGGCACTGACGTCTTCGCTGTGGACTGGCTAGGCATGGGCCGTTCCGCCCGCGTACCCTTCACCGTCAAAGCAAAGCGGGATGACATCTCCGGGCGTGTGCATGAAGCCGAGTCCTTCTTCGTTGATTCGCTAGAGGAGTGGCGAGCAAAGATGGGCCTCGAGAAGATGACGCTAATCGGACACTCGCTTGGCGCTTATTTCAGTGCTGTCTATGCACTGCGGTACCCCACCCGTGTACACAAGCTCATTCTTCTCTCCCCTGCTGGTGTTCCTCGTGATCCAAATAACCTTACCATGCCTTCGCGCGAACTAACTGATGAAGGTGACTCACGAAGCACGATATCGACGAGCCATTCTGCGGTCGCTGCATCCACTGGGGGTGTTAGACAGATACGAGAAGAGCAGAAGGCTATCAAGGAGAAAGAGAGCCGTTCAAGAAGACTGCTCACATACCTATGGGAGGAGGGTTGGAGTCCATTCCAAGTTGTACGCTCGACCCTTTTCTGGGGTCCTATGCTTGTAGGAAAGGTGTGGAGTATGATATTATCAAGTATACTGGGATACTGACATTTCCGCTCCATGCAGTACTCAAGTCGTCGTTTCTCCGGTTTGACAGAAGATGAAACGCGCGATATGCATGATTACATCTTAAATATCACACTTTCTAAAGGCTCGGGAGAGTATTGCATATGTAAGTTCTGCTCTTTCGATTTTAGGCCCTAACCTGATAGGATTTCACCTAGCTCATATCCTTGCGCCCTACGCTCATGCTCGTATGCCACTTGTCGATAGAATAGCTGCGCTCAAATTGCCAATAACCTTCATTTGTATGTACCACTTTAGCTTTGTCCTTAAGTTATCCCTCACTATCTCTTTTAGACGGCGAGCATGATTGGATGGACCCGCAAGGCGGACTGCAGTCCCTCGAGAATTTACGCAAAGCTGGTAATCATCAGAGCAGGATGTATAATATACCATACGCCGGTCACCACGGTAAGTTTTCCGTCTTGCATTTCTCTTTCAGCCGTCTGATCCAGTTTCCTCAGTGTATCTGGATAATCCAACGGCTGTGAACGAGCTCCTCGTCGCCGAGCTCGACGATGCCGGAGAGCAGCTGTATCTCTTCGCCGCCTCGCGGTCATGATAATTTAATTACGCAGCATGGGTTGGTTTATTTAGTTGATGTCTATTCAGGGACGCTTGTTCAATTTAGTACGTATATTTTCACGCATACACGATTTTGTGTATAGATTTTGTGCACTAGGGATCATGCAATGTGTAAGTAAAACAAATGACAACGGTTCGAGGCAGGCACGAATAATCAAGGGATGACAGAACGAAAAGGTCACCGCGGTGCTTCCGTGGTCACGTCGTAGGACATGTTCATGACAAAATACGCCTGGAGGAGCTCAGAGGTCCTCTGTATGCGATAGTCCGCACACGGTCTCCATGCATCCCTAAGGACATTCGGAACAATGACTAAGAACCTTGATCAGTAGGATCTCTTAAAAATCACCATCACTATAACATAGACCTTCTGCTGCCAATTAATGGCTCAACGAAGTCCTCTCGTAAATCACGGCGAGGATACAACCATGCCTTCCATCATAATGAGAAAAGCCCGCCTGGGGAACCCATGAGTCGACTAGAGAAATGGACGCAGATGTGGTTTGGTCGGTTCCAACTTGGAGGGGGTAAAGGGAGATCGGTGAAGCACGAGAGCGTAGGAAATGAATAAAGTCACCGATCGATCGATCATGGTTGGATGTATCACCAAGTTGCAGAGTCGCGCCCGCGGCAGTGCTAAATTTCAGCTCCGCAGGGTGTCTTCGGCTTGCTATAAAATTTACACCTGTCTAGTGATTCTGCACATCTCTGACCTGCATATTTTCGGGGTGGGGTATGGCTCGCACCAGCCAATCATGATATTTAGTTTTAAATCAAGGAGAGGCAGAGAGCGGTGGTACATGAGCGGCTCCACATGAGGTCCCGAACCTTGTATCAAGTATGCGATAAACCTCCATTAATGTATGTGATGAGATAAAATCATGGAATGTCAGAGATCACTGGTACATTAATGATGACCATCGGTATACTCAGGAGAGGTACAACAGATAAAGAGCCAGAAGCGAGTCCAGCGACCAGCGTGTTCTATCGGATTAGTGCTCAAAGTTGTATTAGCGACAACGGGAGGTACGGTGGAGGCGGAGACAGCAGCATGTGGTTGCGGGGCCGACTGGGCTTGAGCTGCGCTGCTGGATTCCAGCGTGATAGTGCAATTGGGAGGACGTAAGCTTCCTGCACTAGTATTTTTTCGTATCAGTAACCTCCGTCTCTCTCTTGCACAAGCATTTCCCTGCGTGATATGTAGTGGGGTTCGAACATCCGAGATGAAGAAAATAAGATCAGGTGGAACTGAATATTCGAGATGCAGAGATAGGAACATACACGTTTGCCCTTGGCATACGGGACGTCAATGATTGCTGAGGAACGCCCAGGCAGCTCGATATCTAAACTGCTTGTTGTGGCAGAGAGACGATTTCGAACCCAGTGGAAAAGGCGGGGTTGGGATGACGTATCGTGAGCACCTGGGTGTATGGAGCGGAATAAAGATAAAATCGGTCACGAAGGGTGCTTCCGTGTGATGGTGGTGATAGAGGGTAGAGGTGGTGTCGTGCAGACAACTGAGAACGTGAAGGTGATGAAAACATTACTGAATATTAACGAACGACGTACATGAGCATGGTTTGGTGGGTCGTCAAAAAAACCTCGGGGTGGCCGATAGGAGACTTTGATTGGCTGACGGACAGGACGTCGTGTAGCATTATCCTAGAATGCATAAGCTTTAAATGCAACGAGAATTGTTAACGAAAGTTTCACGTACAGCGAGTGCCAATTCAGACTTGTAGTGCTCAGGCTGGTCCAACAGAAGGTCACCGAGGCCAGCTTCTCATGAACATCCCATATGTACGCATTGTGGTCATGGCAACCAGTGGTTAGTAACTTGCCATCTGCCGAAAACGACACACAGGATACTGCATTCAAGTTAGCATGGTGGAGGGGCGAACCGACGAGCCGGCCGTTGTCGAGGTTCCATAGTCGTGCTGTCTCATCGGCCGATGCGCTTGCGAGGATGGGGCCATTCGGAGATATCGCAATGGCATAGACGATGTCGGTGTACTCATCCAGCACTGCGATCTGCTTGCAGGGGGTAGTACTCCATGTCCTATTAATTGGCTGATCGTGTGACACGGAGATAAGTGTTTTTCCATCTAGGGTCCAAGCCAGGCAATTATATAACCAAATTTCGACAAGCTCGCCTGTCTTCGTGTCCCTGGGGAACCAGTCGAGGACCCGTGCCATCCAGCAGTCGCAAATAACATTATCCTCAGCTCACCTCACTTTCTCCCTCAAGCGAGTCTCCGTTCCTCCAGTCCTCTCCTATCTGTTTTCCACTCTTCAAGTTCCATACCCGCAGCGAGCCGTCATGCAGACAAGTCGTCATCCGCTGTTCGCCAGGCGCCTGGTAGATGTATGACGCTATTGATCCAATCGGTGTATCCTTTGAATTTCTGGCGGGGCGTTATCTCTGATATACCATGCGTCCCGGCAATGAATGAAGACATAATCGTTGAGTGCATCGCCGTCTTAGCCTTCATCCAACAAAGTTCAAAATCATCACTTACCACGATATGGTTCTTAGCGGGTCTCGACACAAAGACACAATGAGCGTTTAGTTCAAGTCAGAGTTGAGTACACTGGAAGTTCGAGCTGGTACGTCTTACGCGTGGCATTCTCGTGATTGCTTTACAGCTTGTTGTATAGGCTGTGTAGCTGAAGCGTCCAAGCCTCGAGACCTCATGCATCATGTCTGATCACGAATCACATCTAGTCAGCAACAATCTTAATCCCCATTTTTACTACCTGGCTATTAACGATATCATACGCTGAATTGCGCCTCAGATCGTACATCTGCCTCTCCCTAGCCAACTGTTCTCCGAACGCGTCCGTCATCTCTGAGTCGCACATGCCGATACCCATCCGGTACGTAAGACGTTTATTCTACCCGGGAAACCATCCAGACCTTTTGCAATCAGATACAAATCGCTGTAACGTCGTATTTTTCTTCAGTTCGGATCACTGGGGGGCTGACGTCTTGCTGATGGGCCTGCCATTGAACTCTGGGAGCGGTGTTGCTCAGAAATGCAGCGCTTTGTTTCTGCACCCCGATTATTCTTTTCCACTGGCTCAGCGCGATGGAAGGAACGACTGTCTTCCTTCTATCGGACGGGAGACTAGCTCGGTGCAGGTCACTATGCTGAACCCCTAGCTAGCTACACGCTACTCGAGTGTTTCACTCTATGCTGGTATTTCTTGTGACATTATCATGGACTAAATAGTGCTCATACACCGTAAACCTAGATTTCCCAAGCAATCTTGGGGCGAGTTCATCAAGAAGAGTGATTATACATTTGAATATAGGTTTACACACAAAGTTTGCCGCACATCACCATCCCTTCCTTACACGGCTCACAGTTTTGCTCTTGGTAGGGGAATTTCATCCATGATAGCACTCGGAAGCTCGTATTGGATCCAGTGACCAATTCCGTTAAGAACTTTTACATTCAATCTCGCCTCGTCAACAGGGATGCGCTCCAAATGACAAACAGACCCAAACCCCGGATCAGATACCAACAAGGCGACCTTCACGTGAGGCGGGATGTTTTTCAACCGGCCGCCGAAAGCATATGGCTTGTTATGCTGTTCACAGCAGCGGTAAACTTGTCAGCGATGCTTTCTAATTTCGACACGAGAAATATCACCTCAAATATCCCTTTGACGACGGTGCGATCGCACATGTAGACTCCTAGCGCTCTTAGCATGCTGTCACCCTCGAGACCAAGCAGAGTTCTCAGCCATGTGCTCGTCAGCAGTTTTGGCATCCTCAATCTCCTTCAAAAACCTGTTTTTGCCCTGTTGGAATTGCTCCACCGTAAGCTCGAGGGGGGGATCAGCGAGTATGACGGTGGTTTCTTTTGTCTTGGGTAAGAATGGGAAGAGCGATACAGCCACTATGCCCCCAAGAGAATGTCCTATAATTACGTCGTAGGACATGTCCACGGCGAAATACGGTCGAAGGTCCTCTGCAAGGGTGGACACACGATAATCACCTCCTCGTCTCCATGCATGCCCGAGAAGATTTGGCGCGACGACGAAGAACCCTGAATAACCTGTCAAAACAGAGCATCATCACCATGATGTCACAAAACCTGACCTTCTGCTACTAATAGCTGAGCAATGCCCTCCCATGATTGCGAGGACATAGTCAGCCCATGGATGAGCAGAGCGCGTTTGGGAGCAATAGGGGAACCCCAGTGTGTCGCGGACATGGACGTACTCATCTCGGATGACCTGAGATTGTTGCGAGCGGGTGGGAACAAAGATGTTAAGAACTCATGAGCTCAGTCTTCACTTAAAATACTGAGGGTGTGAGCACAGGACCAAGGCGTATCTCACAGAAAGAGTACCGTGGTGATAAGTCATACGACCCCGGGTCCCCGACACATTTGATATGCAGCCAATCAGTTTCGGAGGACGGCCCGCATCTGAATGTGCCGGGCGGCCACAAATGTTGCGATCTAACACGTATCGACAGAGCACTGGAAACAGACCGAAAAAGGATGATGATGAGGCTGCTTACGAGAGTGAGGCATGTCGCTCAACAAGTAATGTCAATGAAGAAACGTTCATCACATAAGAAGAATATGGCATCTTATCCTCACGGCTCCTTCGCGGATCGTGATCTAGGGACAGACCTGCCATGTCACATCAGTGTCATCTCGCCCGTTGTATCAACCGAGGCAGATTAGTACTTGCTCGTATCGTGCAGGCGGCACTGAACTGGGTAGTTTGTCCAGGTGTGACCCTATCTTGTTGGAGGAATATACTTGGTCTCCCCTGGACAGATCATATAAACGAATGAAGATAGCCGTTCTCTGAGTTGAAGCCTCGTCTAGCAGAAATCTAGCAGGTCGAAATATGCGTCGAGCAGCTTCACTGAGGACGCCTTGTCAGTTGCACACATTTCATATCGGTGCTATTTGTCCCCAACACGAGTGGGGAAACGTGCACCTCCGCAGAGGGGGCCAGCGTACAATGTACAATATATAACGAGCTTGGTAGACGATTTGGGAGCAAGTTGATAGATATTCATACTGGTCACTGGTGAGAGGGAACTTTGCAATTGTCGCAAAAATGGGTAATTCGGGCAACATAGTCTGGGAGAATATCAATAGCAAGTGTATCTGAATGGGATGATTGCAGACGAAAACCGCGCCGCGGAAACCCATCTCTTTTCAAGTGCTCGGCTCAAATTTTTGCTCTGGGTAGCGGAACTTCATCCATGATAGCACCCAGACACTCGTATTGAATCCAGTGGCCAATTCCGATAAAAACTTTGGTTTTCACGTTACGAGGGACGTGCTCCAAATGACAAACGCCACCCCGCTCCGGATCTGATGTCAATAAGGCGATCTTCACGTGAGGTGGGATGTTTTTCAACAGGCCGCTGAAAGACCAAGGCGTGTTATGCTGTTCACGGCAGTGGTAAAATTGTCAGTAAGGCTGCCCATTTCGACACAAGAAATATTACCTCAAATATCCCCTCAACAACAGTGCGATCGCACATGTAGACTCCTAGCGCTCTTGACATGCTGTCACCCCGAGACCAAGTAGGATGCTCAGCCATGTGCTCGTCAGCAGTTTTGACATCCTCAATCTCCTTCAAAAACCTGTTTTTACTCTTGTTGAACTGCTCCCCCGTACGCTCGAGGGGGGGATCAACGAGTATGACGGTGGTTTCTTTCGTCTTGGGCAAGAATGGCAAGAGTGACAAGGTCACTAAACCACCAAGAGAATGACCTATAATCACGTCGTAGGACGTGTCCATGGCGAAATATGGTCGAAGGTCCTCTGCAAGGGTGGATATACGATAATCGGTTCCCCGTCTCCATGCATGCCCGAGAAGATTCGGCGCAACGACGAAGAACCCTGGATAACCAGTTAAAACAGAGCATCATCACCATAATATCACAAAACCTTACCTTCTGCTACTAATAGCTGAGCGATGCCCTCCCATGATTTCGAGGACATAGTCAGCCCATGAATGAGCAGAGCGCGTTTGGAAGCAATAGGGGAACCCCAGTGTGCCGCGGACATGGACGTGCTCATACTCGGATGACTTGGTTGTTTTCAGAGATCGTTGGGAGCGGGTGGGAACGAAGAACTCGTGAGCTCAGTCTTCAATTTAAATACTGAGGGTGTGAGTACAGAGCTAAGGCGTATCTCACAGGAAAAGTGTGAGCAAATCATACGTACCCGATGCACTTCAATGGCTATTGACATGCTTGAGAGATACTGTCAATCAGACTTGGAGGACGGTGGGGCAGGGCCAGCGGCCTAGGCCCAGAGCAAGGCAGACAAGCTCAGATGATGATAGACGCCATTGTCACGGTGAAATCTAGTCTACGTGCTGTGGAAAGGGCCGATAGGGCCCTTGGTGCGTAGCTCCTGCCCTTGGGACCCCTGGTTCAACGGCCCGCATCTGAATGTGTCGGGCAGCCACCAATGTTGCGATCCGTCATATATCGACATAGCGAAGATACGTTCATCCCATGAGAAGAATCATTACGGCATCTTATCTTCATGACTCCTTCACGGAAAGTTGTGATTCACAGGCAGGCCTGTCACTTCTACATCAGTGTCATCTCATGACACTATCCTGTTGGAGGGATATACTTGGTCTCCGACCATACAAACGAATATCATTCCATCCCAATCAAAACATCGGAATCGAAATTAGGCGCAATCTCGAATTTGACGTCGGTTGTGAGCGGCGCTGAGCGCACGAACATTTGAAGAAGCCGTGAGAACTTCGGTGAACCGGGATGCCTGAACCGTTAGCCCATGGATGAGCAGAGCGCGTTTAGAAGCGGTAGGGGAACCCCAGTAGGACGCTGAAATGGATGTGGACATAGTACTCGGATAACTCGACGTATTCGGAGATCTTTGCGGGTAGTGAAGCTTGGTGGGAACCTTGACTCTGAAGAGGTTAGCATGTCATGAGCTCAGTCTTTCACTTAAAGTACTGAGGGCGAGTAGAATGAAGACAGGAAATGTATGTAGGAAGAGCGATCTGTACAGGTCGGATCCATTCTCGGGTGTCCACCGTGACCAGTCAGGCAGATATTGAACTCAATCATATCATCTCAGGTGACCTTCTTGGGAGACGCCATCCATCAGGCTCAGGCAACCACTGATACTTGCAATCTAACACGCACCGACAGCACTGAAAGTAGACAGGACGAGAATGATGACGGCTTAGAAGCGAGAATTAGGCATGTCAAGCAACTTGAATAAGTAAATGATGACGGCGGGAAACGCTGGCCCCACCAAATAAATAACCCTCACCTTTCGTACTCTAGAGGCAAGCCTATCACTTTGCCATTCTGTGAGTTGGATCATAATGCATTGGATAAAAAGCAGATAAGTACTACTGCTTGCCAGTGAGTCCCGACTCTATCAAAAATAAAATAAAAGAGGAACTTAACCTTTGAAAGGTTACATGCTCAGGTCAAGCTGAGAGCTGAAAAATTGGCTATGCGACATTGAAGCGAGGGCAACCCACGGAACGCCCTAGTAAAAGGCGAGGGCGTTGTCTGCTTGAGTTACCCTCTGTCGCTACCCAACTAAGGGAATCTCAAGGTGGCGCTAACAGAATTTTGTATTTTCTTTGGTAGACGGGTTTTCTTTCTATGCCCATTCTGGGAATCGTCCACTAATCACTCCTCACACAGCTGTTCACCATCACACAACTGTTCGCCATCACACACTTGTCATCATGACCGATGATGAACTGTCACACCTGGTATCAACAGGCTTGCAGGACTGCCTAACCTCAGGCAGAATTTCGACGCCATTAACTTCAATGGATCTCCTTTTGGCTCTCATATCCTTCAAGCCATCCAAATCCGCCGCCCCAGGCCTCACAATGCCACGTTTAACTGATCTAACCCGTGTAGAAAGGGTACTCGAGGCCCTCTCATCGAATTGGGATCATGGCTCTATCCTATTGTCCCACGAAGGCGGCGAGTTGCATATTACGGATGTCCATCTGGGGAATCCCCGTGTTCTTGATGCTATCAATCCTCGGAAGCGCAAGCGAGCACCCATAGACGAGGATGCAGACTCTGCTGCTGGTAACACTCCTGATGAGATCTCATCATTCAACGGAGAAAATGATTCTTCCATCTCCATGAACACCCCCTTAGGAAATTTAAGTAAAGACTTAAAGGAGGTCTATGCAATCCTTCAGAAGAGCACGGCAAAGGGCCGACTGCTTGCGGAACGCGTACGTGTACTACTGATATTCATGTGTTGCGTTATGTTGAGCATTCACTACTAGTTTCGGTCTCTCAATGGCGGGTTCGAACCGATCTGCACCTACATTACCAAAGTAGAGTGCGCCAAATCCCGCTCTGAAGTTGATCCTTCCAATCCGCCTAACCCTCCCTTCTGCAACCTCCTGCACTTCCGCCCTCTCATTCGACCGCACACAGACCCCAGTCTCGGACATTGCTCCTACCTCAACACGTGCTACTCTGAGCCGACATACTCACAATCACCTTCGATTACTCCTTTCCCACCTGGCACTGGGGCGCGCGTGTCATTGCCGTCTGGTCTCGGCGCAGGAGGCAGGGGAAAAGAGAAAGCACCATGTCGGTATCTGCATTTCGAGATTGATTGGGACGAGAAGGATGGACCCCTTGCTTCGATTGATGGATGGAGAACTCAGAGGTTAAAGAAACCTTTCAAGATTGAGCTGGGGATGGGCCCTCATGGAAGAGATATGCAAGTGGTAAGTACGGTGGATGTGTCTCGACATAGTAGACGCTGACGTTGTTCGGCCAGCTTCCTCCTCAGTGGATCAATTGTGACCTGCGCCGTTTTGATTACTCAGTGCTAGGAAAATTCCACGTTATAATGGCAGACCCACCATGGGATATACACATGAGCGTGCGCGTCTTATAAGACCATTCCACCTTACGTGAGTCTGAGTGAATTTTGAATAGCTTCCGTATGGTACGATGACCGACGATGAAATGCGTGCCATGCCGATACCAACACTCCAGGATGAAGGACTGCTCTTCCTTTGGGTCACCGGGCGCGCAATGGAAGTCGGTCGGGAATGCCTCCGTGTATGGGGATATACTCGTGTCGATGAAGTAGTTTGGGTTAAGACTAACCAGGTACATGCCTTTTAAGCCCTCTCAACCTTCTATTTACTTATATTCAGTAGCTCCAACGCGTGATCCGCACTGGCCGAACAGGCCACTGGCTTAACCACACGAAAGAGCACATGCTTGTCGGTGTCAAAACGCGCACAGACGCTGCGGGGAACCTGATTTTCCCCTCTTGGGCAAACCGCGGACTCGACACTGACGTTATCGTGAGCGAAGTGCGCGAGACGAGTCGCAAACCAGACGAGGTGTATGGTTTGATCGAAAGGATGTGTCCTGGCGGGAGGAAGATTGAGATTTTCGGAAGAAAGCACAATACGCGACCTGGGTGGGTGGCAGCGAACGATTTCATATGTTGTGCACTGACGATGATGCTTTTCAGGTGGCTGACGCTCGGGAATCAGCTGGGTCAGGACCAGATATATGAGGAGGATTTAGCAGCACGGATCAAGGCGAGATACCCAGAACGTTTCATGTCCGTGTCTGGTCAAGCTATGATCACTAGATAGTCCTATGCATTTTTCTCGATGGCAGCCTTCGGTCTCGTCTCACTCAATGCCACTATTGATTGTGAGATGGGCTAGCTTCTTGGCAAGTCTTACCCCCGTATTTCGTACGGGATACACTTCTCTGTGTTATAAACACAGATTACATTCGATCATGCTAGGTGACCCACTCTGGTGTTTCGCAACATTCGTGCGACCCATGGTGCTTCTACGTCTCCGTAGTTTTCGTCTGCAACCGTCACATTCAATCATACACTTGCTTAGTTGCTATTGATCATCCCCGAATAATCGAATTCGCGACTTGCTGACTCATGAGCCGAGTTTGCTCGCTTCTCCGTCAATGCATATCAGATCGCGACGGCCTGAATCCTAGGCTCGTGACCAGCCTGGCATATACTACCATGGATAAAAAAATTCTCACCATCTCTAATTGACGCATAGTCAGACTGGTTACGAGTCTACCTGAATCCCACGTTCAGACGCGGACCGCGTCCGTTCCGTACCAACCTAATCTTGGGTGCCTTCTGACCTTATCAGATCCCCCTGACGTGATCACTTTTCTTACGTTTACTTCTTCAACGCTGCGGCCACGCCCTTCCACAGCCGGACTAAGCGCCGAACCTCTTCAACTAACCAACCAACCAACCAAGACCGTGCAAATGTCCCATTCAGCATCCCAGTGGGGTTTTCCTACCGCTTCTAGGCGAGCTCTTCTCATTCATGGCATGACTATGTGCTCGAATTCCTGGGAGGGCATCGCTCAGCTGCTGGTAGCAGATGGTCAGCTTGTAATACTGTAGTTGTGATCTTTCTGACAGATGATCAGGTTTCTTCGTCATAGCGCCGAACCTCCTTGGGCATGGAGGGAGAGAGTGCACCAGCTATCGGATATCCGACTTCGCAGAAGACCTTCAACCATATTTCGCCATGGATACGTCGTACGATGTGATCATCGGTCATTCTTTTGGATGCCTAGTGACCTTGTCACTCTTGCCGTTCTTGCCCAAAACGAAAGAAACCACCATGATACTCGTCGATTCCGCCCTCGAGCTTGAAGAAAAAAAGATCAACATTTTTCAGAATATGGTTTTAGACTGGACGGCGAATGTCAGAACTACGGAAGAGCACATGGCTGAGAACCCTGCTTGGTCACGACGTGACTGCGTGTTAAGAACGCTGGGAATCGCAACGTTTGACACCAACACTGTCAAGGTTTTTCGGGTAATATTTCAGGTGTTGGAATGGGAGGCATTGCTGACAGGTTCTGCCTTTGCATCGAACAGCAAAACACACCATGGTCTTCCAATGGGTTACTCAAAAACCTACCACCTCACGTCAAGATCACCTTACTGGTATCAAATCCGGAGTCCATCCCTCATGACATCGAGAGAATAAATACCAAAGTTCTTACCGGTATCGGTCACTGGATTCAATACGAGTGTCCGGATGCTATTATGGATGCAATTCCCCTACCAAGAGCAAAATTGTGAGTCGTGCAGAGAAGGGATGGTGTTCTGCAGCGTTACTTTTGTCCATGACCGTCGCATTCAATCATGTACTCGCTATTTATTTTCTTCCAGACTGTTTGAAACCCGGCATGTGGTACTTAAGGTACCTATCACTAGCCGGACTAGTCTTTCTGTATCACTTCTCAAGGTCCCTCAGCGCTCAGAGTTGTTCCCCCTACCCCGTGTCTTCATTTTACTTGCTTTAACCAATGTGCATACTAGTCCTTGGTTCGAATTTTGACCCATTGCACGCGAGCAACTGGCCTGGGCCTGGTGATACCGACTCAAAACCACGCGGTCGGTACGATATGCTTATCATCGCTGACGACTTCAAGCAACACATTCAGGCAGACACGTCGTGATCCCCGGACCGGGTTTGCTGTTCAACGTCAAGTTTTATAATAGTATTGGGATGATGTTCTGTTTTCAACAGTATACCAGGGTTGTCTGTCGTTGTGCTGAATTCCCTTGGCACGGATGGAGATGGGGCACCGGCGGCTACCGCACACCAACCCTTGCAGAGGACCTCCGACCGTACTTTGTCAAGAACACGTCCTAAGACGTGACTGTAGCCTTTGGAGGCACAGTGGCCTTGTCGCTCTTGCCATTCTTGCCCGAAACGAAAGAAACCACCGTCATACTCCTAGATCCCCCTCCTCAAGCCTAGAGACACTTAGAATGATGATGCAATTTGCAATACATGAGACTGTGAATGTCAGGGCTGCCAAAGAGCATATGGCTGAAAGGCCTGCTTGGTCACGACTTGACTGTATATTAATCGGGCTGGGAATGACCATGTGCCACAGTGCGATGGCACTGCTGTCGAAGGAATCTTCTTGGTAACTTTTTAGCTGTGAAAATGGCAAGCATTGCTGATATTTTTTGTCGTTGTGGAGAACAGCACAACAGGCCAATGTCTTTTAGTGGGCTATTGAAAAAGATTCCCACTAACGTGAAGGTCACTTTGCTGATCTTCGGCAGATACGAAGGTCGGCGCGGTTTGTTTCTTGGAGCACATTCCTCGTGGCATTGAGAGATTGAATGTCAAAGTTCTTCCGGGGCATTCAATACAGGCGTCTGGATGTTATCATGGATGTAATCCCGCTACCAACTTCAAGTGAAGAGCAGAGCTGTGAATTCAACCGTGTGAAGGAGAAGGGATTTTTTGCTACTTCTTCCATGTCGTACTGCAAAAATCAACTTCCCAGTCCGTTGTTCGTACATCATGATCTGCATTTTGTTTTCGATTGACGTTCGTCAAATACTTTCCTGCTGTCTGATGACATGATAGCCGCCCAAGTATTGCTACTAATAAAGCCGCAATCATTTGATCAAGTACTCATTAATCTTTGACCTCACTATGACCACCGTCCCGTCTGCAAGTCAATGGGGATCCCCTACTGCATGCAGGAGAGCACTCCTTATACATGGTTTAAATTCTTCTTCGCACACGTTCCACCGTGTTGCATCGGCGCTTGCAGCCAAAGGTCCTCTTCGCTTGAGCATTTTGATAGCGCTTATCTATTGATTCTGATACCGTAGGATACTTGGTCGTTGCTCCAAACCTGCTTGGACATGCTCTCAGGAAGCCTGGAGTAGACTTCCAAGTCCAGACATTGGCAGACGAACTCTTGCCCTATTTCCAGGCTGCTGAGTATGATATCATCATTGGTCACTCAATGGGCGCGCTCGTGGTATTATCGCTTCTCAAGTACCTGCCAAGAACCAAGCCTACTTCAGTGGTCCTCGTCGACCCATCTCTGGAGTTGACCGCAGAGCAGATGATGGTCGCGAAGGTTAGGTTTTCCAACGATGTCAGAACCAACCCTACTGCAGAAGATTATATGGCATTGAATCCTCTATGGACAAGAGAAGATGCCATTTGGAGAGTGTTGGGGACCCATATTGGAAGATCAACGAACTCCGATGATCACATCGATGTCAGTATTTGCGAGTGGCATTCCAGAATCAACGGTGCTGATGGTTTGAATTGTTACAGGGCAACGCGCCATGGTCATTTTCGCATCTGATCGCCGACAAGCCTGCTGCTGCCGCATTGACGATTCTGGTCGCTGACCCTTCCAAGCTGGAATGTGTCGCAAAATTCAAAGACATTAGAACAGTGATCGTTTCGGATGCCTCGCACTGGATACAGTATGAGTTCCCGGAAGTGATTGTTGAAGAGGCACTGAGGAATATCGAAGAGTAGGACAACGAGCAGTAAAGGCTTACATGATGCTAATATATGCACGGGGGCGTTTGCGTCCGCCACGTCATGCTTTCAACTTTGTGTCTCCTCTTCACGGCTCTTTCCGTCCACCGCGTTATTCATGGTTCTGTCTCGAAGGCCTCACTACAATGGCGACCTCTGCTTCATTTCACGGCGTTGTTGGTCTTCAAAATGGAAGCAGGTATCAGATCGACAAAATGAATTTCTGGCGCTACGACGGATTCATCGCCACTTCAGAAATTGGAGACATTCGTGTAAATGTGTTCACATTTGGTGCCAATACTGCTACTGTAAATACAGTATATCGTCGAAGAGCCGACCGAAGGTACTCGATAGGTCCCATGACTACCGTATCATGGACTCACTAATGCAGGTTCCGATTACTAGGCTACGACGTGGCCTAGTGAAAGCAGTCATTATCCTCAGTCATAGACTCATCGCGGTCTTGATCGTGACGTGTTGCCAGTCCCCAATGGGCGTCAACTACCGATGAATTCACTTGGGTGAAATGATTATAAGATGGAAGCCGGCCTAAAGGTAACCCTCCTGTAAGGTCAATGTCACTCCGCTGGCTACGGAATCCCATTTGTACTGCCGGCTATGGACTTCCCTTTGTACCGGTTCCAAGTACCACTCCGCTGACTACTACTTGTACCGCCACTTAATATCAAGATATGACTATCGATACCACTCTCGTACGTACTCGTCCTTTTCTTTTACAAACGCAATCACTCCTTGCTACATACACGTTCCCCTTTGATTCTCCATCTCCCCGCCGAATACCTCCTTAGTCTTTTGATCCAATACCAAGTCTCGTTCTCGTTCCTAGTCTGAGCCTCTTCGTTCTTGAGACCACTCACTTAGATATAAAGCCTCTCCTTACCTTCTGTAGACTTCAGTGAGTTCACTCCCCCTCACTCATCTCTCGTTACTCGTGATCCATCAATCCCCGTCGAACTCATTAGCAGCATTACACTCCATATTAATGTTTCATCCAACCCTGTCAGAATTCGATATCATTTTTGCTGGAGGTGAGCAAATATCATCTTGTGGCGGTTTTCCCTCTTCACGCATAATTCTGTACAGGTGGCACTACAGCCTGCGTTGTCGCAGGTCGCTTAGCTGCACATGATCCCTCGCTGAGGATCTTGATTCTGGAAGCGGGTCAACACAGTCTCAATAAACCTATTCATATGCAACCCTCTCAATCTCGCTTCAACACAGCACCGACGAGCACCACGGTCACATTCAACATCGGAAATCCATCTCCTCGTCTCAATGACCGTGTACCGATCGTTCCCTGCGGCCGTTGCGTTGGTGGAGGCTCATGTGTAAATTGTGCGCAGCATACTTGCGACAATGAACAAGACTGATAATTAGACAGCTATGGTATACACTCGTGCACCAGCTTCGGACTATGATGATTGGGGAGTCAATGGTTGGGAATCTGAGAATTTGATTCCCCTCATGAAGAAGGTCTCGAATGCGTTTTCAGGATATTTGTTCAAATTGTTTATACGTTCACTTTATAGCTGGAGACATATGAGGTGCAGCCTGGTCGTCCAACCCACGGCTACGACGGACCTATCAAGGTGTCCTCCGGTAGGCCTGAATTGGGTATCTCAGGCGAGTTCATCCAGGTTGGCAAGACCTATCACAAGAGGCAGTATGCCGATGACACCGATGATTTGGAAACATGCAATACATACAGTGTGAGTTTTGGTGTTTCATCCTTATATGTGACCACTGACCAGTTCTGTCTCAGCCGTGTCAAAAGTGAGTCCATGTACTCGTAGTCCATGGCGGTTTTTTGGCTCATGTAGAAAAGGTACATTGACGGGACAACCGGAAGGCGTTCGGACGCGGCCCACCACTATATCTACAACCAAGCTCACAACCCGAATTTACACGTCTGGGACGGAAAGCGCGTGAAGCGCATCATCTTCGAGTAAGTGAGCACCTGAGATCGGAGCCGCAGCAAACGATTGAGGGCTTTCCAAATGAAAGAGACAGGCGTGCTGTAGGTGTCGAGTTCACCAGCGACCCAGTGTCTTGCCCAGACGCGGATCAGTCGTCGAGTATTGTGAGAGCATCAAAACTTGTTGTTATCTCTGCTGGGACGTTCGGTTCCCCGACCGTTCTGGAAAGGTCTGGGATTTGTGCCGAGATGATCCTCAAGCGGTGCGGTATCGAGCCACTAGTGAATTTGCCTGGCGTCGGAGAAAATTATCAAGGTTCACTTTTATCCATTTATTCTATGAGTTTGGCTTACTAGGACGGTCAGATCACAATCTCGTCGTCGTTCCATACCTGGCTGCCGACGAGGTTGTTATCACGGACGCCCCCTGGCCCGGGGAGAGTATCATACAGGGTAAGCATGTTCTGGCCATGATTCCAACACCCTACAACTACCCAGATGCAGACAGCCTTGCACAACGTAACAGCAGCGGCAAGTCATTGATTGCACAAAAGTTGGTGCAAGTTATCACCGCCGGTATCGTGTTGATTGGTATCTCAGTGGCATCAATTCAAAAATAAAGTGGCGTCCTGATGACGAGGAATTAAAGGCCATAGGTCCAGCTTTTCAATCACGCTGGAAGGAGTTCTTTCAGGACCGCTCAGACAAGGCTGTTGCAATATTCGCTCCTTTTGCGCGGTGAGTGCGTATTGCTTAGCTTTGATGATATGGTAATGCTCACGACAATCAGATATATTCCACCGCTCTCGAGGCCACTCTCGGGTATCCTTCCTCCTCGCAATTACATGACTGCCAGTTATTATACAGTATTGTTCTCCGTCTACCCCGTCGTTTTTTCTGAATCTCTTCAATAGCTTTACCCCGTGTCTGTTGGAAGCGTTCATATTAAAGTGACGGAGAATGGTAAAGAAGGAATGGACTTTACTACAGGGTTCCTAGACGAGTGAGTGGATGCACATCATTTTAGGGCACTTTGCGTGACTACGACACTCCACACAGTCCATCCGATATTGTTCCTCTTGACTTCGGGTACAAAAAGACGCGCGAAATTTTTCGACGAATGACTTCCTACCGAGGTGAAGTTGCTGCTGGCCACCCTGATTTCCCAGAGGGAAGCGCTGCAGCATGCAGAGAAGCTTCCGGGCCAGTGGACTTGCATGCGCCTGACATCGTCTACACTGCCGAAGATGACGAGGCGATCAATCAATTCCACCGCAACATTGGTAAGTCCTGGCTTTTCATCTCCATTTCACGGTAAAATAATGAATCAAACATCAGTGCAAACGGCATGGCACTCGGTGTGTGCGGCTGAACCTTTCATGATTTCACATCTGATCTTTGTATTTGTAGCTTGGGACTTGTGCCATGAAATCGGAGGCAGATCAAGGAGTCGTCGACGCTCGGCTAAATGTATACGGCGTGTCGAGCCTGAAGGTCGCAGATATGTCCATTGCGCCGTTGAACGTTGGCACGGTGGGTACTCAACAGGGGATAATTTGTTGATGTATGGTTAACGATATACACAGAACACGTATTCGACGGCACTTCTTATCGGAGAGCGGGCTGCGATGATCATTGCTGAAGACTTGGGTATCAATTGCGCTTGATATGCATCGTCAGAGGCGTATTTAATTATGAAATTTAGCGGATATTTTGTGATGCAAAGTTGGACTCCTTAGGGCTATTGCAAAACATTCCCACTATTAACTAACGTGAAGGTCACTTTGCTGGTGGCAGATCCGAAGGTCAGCGCAGTTTGTTTCTTGGTGCACATCCATCGTGGCATTGAGAGATTGAATGCCAAAGTTCTTTCGGGCATTGGTCGTTGCATGTAATATGGGTGCCTGGATGTTATCGTCAATGTAATCCCGCTACTAACTTGATTAGCAAAACTGTGAATTCATGACCGTGTGAAGGAGGGGTTTTTTTACTACATACTGCATTGCAGCATGCATACTAGTAAATTTGTCTCTACAACAGTACAACCAACCGCACGGCCCGCAAAGTTCAACTGCTTTAAATCTCTTCTTCCATGTCGTACTGCAAAAATCAACTTCCCAGCCCGCTGTTCGTACATTATGTCTGCATTCTGTTTTCGATTGACGTTCGTCAAATACTTTCCTGCTGTCTGATGACATGATAGCCGCCCAAGTATTGCTACTATCAAAGCCGCAATCATTTGATCAAGTACTCATTAATCTTTGACCTCACTATGACCACCGTCCCATCTGCAAGTCAGTGGGGATCCCCTACTGCATGCAGGAGAGCACTCCTTATACATGGTTTAAATTCTTCTTCGCACACGTTCCACCGTGTTGCATCGGCGCTTGCAGCCAAAGGTCCTATTTGCTAGAGTATTTTGATAGCGCTTATTTATTGATTCTGATACCGTAGGATACTTGGTCATTGCTCCAAACCTTCTTGGGCACGCTCTCAGGAAGCCTGGAGTTGACTTCCAAGTCCAGACATTGGCAGACGAACTCTTGCCCTATTTCCAGGCTGCTGAGTATGATATCATCATTGGTCACTCAATGGGCGCGCTCGTGGTATTATCGCTTCTCAAGTCCCTGCCAAAAACCAAGCCTACTTCAGTGGTCCTCATCGACCCATCTCTGGAGGTGACCGCAGAGCAGATGGTGGATAGGAGAGTTAAGTATTCCGAAGATGCCAGAACCAACCCCACTGCAGAAGATTATATGGCATTGAATCCTCTATGGACAAGAGAAGATGCCATCTGGAGAGTGTTGGGGACCCATACTGTTGGAAGATCAACAAACTCTCATGATCACATCGATGTCAGTGTTTACGAGTGGCATTCCAGAATCAACGGTGCTGATGGTTTGAATTGTTACAGGGCAATGTGCCATGGTCATTTTCGCATCTGATCGCCGACAAGCCTGCTGCTGCCGCATTGACGATTCTGGTCGCTGACCCTTCCAAGCTGGAATGTGTCGCAAAATTCAAAGACATTAGAACAGTGATCGTTTCGAATGCCTCGCACTGGATACAGTATGAGTTCCCGGAGGTGATTGTCGAAGAAGCGCTGAGGAATATCGAAGAGCAAGACAATGGGCAGTAAGTAAGGGCTTGCGTGATCCCAACATCATGTATAAACAATCACTATAAATTACCTCGATGTAGGAGAAGTCAAACATGAACGTCATCATTAATCGAAAACCAAAGCTCAAAGCTCATCCTCGCTGCTGCCTATGTTCATCTCTTAACAAAATAATAATAATCTTTTCCTCGTCGTTCTCTTTCACTTTTATCGTGTACTTCAGAATATGTGATTTGCGTCCCAGAGAATGGACAGCAGACGGAGGTGTCGGTCGAATGGACGATGCTGTTCCTTGAAGCTAGCGGGATCCCGAGGAATGATATCATTTGGAGCTTGTGTCACAAGGGTATTTCTTGGAATGTAATACTTGGACGAGAAGGACCGCTTTTATGATGCACATGTGTTTCTTGTAGTTGACGGGACGCGGGATTTATGTAAAAGACTGAATGGTGCCGGTGAGGTTTAGAGCAGGATGATTGTTGTGACAACTTGTTTGAGAGGGGCGTGGCTATTTTGACGCGGCACTGGCCGCCACTGTCCCCGGTGTCCCGTCCGATGATCATAGGATACTTAGTTATTGCTCCGAGCCTTCTTGGACATGCTCTCAGGAAGCCTGGAGTTGACTTCCAAATCCAGACATTGGCAGATGACCTCTTGCCATACCTTCAAGCTGCTGAATATGATATCGTCATCGGCCACGCATTGGGCGCGCTCGTGGTATTATCGCTACTCAAATACCTGCCAAAAACCAAGCCTACTTCAGTGGTCCTCATCGATCCAGCTCTGGAAGTAATCGCAGAGCAGATGGTGTATTGGAAAGCCAAGGTTTCCAATGATATCAGAACTAACTGCACCGTAAAAGATTATATGGCATTGAATCCTCTATGGACGAGAGGATGTCATTTGGAGATGGATGGGGAACGAAATCGGCAGAGTAACCAACTCCGATGATCACATTGTGAGTGGTGTTCTGAAATCAGCAATGCTGATGGTTTGAATTACTCCAGGGCAACGTGCCATGGTCATTTTCGCATTTGTTCGCCGACAAACCTGGTGCTGCCGCGTTGACGGTTCTGATTGAAGATCTGCAATTTAATGGCGATTTGAAGCTGAAAACTCTCGCAAAAACAGAACAGTGGTTGTTCCGAATACTTCGCACTGGATACAGTGTGAATTCCTGGAAGTGATTGCTGGAGAGGCACTAAGGAATTTAGGGCAGTCGAGACTTTCATGTTCCAACTACCATGCGATTACCTTGATGTATACGTAGGACAGCACAAACCTGAATGAACATAGCTTTAATCGAAGAAAACCTCAGCGTCTTCATCCCATCCTAATGTCTCTGTAGCAATTCCAAGCTGTCGGAGCATCGTACCCATGGTATTCCGTGTTTGCTCATCATCTTCTGAAAGGATCTTGTTGGTATGACCTTCGTCCGAGGGATTCTCCGTAGCAGTATTAATCTCGTTCTCCGGATAGCCTTCACGTTTGATACCAGGGGAGTCCCAACCCCAGTTCGAGTCCCGTGAGCCCATCCTGCCTCCATCCCAACCCATACCTTCCCGCTTGTTCGCAGAATCTTTCACCAAATCCCAAAGTTCATATGCGACCTCCCTGCCTGCCTCTGTCCATTTCTTGATGAGCCCGATGAGCGTCTTTTCCTCATCGTTCTCTTTCACTTTGACCGCGCGTTTAAGAAGTTGTAATTTGCGTTCTAGGGACTGAACTGTAGGCGTCAGCCGAATCGACGATCCTCTTCCGGACGATGCTGAAGCAGAAGAGCTTAACGGAGATTTGAATTGTGACGCCGCTTTGAGAGTGCGAACTCTGGTCTTAGCTGGTGTCACGGATGGAGCTGCACGAGCATGATGAGGTTTCTGAGGTGTGAGAGGCATTTTTGGAGCTGGCGGTGGTGCCAGAAGAATCGACAGAGGACTCCTGGACTTTAAAAAATCCTCCGATGGTGCATCTTCGTCCTTGTTCAGGATCAAAGGTGAACGAAACGGGGGTGATGAGTTTCTTGAACTGCCGCTGCTGAGACGCCAAGGTGGCGCGCTTTGGAGCCGGTGGCAGATACACTTTACCATCGTGCGTTTTCTACAAGTAAACTCGAGTGAATGACACGCATTGTCAACAAGACAAACTGTTCTAATTACCATGCGTTTAGCCGACCGCGTCTCTTCTGGGCTTGGTGGTAGGTCCTTGGCATGCAGACCAAGGACACCGATCTAGGCATACATTTTAAGCTGTTGAAACCGATGGAGCACTCTGCCCTAACCTCTCCTTCCGGACAGGATCGCTTCTGTGGCAATGGGTTAACTTCCTGAATGTTATAAGCGCCCTTGTTCGATTTGGGGTTTCCCCCACAAATGGCGAGATCGTAGTGCTCATGCTATAATCCATGCAATTGATCGTAACCGGGCTTCCAAAGAAAACATCACAAACCATTTCTCGTTGTTGATATGCGTCAATATCATCATGATCATTATAAGCTTCTTGCAAGGTGTCTGGGTAAACTTCGTCCGGAGAACTGATGAGATCCTGATCGTCTGATTCCACTGTTATAACCTGGGACTTGTCAGCAAATACACGAAGAAAATACGGCGCATATACCCTGTCTGCAACTTTGTAATCATCTCCAGTTTCAATGAGCGATGACTGAGATGATGCGAACGGAGACGAAGAAAAAATCTGGGGAGGGCTGGAGCTGGGAGGCAAAGAAGACGACCGTGCGTTATCCAGTGAGGAGTTGGATGGCGCTTCTTCATCTACTTCACATGACTGAAGGCGAGGTGATTCAACTATCACGCCACTAGATTGGAGACGAATCTTCTGTAGGTCGTTTGTGTCGATCAATTCAACATGCGGAGTACCTCTCCGTGAGATAAAAGGAGAGAGTGATGCATTGAGGGTCTGCGCATTGTATTAGCTTGCTCCAAATAGCAGCAAAATGCATAAGCTTACTTCATCTGTTTGAAGTAAATCTTCGTTGATGGTAATTCCAGACATTGCTGTTGAACGAGATGTATTTGTCATGGGTTCTGCGATGTGAATGGGAGAAGATCCCAGGTCATGTTAAAGTCGATGCACTCCTCAGTGGCATTGACAGAAATAAATTACCTAAATGACGTTCAGGATCCTTCAGGTCACTGGACTGCAGTAGTGGAGGAGAGATATTAGGAGGTAGGTGCGATGCAAGTGATTCTTCACCGAACTGTGCATATATGCGCATAAATCAGCACCAACGAGTCAAGCAGAGATAACATATGTACTTGCCTGGTGGTTCTCCGAAGGTGGCTTGTCCTGTACGCACAATGGGTCGACAAGTATCTGGGTATATGCGCATGGTGTTGCGCTAATTTCATCATGGGAGTCCATGGAAGCGATATCATAAGTACTAAGTTCTGTCGTTTGTTGTTCGGCAGTTGTATCCATATCTGAAGCAAAAGAAATATGTAGCTGTAGGACAATGAGTACTGCACTTAGTGAGTGAATGGTGAAGAGAGAATCCAAGGACGCGTCTCATCAAGACCACGAGAGTGGTCACGTGCTCATAAAGTAGCCAGCTATATTTGGATCGCATCGCAAGCTTGCAGTCACAGAATATTGAGAACAAGTGTCGAGCAATAAAGTTTTTTAACAAATGCAGAGAGGACTACTTTCGCACAGAGCGGATACGTGGGTCGCCCCGTTCTGAGCGTTTTCGTAATTTTCCTTGCCTTTTGCTAATCGTTTCCTTTTCGCCGCCCCCTTCTGCAGCCTGAGAGCTCGCACCACTGGACCAACCGAACATTGGACCAATGAAGTTACTCCATAGTTTGTATCCGGCGTACAATGGGATCTGGTAGAGCAAGATCAGTTTGTAACTACATGGCGAGGCTACACAGGTACTTACTACCAGGTAGAACCACCAGACCCAATCACCGAAGGCACCACTGCCGATCTGACACGCCCCTAGACATATAGACTATGTGTTCAGCCGACCTTTTAGAGTGAAGCCGACTCACATGTAACATAAAGTATATCGAAACACCACTCCGTGACTCCCGGTTGATTGAGGTCTTCTCCAGGAGAGATGAGTGCTCCAGTTGTTGGGTCTCGTCTTGTTGTGCCCATCCTTTCGAGATAGCGTGAAAGGAATAGGGCAGGGAGATATGTAACAACGTAGAGTGCCAGCGAGCCTTTGGATGGAGGAAGAGAGGTTCGCCGGAATAAAAGACGGAAGACTGCAGAGAGGAGGGTGGGGATGAATATTCCGAGCCTCAGATTTCGAAGGGCCTGTTCATTCTGTAACGCTAAAAAAATGTGCGTTTTAAAGAAAAAGCTGGTTATATGGTGAAATCGTACCAATTCGTTTAGCTGCTCCGTGAGCCATGATGGTGGACGGCCAGCAACAGTGCTGAACCCAATTTGTGCACGCGTCCCTAATTAGCTCCGAGCCGCGCATCAACTTCATTTTAGCTGTCAACTTCGTTTATAGTCATGTCGCAGACCAACTGCACAGAGGCAGTGAGAGAGGCCATCCAGGCCAACAAGGACCACCAACATGCCTTGAAAGTATACACCGAAAGACTTGAGGCAGAGCTTCAAACTGTCGACAAACTCCTGGTGTGTCATATTCTGTATATTTCGCACTTGGTTTCAATAAAATCTTCTAGGAACCTGCTGATGCTAATCTGGACGGCGAGCCAGACATCGATGTCGGCGGCTCCGTCCTCATTCCAGGTTCCGTTAAGGCATCTGGACTCTTGCCCCCGAGTGAATTGCTTTCAGAGGTGGGAATAGTGCCTGTTTGCTCTTCTGCTGCTGAAGATCCCTCCAGGACTCTCCGTTCTACGAAGAAGCTGCGCGACGCAGTCGATATCTAAGCTTGACAGAGGCTCATCCCAGTGCGTTATTCGGGCCATTACGCTATTCATCCCCTTAACTTGTAGCTGCAGTGACCAAAAAGGACCTTGAAACTCTGAGAGAAGCTGTGAGGACCGAAAACTACCGCATGCACGCTCTGGATGCTCAACGAAAGTTCGTCTTGCTCTGTGCATGATATAATTTTGCCAACTTCTCCTTTAGAGGCAATCCTGTTTTTACAAGTTTGAGTAATCAACCATCAAACTATCTGGAGTTGAATAAGGAGGGACTTGATTGGGATCGCATCGCAGAGAAGGTGCGTTTAAAAATATCATAACCGCTTATTAACACGTGTGCGTCAGGTCTCTTCATCGTCCATGTATATGCGTACACCAAGAGAGTGTGAGATACGCTGGCTGGGTGATCAGCATCCATGTTTCAATCATAGCTCTTGGACACAGGACGAAGTTACCAAACTCAAAGGGCTCGTCGCAGAATACGGGAATGAGCAAGTGGATTGGGAGGCCGTGGTGGATAAACTTGGGGTATGTCTGCTTTTTGAACTAACAGAAAAAAAGTGACGATCTACACATGACAGACCCACCGAATGCCATTGGACTGCATGATACACGGCACAACGCCAAAAATTCATTTGTGGACACCAGATTCTGACGAGCGTTTGTTGAAAGCTGTTGCCACCTTCGGTCACGATAACTGGTCTGTAGGTGTGTCTTGCAATATTGCACATTTGTGTCCGCGTTCAACAAAATTACTGTGCAGTCGCCTGTCAAGTCTCAGAAGATGCTACTCCTAGTCAGTGCCAGAACCGCTATCAACGCACTCTCGACCCCGCTCTGAAGCACAAAGCATGGTCTGATGAGGAGGACTCACGCCTACGTCTCGCAGTCCAAGCGTACGGTACTTCCTGGGTATATGTCGCATCCGCCATCCCAGGTCGTCATAATGATCAGTGTCGTGATCGTTGGAACGATATTCTTAACCCTGCGGTAACCAAAGGGAGGTGGACCGAAGAAGAAGACCAAGACCTTTTGACCACAGTACAGCAACTGGGGACTTCGAGCTGGAAGGAGATCAGCAATCGACTGGGCAGCGGGCGCACCGATAGCATGGTAATATTCATCGCTTCAGAAGCCCATTTTTCTTTTTCATTTATTTTGCTCTAGTGTCGGAACAGGTACAATAATCTCCAACGGTCAAAGACCTCGAAGCCAACCAAAACGCAATCTCAAACAGCAACTTTTAGCGTCATCGCTCAACCCTCAATAGACATCGTCGCAGAGTCATCTCGAGCAGCATCTCGGAAGAGAAAAGCATCCGCTCCTGCTGATGAGTCCATCGACGTGAATGAATTCGCGTCCATTAAGGAATCAAGCTCTGTGCACAGAATTCCAGGTATACATGTAACCGCGAGGACGGCTGATTCGGCTATAATGTTCCTTGAACCGGTCATCAATGCCAACCCTGAAACTCACAAGAAACGCACTCGAGAAGTTCTAGGGATAGCCAAGAGCAAGAGTCCTGAGAAGGCAAAAGGGAAGTCAAAGTCAACGAATCCTGACGCTAGCACTACCCCCGAGGGCACTGGCGACCCATCAACGTCTACTAAAAAAGTGGGAAGAAAGAAGAAGGTTTATGTAGAACCCGCATCCGAAGAAATACCAGCCAAGAAAGCTCCCCGTCCTAGAGCCCGACCTGTTCGCAGCAAAAAGAATGCCGCGCCTGGTACCATGGTTTTGGATTTAGGGCCTCCTGTTTCATGTACGTAGTCGTGTTACCGTGCTGTTTTTAGATCTTGACTCTCTTTAACGCGCCAGCAGGGAATAATAGCGGGACTACTGATCAAGCTGGTCCAAACACTCTGAATCCTGGAGGCCCCGGACTCGTGGTCCAGTGCTGTCATATCAGTGAATTAGGCTTGAGACCACCATCGCCGTCGAATCAAATGGGATAGGTGCTCCTGAATGTCGAGGTTTCATAACGATGTCTTGCTTTTTGTTCGAAAGTGTCGGTGAGCCTGAAATGATAAATTGTCTCATAATACATGCGTAGAAGGTATTTCAACCGTGAAATCGTATGTTACGGTCCATAACTTGACGCTTCGTACTTGTGTGTCTCCAGCTCCTGGTCGGCTCTCTAATATATTCTACCTACTGGCACCGAGCCTTTCCATTAGTACAAGGGCGGGAACATTACAAGACTGCTAGCACGATGTCCTTTGTAACTGTAACGAAGGTCAGCACGATGCTCATCAACTTCGTGCTTCAATGACTGACCCTGGATATTTCGCATCTATGCACTGCCGGCAATCATCCCAGTTTCGTGTACAATCCCTGCACATGGGGGACGCGCAAGTTTTGCATGAATGCGCTGCCTCAGTCCATCTACACCGATGACAGTAGCAGTGACTACAACTGGAGCACCTCGATAAGCGGGGTACACAGTCATCGCAAATATGGCGACGGCATATCCCGCACTTCTCAGTGAACCGTGGACACGAGAGTTGAAGCTGTTCTGTATCCTCCTCCTCTTCAATGCAGTCATCACACAACCTTGTCCTACTGCAAACTGTACAGCTCCGGATGTATGCGCACCAATCCTGGCAATACACGACTTTGCAGCTTGGGCATTCAGTGAACGGCGTCCCGGATGGGTCGGCTGAACAGAGTGCACACAGCCATGTCCGTGAACATGCACATGTGCGCCCTCCTGGTTCACAGTCTGAACAGACCATGTCTCGGAAGCGATTGCGATTACGGGACCAGCAGTAAACGTTACCACAGCGGCGCCACGCTGAAGCAAGGCCCTGGCGAACGCAGTCCCGACAAGGAGCAATTCTTGGAGGGTGCTCGTGGCTGATGGACCGGTGGTCGTTCTCCGTATCTGGTTCTTTGATAGGATCGATGATTTCAAATGCTGTGTGGTTAGGTCTAGGGGTCCACTGAGTGTCGCCTTCAGGCCGTCCAACACACCAGCTCAGTGACTCCATGCAATACCACTGAGAGCATATTGGACACTGGCCGGTTTGAGGTGTTGCGCAGGGAACGCAGAGAAACTCTCGGTCGTGGTAAGAGCAGCCCACGACAGAGACGATGGAAGATGCCTTGCAGCTTGAGTTTTCGCACGCGTGTACACCGCAGACACGGCATCGGATAAGGTCGTGGGAGCACAGTGGGCAGGTAGTAGTGGGGGCATCATGTTCCAGCACCTCTGGATCTACAAGCTTCAACTCCACAAGACGGTGCAAGAAAACCTAAAATATATGATATTACCACGGAGACTGCAAGATTCTGGGATCACCAGGGAATACCACGAGCATCGCACTTACGATTGCGTTCTTTCTGCGACGTTCATGTTCTTGCTTCCTCTTTATCTCTTGCTCCTGCCTTCGTGATTCTTCATCCTTCTTCCATTCATTCACCTGTCCGGTTATGAAAATCTTCAATTCGTTCTGTACGTCTTCGTCTGCGGGTAAAGGAAAGTCCGGGATGCCCTCGGAGCCCTGGGTGATATCCCTTACTACCATGTTATTCAGATCAATTGAGAAGCATATGGTCTTCTGGCGTGACACGGGATCGAGTCTGGAAAGATGAAGACCGGAATGTTCCAAGACACTGGTAGTAGCATTTAAAATGGCAAGGAAGGACGAGTGCGAGGGTAACATCTCATCCGGGGTGACTACACCGTCTACGCTATCGCGACTTGCGAGAGCTCTTGCAATCTCCACGATCTTGGGATAGATTGGATGGTCAGCTCCGACATGACGGAACTGCATTGTGTTTAGTTTATGGATTGTGATGTTAATGACCGGAGGTGGCATGTTGGTGGTCGGAACGATGGGAGCAGTAGACTGATCATTCACAGTTCCGACACTGGGTGCTAATACATACCCCTAGGCTTCACGCGTCATGGGGAAACCTTGACTTCAAAACGTCATGGAGTAACACAAAACAATCAAGGACAAGCACCAGGCCCAGCTAGATTATTTGATGGGTACGTAAAACAGGACTATAATACGCCCACGAGGCCTATTTATTATATGCGAAATGAAATTGTTAAGCCGAAACTTTCCACCGCTTCCGTGGGTACGTGGAGGCTTCCCAGTTGACAATGTGACCCAGCAATTCGCCATCTTCTTGCCCGAGATTATCTTCTGTTGCTGTGAGCAGATTCTTCAATGACTCCTGAACAAGCCCTGCAGTCTTGAGTTTCCTTTCGAGTGAGGGAAGCGCGGCTTTTTTAGGGGGAGATGCCTTTGAGCAAGGTCAGTCAATACACCGGAAGACAACGATAACAACAATGGAATCACTGGTGTTCTGAGATACGTATGCTTCGGTGGCAATGCGGGGAAATGTGTCGGAAGCTGACGTAGAGTCCCTGGCACAACGGGGGGCATATTCTCGTCATCTGAAGGAAGGAGTTCAGGCGACTGCGACCGTGAAGGTGGCATTTCAAAAATCGGCTCGGCTGGTTCAGCTTAATCCATGGTCAAACATTCAAGTTAGCATGGTTCAACATTACGTACCAGAAACTTTTGTAAATTCCGCAGCGATTGTGCGTAGATCCTTTGTTTTCAAATCTCGCTCTTCGCATGCCACTAGCATGTCCTTTGCTATCGGTATTGCGCGATTGGCAAGATTAGCGTACTGGTGGGCGCGTTCATATAGATTCTGAATGACTGCTCTCTGAGATGTGAGCCCAATAACTAACAGAATGAAGGGCCGCGTACAGGCTACGACTTCTTTCTCTAGTCTCTTCAACGCGGGGGGTTCGATTGAATCATATTCTGAGGTCTGTAGCTGGGCAAGGATGAGCCGTTGCACTTCTTTGGAAGCTATTTCTGGAGAGATATCGGGTATGATCTCAGCGACTGCCACGCTTGGTTGACGTGGATGTTGGACATGAAACTGATAAGTTGAGGCTGCTGCCAGTGCTGGCGGCGGGGGCGGCGGGAATCGATGCGGATAATGCGCTACCGCTGGCTGAAGCAGCTGGGGCGGTCCTGAACCAGTTGCATATACGATAGGATAAGGCTGTTGATATGTTCCATAGCTTTGCTGATATGGAACGAAATTTGACATGGAAGTAGCGTGTTGGCCTGGGTAAGCCAGATTGGTCATGCTCACCCCGGCAGTAACCATAATTTCCCTGGCTCGGTAATATTTATCACTAGCTGATCTTTCTCTTATATATGCCGTGCGGCAGTGATAGATAGCTGAGCGCTGCGCTTGTGCAAGCTCTCTTCACATGTTCGCCTTACTAAGTTTTCTATTTAGTTTTTTCAAAATGGGCGATGCAGCCGGAGAGGTCATAGCTTCTCCGAGTGTGCCAGACTCCAGCAAGGAATCCGTGCCTGACGTCCCAGACGAATATTTCCGCACAAGCAGGCCAGATATCGTTGGGTCCGATATTCCAGACGCTCCGTTTCCAATTAAACTGTCTGGTCCCGTGCAGCATGGATTCGGCAGAGGGAGCAAAGACCTCGGATGTCCAACTGGTATGTTTCCAAGCTGAATCTTGATCAAGCTGAATCGATGGGTGTGAACTATAGCGAATCTTCCTGACGATTCCCTCCCACCCATGATCGATGCTGCAAAGACAGGAGTCTACTACGGCTATGCTCAGGTTACCCCTTCTGAGGGAACATCGTCATCTTTATCTGACCAAGACATATGCGTCTTGCCCATGGTCATGAGCTTTGGGTGGAATCCTTTTTACAAGAATGAGCGCATGACTGCGGTAAGTCTTCCTCTGCTATCTTTGAACCATCCTGAATCACGTCGCCCAGGAAATTCACATAATGCACGAGTTTAAAAGCGATTTTTATGGATATGATATGAAGGCTTTGGTATTGGGATATATCCGTCCAGAACTGCATTACACTTCACGAGGTGCGGTTGTCCCTAGACTGCTTTCACTCATACTAACGAGTTTCTACCCACAGAAGCACTTATCGAGGACATAGAGTTTGACAAGAAGGTCGCACTCAAGTCAATGGCAAGGCCAGGGTACGAGAAGTACATGTCGGACCCTTTCTTCACGGTCTAAGCGCGCGATCAAGTCACCAGACCCCTTGCACTTCGAATTGATCGTGCTATGACCATAACACATCACTTGCGGAGCACAAGGTAATTAGAGCATTACACAGTAGATGATTGTACTATGATTGTAACACATAGAAGTCTTGCCAGCGGGCGTTGTACTGTAGAGCGAGAATCAATGACATTGCCATTGGCTGGATACCGTGGAGACCCTTGTCGACACTCCCCGCCTGTAATGAAGAAAGACCAGTGGATTGTTGATGAGCAGACTTATAAAATTCTGCTTGAGAGTGCGTGCCGCGAATAACTATCATTAATTTAGAAGATGCATCACAATACCAACCGGAAACAGCGCACAATACTATAGTCGTCTTGCTTTCTTTGCCCTCGTCCCTCCAATCTTTATAGGTGTCCTGTCCTCAACTATCACCACCGACGACCGAATATTATCTCCCTCAGAAGTCATGAACGCCTTCTGTACGGCTTCCCTCCCCCACCCGAACCCTTTAAACTTCAGCGCAAGCGTGACGGGCGACACACCACCATCCTTGAAGTTCGGACGAGTTATTTCCTCCTCGACGCGCTTGAAAGCGCGCACAGCACATTGATACCCTGCTTCATAGCTGCTTTTATTCGCACCCTTGAAACCACATGATCCACTTGTCCACCATCCATTCTTGACAAGCTTGCCGGACGGATAGGTGAAAACGACGCGGCAATTGTTGTGTGTAGTGTATACGTGGAGGTGGTAAGGCTTTGTACGCTCCGCGATGTCCTTCTTTGGTTCCCTCATTGTTGCAGTTAAAGGGTTGTAGTATGTATTTGGGCCCATTGGAGGTTTGTCTAGTGGAGGAGCAGCCGAGTCTTCACCTCCCCACATGTCATCGGCGAGACTGGTCCCGAAGGTGGCAGATCTTGAGAAAACTGCATTTTCGTGCAGGCGAGCACGATGAAGAGATTGTCGTGCAGCGTTGAGCACTGATGGTCGTAGTTGAGCGAGTGAGACCATCGCCAGGACTGCTGCTTAAGTTGAGCAAACGCAGAAATTAGCAAGACTTAGACGCGTCTGAGGACCGTGAGAAAGCAAAGTTCTGTCACATTTTCGGATTGCACCGGGTTCGGGACCTTCTGCATCCAACTCGCTGCTCACAAAAAACCATGGCTGTAAGTCGAATAAATGGTCGAGAGTCAATGACATGACACTAACTGTGACTCCGTTTGTAGCTTGCCAACGCGTTCTACAACACCTTCGTGAAGCGCAACAGTACGTGACCCGATCCTCTACAGCGCTCGTGGTCATGTACGGTTCGATTAACCAAATCAAACCTCTAGGCGTCTTCGTAACTTCTATTTTCGCTGGAGCCTTTGCGTTCAACGTGGGCTTTGACGTCGCTGTGACCAGTTTCTGGGACCGTTGGAACCAGGGGGTGAGTAGCCGACACATCTAACGCCGCCCGACGACTGACTATGCCGTCTTTACTCGCATGATTTAGAAACAATGGAAGGACATTCGTTCGAGATATGTCCAGGAGGAATCGGACTCATAGTTTCATCCCAGTTGGCCAGCGACCTACTTGCATAATGATTATAATTAGACTTCTTCCCGGAATTGAGTTGTCGTTGTGTGCCAGAACGTGGACACCACGGGTTATTTCATCGTGACAATTCGGTGTTGTCGATGCGCTGATTAGCGCTGCGTATCTGCTTCCATTTGCCCATGCAGGCCGCACTCTGGCAGCTTGACACGATCTGCCACCGTCTGCTAATTAAACATCGGGTCTCCTTCCTGGACTTCACTTGTGGGGGTACGCTAAATCGAAAAGTGCATCACCCTGCGGTGATTTCATCAGGAAAATTCAGTGATGTTGATGCACTTAGCACTACATATATGTTCTATTTATCCACCGACAATACGGGCGAGCTGGCACCTGCCCAACTTGTTGCGGTGAAGAAGCTAAGGCAATTACAGAGTCTATTGGCCAACACGATGACGTAGGGTTCGATATGTACGTGTTTGAATATGTTGAGTATGCGAGTATATACCTCGGAACACGGCGCTACATGAATGCAAATGAGGGTGAGGTACAGTGCTAGAATACGACGCTGAATTGTAAAGTGCAAATGTGCATTGGTCTATTGATGATGATGACGATGATGACGATGGAAGACAGACAGAAGGCAGTTGGATAGAAATACGGACGCCCAGGCGTGGCGGAATATAGGTAGAAAAACCCACATACAACGCGATAGATACCACATCGGCTAAGGAGAAAAGGTGTCACTGGGAATAGGAGAGAGATGATAGTGAGTATCAAGTGGAGAGCATGCCGGGATCTTCATCATCTAAGCGGCTGAAGATTTCATCAAAGATTACTTTGCCATCAGTGGATAGAGGGGGAAGCTCGTGGGTGTCAGCAGATGGATCATCCCGCGAAGCTTTGATCCTGCAAACACGTTCTTCGTTCCAGATGTTCTCGAGGGCCTCGGTAAGGTTCTTCAACCCGAACAGGAACCCGCGATCAGGCTCTTCGGGAAAGTGAGGGGGGAACCGAGCATATATCAGCCCCGTTTCCACGTCCATTTCAGCTTGGTAACCCTTAGAACTTGACACCTGATGGATGATATCGCGATCTGCGGGTGGAGGATAAGGAAGCCAATCGCGCCCAGTAGTTGTATGCGCGAAATCAACGATGCGGACGTTAACTTCGCCGCGCTTTCGCTTGCCGCTGGAACGCTTGCCAACTGGACCGACGAGCAGGTCTTCGCTATGAATACGGCGCAATAAGGGCCGCTCGTCACTGGCGCTGGACCGTGTACTGGACCGCTCCAACGACTCTCCACGCTTACTACGGGATGAAGGGTGCTCGAGAATGCATGTTCGGAATGCTTCTTGCGCCTCACGATCTCCGTCATAGATAAGGAGGAGACTGCAGCCATAGAACCTGAAGCCCTTCAGACGATTGATGATCCGAGCTAGAGTATAAAGCTTCTGGAGAAGAATAGGAATCTGCCAGACGAGGAGACGTTCCCCATCTTGCAGGAAAGATGCCAACACCGACTCAAACTCTTCAGCTTTTACGTCTCGGCCCCTGTACTTGTCTTGGGTCACGTATGCTTGCGTGGCGTTGTTCCACACCTTGAATGTAAACCAGTTTAGTCAAGTCTAGATTTCTCACCGATCTATATATATACTGACCTGCATACCACAGACCCGGACGCCCAGGGGTCTGCTCGTCGTGTGGTCACACTTCTTCCGTTGGCTCTTCTTTTTGGCGAGCGTCGCGTCCATGCCATACTGTCGTGTCCCCATCTTGAGGTCAAGAACGCACGAGCGCTTTAACCGACCAGTCAAATCTTCCATGCAAATGAAATGGTTTTGACGCGTGATCGAGTCATCAAAGTTGAATGTGGATGGAGGTTTACTGGAAACAGGTGTTACAGGGGTAGAAAATCCGAGAGATCGTGACCGACTCCGATGTCTTGTAAGGGAGGGAGGTAGGTCGAGTTGGTTCTGATCTTCAAGCGTGACGGAATCCCTGTCGCTGGCACTTTCTTGTGCATACATCGAGTCCATAGCAGACTCACTCTGGACACGCGGAAGAACAGAGGAAAACCGGTGACTTCCTTCCTCTCCTTTCAGCCTCTTCGCTTGTCCTATAGGGTGCCTCCGACGATGTGAGCGAGTGCGTCGGGCAGATGAAATCGGATGACCCTCATGATCAGCCATCTCACCCTCATCCTCTGTCTTCGTGGACCACTTGGCGCGATTCCGACGCTGGAACCTGCGGAGAATGGTATTAAAGACGTGATCCTTGAGCTTTGTGTTGACCATCGTTAACCCTGTGCCCCCAAACCAACTAGGGGTTCCTTGTTGCTGCCCGATCCCCGACTCGGAATGGAAAGGACGTAAGGACTGCGGGTGAATTCCCTCCGGCACCAACGTACGATGAGCTGAATGAGGGTCCATGAATGGCGAGGTCGGAAGGATGCCTGAAGAGCAATCTGGCGAGTTGGAAGGGGGAGGCGGCTCCCCCTCTTGGAGAGGAATGGTAGCCTGACGCAAGAGAGGGCTGCACTGCACCGATGAAGGCTCTGGTCGCATAAGGTCAGGTGTTGACGCAATCACACCGTGCATGGACGTGAGATGTCTGGGAGCATCAGGGAATTTATGGTAAGACGGCGGGTAAGAGAACGAGACGGGACGATCGTGTTTCGGCCCGTCAAGATGGAGGACCCATTCAGGAATTATGTGGCGATTGCGGTCAAGCACCACTTCGGGCATTTCATCGGATGTTTCATGGCTCGATACATCATCATCTTCCAGAAACTGGGCGGGATACGATGTTAACCCCTGAGTGGGACGAGAAAGGTAGGAATTAGATGTGTGATAGTCAGGAGATGATGGGTGGGCGGAATGAGGATGGGGAGTATGTGTGTCAGGTACACTCGAGTTGGTGGCTGGTAATGAGCCTTTGGATACGCGTCGGTAAGTGACAAGCATCACACCAAGATAACGTGGAATGAATCCAAGTAATGGGGGTGCTTCTCGCTCAACAGCTTCATAAAACTGATTTTCTCTCGAAACCAGAGGCTGTGTAAGATGCCATAAGAAACGGATCACGACAGAACAATACTAGACATACCTTGCACACAGCACGCTTGGTAAATCTATATATCGCGTTGTGGCCACCGACTTGGTTTCGGAAAGGACGTAGAGGGATATGTGGAAGACTCTCATCTGATGTACCGAATGTCATATTCAGTGGCATTCGCTCCAGCCCTCCAGGCGATTGTAGCAGATTGCGCCCGACTAGGGATCAGCTTTGAAATAAAGACGAGCACTTGTCGACAAGTACTTGTAGATATTAATCCCTATGCTCTGGGACAAAGATTTGTTTGTGAGTTATGGTCCAGTGTGACCTGCACGGAGGGTTCTTCGTTTTTGAAGAATGATGAATGACGGACGAGACACGTGCTTCAGAATGATGACTAAGCCACAAAGTTCAAGCACCTTCAAGCGGTGTACCTGCCTCCTCAAGTTAATTCAGCACGAAATGCGGAGAAATCATCGAGTGACAAGCATCTTACCTTGTAGGAATGAAAGAACCTGAATCCAAACGTCAGAGCCGACTTTTCTACCCAGCGCAATCATATGCGGTGCCACGGGTCCTATCGCACGTTCGCTGGCAAACATGCTCAGGCTGCGACAAAACCCACAAAACCACCTGATCCTTGGCAAATGAAATCATGGTCGGGATCAAACCGAGTAAGATTCGTCTTCGCCGCAGTCATCCCACCTTTCTTCCCATCAATGGCGAATGAGAGCATGCACGGTCTTGCACTGCTTGGAAGCATGTATACTACGCCCGTAGGCGCCCGCGTTTAGCCGCACCTTCTCAACAGCCTGGAACGTGGCCTCCGTTTTCCCACCATTGCCCACACATGTTTCCGTTCTCTTCAATGGTTAGTACGTGTAATCAAGATGTAGGCCGATATCGAATTGCTAGCACCTTGGACACAACTTCCCCCGTGGGGACTGATGACAGATGTGAGTACGATATCATTAAACTCAACGTTTTACAAATTGCACAGGTCCGAGTCCAACAGGAGAATTCCGAATGCCTGTTTTCAGCCAAACCCAACTATGGATCGTCACCAACTTCCGAGTTTGGCCACCTGGCACTGATTCCTATCAGTGTTCCTTCGGTGAGTTTGAAGAATGAATTCATTGAATCATCCGGTTCGAGGAGCTATCAACGTTCTATTACCACCCATTTCATCCCCACTGGCCTGAGAGTCGAGTCAGCAAATCTGGTGGTTCCGTGCAGATAAGCCCCGCGGTGCCTTCTCCACTGTGGCCCCCGGGCGACACGGCGGATACTAGTTCGTTTATACCCGGTACTCTATCGACGTTCTCTGTCTTCTCCTTGATTATTATTGCGAGTGCGAGAAATATTTCGCATTCCGCCGCTTTCATTCATAGCTGCGAATAGCTATGATCACTCACTATGGGCATGATAAGTTAGTGTGTCAGATAACGTGTATGTGTGAGTGTAAACTTGTATCCAGTTTCCGCCGGTTCAAATTTGACATTCTTAGAGAGCGGACCGGTATTTGGAGAAGAACGGCGCAGATCCGAGATCTGGTTCGAACATGGACAGTATATCGCTGGGGGATGCCGACTACGACTTAGCATTGAGTAAGGCCGCCGTTGTGTTTACAATGGCGAGTAATGGCATGAAGCGGGGTACTGATCTGCAGCTTGCCCAGGCATGCACATACATACACTTTGCCGTTGTCCTTAGCTCACACACTAAGTATGTTGTGGTCTGCAATCCTTGGTTTGGTTTTGAATGTCAGTTGAATGAGTTCGCGACGCCGGTCAAATCATCTGTGACTCAGTTTTCGAGTCATTGGCTTACACATACGAGGCCCCTCTTCGTTTGGGTACATATGAGGCTTACTGACGAATTTCGTTCTTCCGTCTCTACTCTCTTGCCCTCACAGAGTACTCCTGCACCGTGCACATCTGCACCTCAATTTGAACTACCCACCCTCCCATGTTGCTCCCTGTAGTACATTCTGTTCGAGTCTCCGTCTCTCATATTAGTTTTTTCTAACTCGTTCCCGTGTCCCCAGTTGTTTACAGCTTTCGCTACTGCCATGTTCTGCGACTCTCTGATTGCAATGAAATGTTACCGAGTCCATCAAGTATGGGACTAGGGGACTCCACTTGCTTAAAAATATGTGACCTCTCTCTATCACCACCAGAAACAGATGAGTAGTGGTAAATATTCAGTACTAATTAAGTGTGCTTCAGAAATATAATACTGTAAACCTGCTAGGATGCACTCAAGACAAGCAAGACACAAGTAAGTTGAACAAGTGATCTATTAGAGGCAACATGCAGTGGGATAGCAGAGAAACAATATCACAAAATAAGCATCTCCTCTCTACCAGTCACTTCCAGTACAAAGCAACAGACACTTAGCCACAATATTGAAGAATTGCTTGGCGTGAGAATAGAGAACCTTCCAGAAGGTCAAGAACCTGTGAATGAGTCAGATCACTAATAAAGTTCAAACTCCACCAACAGCATAGTATAAATTGGGACATGGGTCCATATTGTATTGTTTTGTCCCTCAACCCAATACCACTTCATCTCTAAGACTCTCTCTAGTAATGGCACATCCTACAAGCAGCCCTTCCTGCAATGGTAGTGGTGGAGTGCATTCTGCACCTACTGCTTCTAAAGCATTGCCTTCTGTCATTTCTCATGCCAGTGTTCAGCCACAGAACAATCGTTCAGCTGGACATCATGTGCAGTGGTCAGACCCATTAGTGCATACCAGAGGTATTCCAAGAAGGGAACCTCAGGGAGCTAATCCTGTGTTAGCTACTGTCACTCCATCTGTTACCTCCAATTATTCTTCCCAGCAGGACACTGGAACCATCGCAGGTGCTATGGAGGGTCTGAAGTTGGCACCTTCTGCCTCTAGTGCAAGTACTGCCCCATCTGCTTACAGGCCACCACCCCAAACTTTCCTGTCATTATGCCCTCAGCTCACTAGCACATCTCAAGCTGCTCATCAAGGTTCTGCACCCAGGAATCCAAATCTACGCTTCATTGTTTTGCGCCGATTACTAGCAACTCAAGCCAGGAAACCTCTCAATCCTATTGACTCTAATGAGAGCCCTGCTACAGGTAACATGAATATGCACTTAATGATATTTGATTCTAAACTTCACATATCAGAACCTCAGAGCCTAATGCCAGTAATATCTGAGGCAGTGCTCAACCAATCAAATGGCACTGTGAAGTCTACTACTGATGTCAATGGCACTCCCCCACCAACTTCCACTGTCATGGAAGATTCAGATGTCATTAACCTCACCCTTCGCAGTGACGAGGAGAACAGTCTGTTGCAGAAGCAACCCAAAAATCAAAAGAGCACACAGAAGCAAAGGAATGTAAGTATCGAGTCGACGTTACTACGGAAATTTTAAAATGGCACTGACTCGAAGCATCACCGCATTCAGACTCAGATCCTATCAACGTCAATCAAAGTCAACACAGCCAAGCGCCGCCTCGACTCGGAATCCAGCGACACCTCGGGAGGCGGTCCTCCAAAGCGCTTAAAGCGAAATAGAACGCTACAACCTCGTCTCGAGTCAGATTCAGCGACGAGTGATATCGATCATGTTTCGCCCGGGCCACGCTCGTCAATCGAACCTACCTCGTCTTCGGGGAGATTTTCATCCAGCAGTGTCGAAGTGACCGATGATGTCGTTCCGGATGGTCCGAGATCCGTAGCGGATGCCTACAACAACCGTGCAAAATCTTCCGTCTCTCTCGATGATACTCAAGCACCAAGGCATTCGGCTCGGGAGAGTAGGGTTTCAGTTGTAGCGCGCACCTACAGAAAGCCGGCCCCGGGTGGGAGTGCCGTAGCGTCAAGCAGCAGGGTCAGGGTGGAGGACATGGAGGTGTCGGACAGCGAGGACGAAACCGGTGATCCTCAGCGAGCAAGGTTCTATGCGAGTGCGATCTCCAAAAAAGTGCGTATGTGGGCGGAAAAGTTGAAGGGAATCCCCCGCGCGCATTTGGATTCTCTGTTCGACGATAACGTAGTGCGTGTTTCTCTTGCAGTCGTAGTAATGAACGCTAACCCACACATTTTTCGGAAACAGGAGATTATGTCCAAAGGCGAGATTCTGAGGTTGTTGAAAGGCATCGACGAGGACAAGAACTGGGTTACTCGTGCGGAAGTAGAGGATACTCGTCTTGAAAGGTTCCTAACCGTTGTGTTGACCAAACATCTGGAGAACGGAACGGAAGCCTACAAGCTCGCAGTGCGCATCCTCGACAACTTTGCGCAGAGGTTCCGCGGTGAGAGATACCCACAGGGACGTAGGTGGTGAATGTGAAGGGAGGGAGAACAGGTTGAAGGAAGATAACTCGTGGGATGCTGCGGAATCCCGGCGTGGACGTGGAACAAGACTCAAGTTCCAGAAAATTCGCAGGTACCAGCGCTCCCATTGAATGGGAGCGCTTACTAATTACTAAGGGGCAGTCCGTTTTTGGCGACACTGTGCTGTTGTTTCGTTGTCTCATGTTCGCTGTCTTGGTTTTTTTTTGTCGTTTTGTGAATATTGTTATCGTTCTCTGCTCAATTGATACGCATGCTCTCTTGTCATAGTTTTGTTTTCTCGAACGCTGTTTTCGTCTGCTTTACCTGATTAGCATCACAATATTTTCTTCATGTCACGATAACGAAAACCCCTAACATCTTGTTCCGTTCACTGTTTTCGTTTGCTTTACTAGCTGATTAGTACTACTTACAATGTTTTCCTCAAGTCACGATCAAGTCATGATCACCCCCAACATGTTCCTTCCGGTTGATTACTCTCAAAGTTTGCATTAGTAACGTCTCATGAATGCGTACGCCCAGCGAGATCTGTATAAATTCTGATCTATAGTCCTAAGAATCATAAACATGCTTCCATGAGTATCGTATGTTACTACTGAGTCAAATTATCGCATGAACTATAGTGGGCTGGTAAAAGTAAGTCACGAAAAATCGTAGAAAAGAAGGCGTGAAGTCACGTATGCGATGGGTGGTAATCAGAGAGTGGGAAATTAACGATTGATGCTAACAAACCACATTTATCCGCCGCTTCTTCATCGCGGGACCTTCATCGGCCGAGTCAACGTCGTCCACAACGATGATAGGAGATTCGCTACGAGGGGGAGCTGCAGTTATTGGCACAGGCACAGGAGGCTTCTCCGTGACACTGACAGCAACGCTCTCAGCGGTCGGCGGATGGGCGGCTGGTGCTTGGGTCTGGGCACTCTCGAAACCCGACACCGTAACTAGTTGAGGCGTCCGTGATGGGAGTGGCGTAGTGGTAAATGGCCCACCTGTCGGAGGGGCTTTGTTGTCACGAGATCCGGGTGTGCCCCCGCGACCACCTCTTGCGCGTTTGGTCCGCCCGCGTCCACGCGTCATTTTCTCCTTGAGATATCGCACGATATGGCCTTGTAAGATCTCTAGAGCTTTCTGGGCGCCAAGCGCCTCAAGCTCTCTGAGCTGCTCTGGAGACAGATGTGAAAAGATCGTGGGTGATAGTATAAGGGTATTATTATGAAGAATGATGGGCTGTGCCTGCTCAGGGTTCGAGGATGAAGGATGCGAAGGTGGAACGGGTCCGACAATGATGGGCAGGCAAACAGATGCCGGTAATGCTGAGAAGGGTGCAGATGCGGCACCAGATACAGCACATGCGGAAGATTCTGATGAAGGAGTCGATACTAGTGCAGGAGCCACATGCGGAGATACGGCTCCTGGTGCTGTGTGCACTGTTGAAGTGAGCTTGGGTGCGGTGAGCTCTGCCTTAATAATGGGTGTGGTTGTGAAAGGGCTCGCAAGGGAGGCTGTCGTCAACGGGTTTGTGTGCGGTATAGAGGAGTTAGAAGACTTGAATGGTAGCGGCGCTGATGTCAACGGTGGCGGAAGAGTAACGCCTTTGATGTCACCCTTGACGCTGCGCTTGAGTGCAGGTTCTAGAGGTGTTGCCTTCTCCTTCTTCCTGCCCTTTCCATCTTTACCACCCGTACTTGAGGATGCAGCTTGTGATCTGGCTTCTTGCTCCTCGAAGGTGTGTTCATATTGTTCGTCCACAGACCAATAAAACCCCTTCCCTCGCTCTCCGGAACTCCTCTCCATCTTCTTGAACGCACGGCCGGATGATAAATTATGCCGAACAGAGTTCTGAAAAGCAGGTAAGCCATTAGCTGTCAGGTGCGACAGCAGAGATAAGATAGCTCACCTCCCACCCCGCACCCTCGTTGTACCGATACCAGTCATAATTCTCCATCATCCACGAACATATATCCTGCAGCGTTGCCTTGCCGCCCATTGCCTTAATAGCTCGATAACAAAGCTGAGCGTATGTAAATTGAGGTTTTGGGGGCATGACCTCTGGCTTTGGTATTGGCAAGTCTGATTTCTTGCGCTTTTTGGGCGCGGTCTTTACCCTGGATATGCTGTTCGTGTTCGGGAGCTGCGGGTCTGGCGATTTTGGCGGCGGAACTGGTACGGAGACGGGGGGCGGTGAATTCGAAGGAAGAGAGGAAGGTGGTGAAATAGACGTAATGTCAACAGAGGGTGAACGTGCGCGCTGCACCGATGAATTTGAACTCGGAGATGGCGAGTCTTCCGGTGCTGGAGGGGGAGGGAGCACGAAATGGAAAGTCCTAGAAGCTATCTGTATTTGAGACCTGATCCACGTTTAGAATGCTTCAGCTCATGAGAGACCAAATACCGACCTTTCCCCCAAAGGAACTCTGCTACCGCTGCCAGACCAAACACCGTCCACCCAGGCACCGTTTCTGCCTACGACGGCGAGAACAAAGCGTTCGTCGTCCTCCTCGTATTCGATCTTGGCATGGAGTCTGGATACACTCTTAAGAGGTCCCAAATCGACATCAACAGGACTGTTGTCGCCAGCAGATGTAGACGCATTGGGAATACATCGTCGCCCAATAGTTACTGTTAGGGTCTGAAGATAGAAAGTGATGTTTGGGAAGACAAGGGAATAATATGCGCTGATCTTTGCTGTGGAGTCATCTGGAGAAATAGAATTACGAAGGACATCGATGTTATCCATCTGAGAGTCCAGCACTGCGAGGGCCGTTAAGGACATTACTGTTAGAGTCGGCGAGTGTCGGTGAGACTGACCACAGTGACTTGCTTTCGTCAACACGGGGTCAAACAATAAAAATGACCCCTCGATTTCACATTATGTAATTAACTAGCCTCCCAGCCTGAGCCTTGAGGTCAACTTAAACAGTAGGCTCAGAGTACTACAACCATGTCGCGAGTGACAGAAAAAGCACAGGATGAATTATCTTCTCTAGCTGACAGAAATGTAGACAGCACAGACTCTGATCTGCGTTACATGGCATATGCTGCTCGTCTCAGGACTGCAGTGCGTGCCGGCAGTCGTTACATTGCATATGTACGTGTCTTTGCATCTCTCAACTTATTTTTGTTCGTGGTAAAGACTGATCATAGACCAGTGATGTCGGAGAGGCATTCCGTCCCGTAGTACCTCCTGCCATAGTTACCGCATGCTACGGTATTTCATGGCTATATCTCGCTGGGTGCGTGCCGTTTCATCAATCTCCGTGCCGACTTGTGACATCATACCAGCGACGTGGGCTACGAGGCGTATAAGACTCATAGACGCGGGCCCAGCCCAATAGAAGCTGCCCATTTCTCTGAGCCGACGAGAGTAGGCATGGTAGCCGTCAAACGTGCGGTTTTCCAATCCGTAGCATCAATGTACGTGCACGTTCCTGACTATCACACCTTCCATCGTAATCGTTCTTATTGGATGCTCCATAATGCACAGGGCGCTGCCCGCATTCACTATTCATACCGCCGTCAACCAAGCAAAAAAAGCTTTCACGAACGTGCAGAACAAGAGATTGAAGACTTGGGGTCCAACTATCAGTGGACTTGCTATCGTCCCTTTCCTGCCATACATATTCGATCATCCCGTTGAGACGGCAACGGACAAGGCATTCGAGTGGATTGAGAAGAGGATAATTGAGAGTCAGGACGCTAGAGAGAAGCCAGAATCGTAATTGGTTTGTGTTTTACCCACTTCTCATCTACTGTTTACCCTATGCATCGATACGCTGTCTCTAAAGCACTAGATCATTGTCGCCATTAACAGAGTTGGGACTCCCCCTCACTATGATCATCCGAGAAGCTCTCTACTGTTGTTGCTGTTTGTCATTCCTCGGGTTTCACGCCTTATCTTTATTTACCTTCGAACGCTGAACCCAGTCTCCTGGGACCGGACAGCTAATTCTGAAGTGGAACCCGTGATCAAGAGAGTTCATTGACCATGCTGACATCGAACTTCGAAGCCTGCACAATCGGGCAAGTAGTAATTAATGGGGGAACAAATACAATGTAATTATTTGACAAATGGATTGACTGGCGTTGACCAGCACAACATCAGAGCGAAACACGTAAATAGACTAAGGCATCATGCCATCAATGCAATTAAACTGTACGATTGTAACTTCCTACTCGTAATCACACAATACTATGTGTGGTATGTTACAGTGTAGTGCGACCGAGCGCAAGTGGAATCGAGCTGATGGAGCTTGGCGGGATAACCCCGACTTCTGTCACGACTGCTGTGATACTCGAAGGAGGTGTCAGGTCATAGAGCGGATTGAGGATCTCTAGGTTGGGCTGTTTGTTGAGGGTGAGCGTATCTTTTGACCGAGTGAGGGGGAAGGACGAAAATATATCGCCAGCTGGCGCTACAGGATCATAATATTAGGTCAAGTTGAAAGATAACGACTATGGGGGAACGTACCGAGTTCATTCTTGGTAAAACTATCTAGCTGGATTGTTTCCGCGAACTTGTATGTCTCGCAGCAAACGACCACAGGAACGCTGTGTTGTTTGGCCATCATAGCTACGAGAGCCGTGCCTGCACGGGAAAATACGGCGCCGTTCGAATGTAGGGAGTGAGCGCCCACTAAGACTGTCGACACCTCTGTGATGACAGATCCAATGGATGGCAGAAGGAGATAAGTGCAGGGGATGCCCATGGCAGAAAGTACGGAGAGAAGCTTCTTGCCTATTCCGTAGGTCACAGCATGAGATTACAAACGGGGACTTCAATAATATGACCTCACCCTCTAGCATTGGCCGGGAATCGACGACGACAACCGAGAATTGCTTCCCATCATCCCACGCACCGACCAGAACTTGCTCTACAACTGAAGATCTGGGCAAATGACTATTAGCTAATGACAACGGGAGAAGCGTGAAGCTTGTTACCGAGCATACGTCAGAATGACGTCTCCGTCTTTAATCTTGGTACCTGCAGTCTCTTGGATGACTTGATCTGCTATAGTAATTCGTTCACTGATATAATCATCTATCTTTTGACAGAGGAGATTTTTCGCCTGAGGAGTGAATGAGTGCTATGTGTGACAGCGACGAATACTTGACACTAACATCCTGCTCCGGAAGGTCGATATCCGATCCACTGATCTCTAATTTGAGCTCCCGAATGGCGTTACCCATAGTGACAGACATTGGGCGAGCAGAAACGAGATGAGTGATTTGAGGCGAAAGATGTGTCAAAAGATGCCTCGAGAGCGTATTGTTAGGAGGAGTGACATAGTCTTGTATCACCTTGATCAACGTCAGCAATATTCGGTAGACCAGGACGATCGCAAAATACAGTTTTAAATGCAGTCAGGGTCGCAATACACCGTGCATTTGCCCCTGCGATCTTGAATTCCGAAAATTGTAATCCGAGGCGGATGATAGCGGGATGTATGTCTCCCTTGCTAGGGCCAGGAGGTTTGGGGAGTCCAAAATGGGAGAATATCTGCAAACCACGAGCAGAGTCATCCGATATGGTTTCTTTCGTCTCCTTTGTTGGTTTTCCATCAGGACCCTTTCCACCTTTCTTGACTGAAGCACCAGTACTTGCAGCAGGTGGTGCGCCTTTCTTCGCCTGAGCAGAACTCTGATTAGATGCGCTAGGTTGGGGACCAGCTGCTTTAGTAGCAGCCTTTGCAGCTCTCTGACGTTCTTGTTGCTCGCGTCTCTCCGCTTTGGTCATCTGCTTTTGAGACTTGGGAGGCTGATTCTGGGCCGGAGATGATGATGCTTCGGCATGAGATTGAGCAGGAGCGAGCTTGATTGTAGAGTTAGAAGGAAGAGCGGTCATTGTAATGGTTGTAGTTGCGCTCATCGTTTCAGTAGAATGTTTGGCAAAGTCCAAGGGTTAGTAGTCAAAAAAGCAATAAACATTACATTCAACTTTGCTTGATCGCTTCGAATCATCTGAGTGACCGAGTCATAGTCTGGGGAATGTGGGAACTCTAATTACATCAGCTCAAGTTCTCACGACCTTCATTTTGCTTTGTCGTGGCAGTCGGCGCCGACGCTACAGTCCTTGCTCGTGGACGATCACATTATAATCTTCGTTTATATCGGAATTGCTGCACAATGGTATGTTCTCCAAAACTGGTAATTTGGGCTTTCATTGACCTTGTTTATAGGGTGTTCCCGCACTGTTCCGTTGGTTGAGCAAGAAGTATCCGAAAATTGGTGAGCAACCGGTGCTTCACTTGTATTGACTTGGTTAACAGCTACTAGTAACGTCTGTCATTGAAGCGGAGGAGGAGGAAGTTCTCGACGCAGCTGGAGATCCTATCAAACTTCCCGTTGACATCACACAACCTAATCCCAATGGCGCGGAATTTGACAGCTTGTACTTGGATATGAACGGCATCGTGAGTGATGGAAGTAACTACGTTTTTCGTGGCTGACCACCCGTACGCACGCAGGTTCATCCTTGTACTCATCCCGATGGCAAAGTACGCATATATTGCTCTACAAACTCGGTTCACTCATTGATTCGTCTTCCGCAGCCGGCTCCCGAAACAGAGGAGGAAATGATGCTTGAAGTCTTCAAATACACCAACAGAGTGGTCAACATGGTGCGGCCGCGCAAGCTTCTTTTCATGGCTATTGGTGCGCTTTACATTCATGTTACCCTCTCATACCACGGCCTTACACAGAGTGCAATTAGACGGCGTTGCGCCTCGTGCCAAAATGAATCAGCAGCGGAGTAGACGGTTCAGGAGCGCTCAAGAAGCAAAAGATAAGGCGGAAGCTCGTAAACTTGCTGTCGCTGAGTGGGAAGGTACGGTGTTCTCAGAGCGAATTTATGCTGTGTTTCTGACCGATTTCATCATTGCAGCTATGGGTAAGATTATCACCGACGACGAGAAAAGCAAGGAAGCTTGGGACTCTAATGCTATCACACCCGGCACGCCGTTCATGGCCCTTCTAGCAGCGTCGTTACGGTACTGGGTCGTGGAGAAGATGAACACTGATCCAGGGTGGAAAGATGTACGCAGGGAACATTTCTTAGGGATCTTTCTGATTCATTTCTTGTATAGCTCCAAGTCATCATCTCAGATGCAAGTGTGCCTGGAGAAGGAGAGCATAAGATTATGGACTTCATACGCAGACAGCGCACAAACCCCGGTCATGACCCTAATACTCGACATGTAATTTATGGTTTGGTAGGTTGATTTCCAACTCCATTGTGCTCTCCGTTATTGACCGCATGTTCAGGATGCTGATCTCATTATGCTTGCCCTCGCGACCCATGAACCATATTTCCGAGTGCTTCGGGAAGATGTGTTTGCGCAGGACAAAGGTTCCGGGTGCCGAATATGTGGAGAAGAAGGTCACTATGCCGCTCAATGTACAGGACTGAAATCAGAGATTAAAAAGCCTCCTCCACCGGAAAAAAAAACCGTTCATTTTCCTCGATGTCGCCATTCTGCGCGAGTATCTGGAATCCGAGTTGAATGTGAACAATACACCCTTCCCTTTCGATTTGGAACAGGCTATTGATGACTGGGTGTTGCTCATATTCTTTGTCGGCAACGATTTCTTGCCGCATTTGCCGTCACTTGAGATTCGCGAAGGAGCGATTGATACTCTCTTGAGGATCTGGAAGATGGAGTTGCCCAGAATGGGTGGATATCTGACGAACCATGGTCAACTAGTGCTTAGTCGTGCACAGATCATATTAGAGGGACTGGCGCGACGAGAAGATGAGATCTTCCGTAAGCGACAAGAGAGTGAGTATTTATAATGTGATCCGTCAACGCCTTAGAGACTTACCATACCTCAGCTGAGCAACGTCAAGATCAGGAAGCGAAGCGTCGTAGGATTGAAAAGTCTGGGTCTGGAGAGAACGCCATGGGCGATATTCAGTTCGCCGCCCCGTCTGCGAAACTTGGTCTGACTGCATCCACTACATCGCTATCATCTCTTCCCCAACGTGCAGATAATGCTTTTGCTGCTAAGGCCGACTCTATTGGTCTCGGAGCGCCGCGTAATGCTCAGTCTCTTGAAGTCGCTCCAGTTGCAGCGCAAGCACTGGCTGGTTCGAATCGTGATGTAGTTGCCAATCGAGCTGCTATACGGATGGCGAACATGAGTGCTGCAGAGATGCTCAAGGCTGAGCTATCTGGACTCATTCCTGTGAAACAGAGTGCTTCTGCTCCTAAACCTGAGCCGGTTGTTCCTACCCCTCCACCCAAAACAGACGCTGAGCTTATGGATGATGGAGACATTCCAGGCCTTGGGAATGCTCCATCAGCACTTGAATTTGTTGATGATGGGGCTGTTGACATGGATGTCGAGCCCAAGAATCCTGTTACTCGTCCAGCTGATGAGCCTGTAACACCTATCGCTGGCGTCAAGCGGAAGCTTGAAGATATCGAGGGAGAGGATACCGATGAAGTGGTTGGCATTGATGAGGAATCGTCTGAAGATAACGAAGATGCGTCTTACGCCCTGGTAGTCAAAGCAGATGGCTCAGTTGAACAGGCCGATAACGTGAGGTATGAAAAGGCTGTGAAATTATCCAATGATGTGAATAACATTTCCTCAGATTGTATGAACCCGGGTATAAGAAGCGATACTATCAGCAAAAGTTTGGCCTATCAGAAAATGATGATGATTTCCGTAAAAAGTGGGCGCTTTTGTTATCGATTTCTGCACAAACCTGGCTGACTCTGCTGTGCAAAGGCTAACAAAACACTATGTAGAAGGTATTGCGTGGGTTCTGCATTACTACTATCAAGGGGTGAGCTCCGACCGCCGATTTACCTTTCTTTGCTGACTCGGTAGTAGACCCCTTCATGGCAATGGTATTACCCATATCATTTTGCACCTTTCGCGTCGGACTTTGAAGGTTTGGAAAATATGCAACTGGAATTTACTCTCGGACAGCCATTCAAACCGTACGAGCAACTTATGGGTGTTTTCCCCCCTGCTAGGTACGTTCATGTCGAGTAATGATTTGACTACATAGCTCACCAGTATCGCCAGTCGCAAGCATATACCCGAATCCTTCCATGATCTCATGACAAACGAAGAATCTCCGATTCATGATTTCTACCCATCAACCTTCCAGATCGACATGAATGGGAAGAAGATGTTGTGGCAAGGTGTTGCTCTCTTACCTTTCATAGACGAGAAAAGGCTATTGGATGCGATGGCCGAGCACTACCCTAAGCTCACTGAGGATGAAGTCCGAAGAAACAGCTGGGGTCACGACGTCATGTTTATTGCGGATGAACATTCAATGTATCCATTCTTCGAGGGATTATATGGTAAGCGCAAGGAGAAAGAGGTATGCCGTCAGTTCGATTAGAACCAATTTCGTTACTGACTACGACTGCTCAGTCTCAACCCATGCCTACCAACCTGTCCAAGGGCATCAGCGGTAGCGTTCTACCAAACCCCGATTGTTTGCCTGGCTCGACATATTACTCCCCATTGACTTCCATGAATCTGCAAGATATCAGAAACGATCGTTCTCTCTCCGCGTTATATTTCTTCCCAAAGCAACTCTCTCCCCATCGATCGATGTTTCTTCCGGGGGTTACAAAACCCGCAAGACAGCTTACTGGCGAGGATCTAGCTCGGAGGGGTCGAGGACATGGTCGAGGGGGCGGCATGGATCGTGGCGGTCGTGGACGAGGTGGTTATCAGAATGGCTCTTATAACAACGGACATGGGTACGGCAGCACTCATGGCCAATCACACACTGCGACATCATATGTCTCGTCGTACACCACTCAGTCTCGAACGCCGTACACCCAGGGGCCCCAGCAAGGATTCGGAGGCTATGGCTCCAATGGAAGGCCACCAATTCAAAATTATGGTAACAATTATCCTGGCCAGACACGTGGTGGTCCACCTCCTCGAGGAGGCGCCCCTCCTTCGCGCGGAATGCCACCAAACCGTGGTGGCCCTCCCCGTGGTGGCCCTCCTCGTGGTGGTAGTTCCGGCTATGGAGGTTCTACCTCCTATGCTCAAACCGCTCATCAACCGCCATATGGCCGTGGAGGCTACTCTGGTGGGTACGGTGGCGGTGGCGGTGGGTATGGTGGACAGGCGAATAGTGGTTATGGGGGTTATGGAGGCTACGGTGGCCAGGCAAGCCGAGGTATCTATGGTGGTTCAGGAGGACATGACAACAACAGCGGCAATTATATGGGTTATGGAAACCAGAATGGCGGACAGGCCCGTGGTGGCTATGGAGGCTACAATGGAGGAGGTTATCAGAACCCTTCAAGGGGCCGGGGCCGAGGATTCTAGAGTAACTTATATACATACTGCTTTTCGTTAATATTTTTCCTTCGCAGATATTTTGTATTTTAGACCATTGACATATATTTTGCTGGTTTCTTTCCAATTATACTAACAATCTGGACTCGCTACATCGATACGAAAATGGCTGTACCGCCCTTTAATATCTGTTTTTTGGATGTCATGAGAAACACTCGAATGACTGACTAACGAACAGTACTCCCATCCCTTGACCCTTTTCAACTTGGACTTAGTGAATAGAAGTTTATCGATATATCGTCCAGTCCTGCAAGCGGGCCTGAGCGCAAGTCTATCATGCATGTTCGATACTAACCGTGACATAACTATTGCAAGTAGACGTGGGTAGCATATGCAGTATATACCTTTACGATGATCTCTCCCGTGACGTTATCCCATCCCTCGAGTACATACAATAGTAGGAATGACTGTTTTCCTTCTCTTATAGTCTTACTAGGGGAGACTAATACAATGGAGGCACAAAGCCGTTATTGCATACTCATCTTACTTTTTATACTCGCGCTGCGGCACCATATTTACTATTTCAATTAATCTGTTCCATTGCACCGCGCACTACATAACATTCACTTTCAAATTCAAATGACGCAAAAAGGTATGTTGGAGCATTGTTGGGCAATTATGTTCGCTTGGGAGCATCGGGACGTGCTTCATCAACGTCTCGGAACTGAACTACGAGTATATTTCAACTCACTGCAAGCTCCTGGTAGAGCAACATCGCCTTCCAACTAGTGGACTTGTTACATCGATATGAAAATGGCTAGGATTTATTTTCTGAAAGATCGCAGTCGAAAAACATACTCGAGTGACTAAGTTGATCAGCCTGCCAATGGGTCAAAGTGCGGTTATCAATACATAGTCAATCATACACGCGAGTAGCACAATAACAATAACAAGTCCACATTCTTGCAAGTTTGTTATTCCATCATCGATAGTAGCTATGGGGTACGGGACGGCGGGATGCGGGGACGCTGTCGAAACCGGGGTACCTGCGATCGTCAACATAAGGCGTGACACAGGTCAAGTATAACGAGTACTTCCGCTCGCGTTCGTTAGCCCTTTCCGATTCAGGCAATGAGAGTTGATCGTCTACAGTCCCTGCGCGTGGGCCTGAGCGTCGCTCGCGACCCTTGTAGAGGACTATCTCGACTCGGCGGGGAAGGAAGAAGGAATTGTTCCACAGATTGATCAAATCTGCAACAATTGAGCTCCGCGAAGGCGGACGGTCCTTGGCAAACTCGGGAAGGGGCAATTTTCCCATCCACGCAAGAGCAAGATTCTAAAACGGGAAATAAGCTAATACGTCACTGAAATAATGTCTATAATCACGTACATTCATGAATATGCTCCAATCTTGGTGGCGAACATCATAGGTATCGAGCACCACTGGCATGCTTGGAATTTGGTTGTAAAATTGATCCATGCCTTGAATTCTCATCGTGCTGAACGGAGTGTGAGCTTGAGCGGTATTCGGCGAACGGGCGAACGGATGCGGTGCAGAGTCCGACATTGATTCTCTGGGAAAAGTAATGATGGGCATACGCGAAGATGAATGAAATCCTGGCCCAGCGGGTGCATTGGGAAATGGAGAGGGTACTCGCAACTGGGGAGCCACAATACGCTGATCCTCCAAGACATGCCCGTGTGGGTATACCATTTGCGGAGGGGGGACATGAGGTGAAGGAGTGCGGTGGAGAGAATAGGGTGATCTCGACTGCCGACGACTCTGGTATGGGGATGGCGCATGGGGGTGAGGGCGGGCATCAGGTGGAGGTGTGCGGTGGGGAGGATAGGGTGATCTCGACTGCTGACGACTTTGGTATGGGGACGGCGCGTGAGAAGGAGGGCGTGAGTATGAAGAATGTCTAGGCAGCGACATTGGAGAGGGCGCGCGAGCACTATAAGGAGAGCGTCCCCTGGGGACAGACAGAGATGCTGCCATTGCGATAGGGTCAGGTCCACCAGGGTAGGTGGAATGGGGGATTTCTTTCGGCCTTACAGTTAGTGAAATCGAGCAAGCACCCGGACGTATATAAGACGCACGGTCGTACCACTGCTCAGATACCACATTACCTTCCCCACCCAAAAGATCAAAACCAAAGGATCCTGCCGCAAGTCCCTGATCCGCATGCCCAGTATTCAGGGGTCATGTGACAACACTCAGGTGATCTGAGGACTCACTGTATTGGGGAGCTGAGCGTTTGTTAGCAGGATCTGTGTGGCGTCGGCAGGGACCCATTGGAAACCATGCACAATTCCTTGGGAGGTCTGATAGCTGTACATCATGATTGGCTCAGGCAGATCTTGTCAACATCGATTCGTAAACCACTTGCCTTACAGGCACTGCCCTACAAATTCAAAAGGTCAAAATGAGGTGAGTTTAGCAAGACCTGCCAGATATCCGTTCATACCTGAAAGGATGGTTTGTAACCTGATCGTCTGCATTAGTGGACGTCGTGTAGGTGATAGTTCCAGGCGCAATCTGGCCATTTGCAGCCCAATGATGTGCAACGTGAGAATGAGATGCTTGCGGAGGCGGGTACGACTGGGGTTGCGGCTCGGGGATTGTGAATCCTCCTACTCCATCCATTGTACACTTTGTTGATGATGGAAGCTGGCCAGAGGGAAGGGGATTGCAGTGATAAGACGTGACAGTCGCTTCGAACGTCTGGGCGGCAAATATCTTCAGTCATGCCTCGGCCTCGAGCCGACTTGACATACAGAGCCTTCCACTTGGCAGAAATACCCCCAGTCTCCCTAGGCAAACCTTAAACGAATGAAAATAGCCATTCCTTCTGGACGAAAATGTGCCGCCGCACTCATCGGCGAAATACTACTTGTACGTGGAAAGTCAGTGATAACGACATAATGGGCGAGGCGCCGCCGCTTGACCGTGCATATGTTGGCAGCGTCCCGCGCCAACATTCTTGAGGCTGCTACTCCCATGACTGGGTGTCTGAATGGTCGGCATATCGTGATAACTGCTAGCACATGCAGTCCGGGGAAGACTGTGGCTTGGGTAGACCATGTATGTATTCAATTACTATCAGCGCTAGCTATACATAGCTGTTTGAGGCGGAGTTAACGTTCATTCGTAGTAATCGGCCCGCTTATATCACTTGGTTATACTTCCTTCAAGGTTGCCGGTGCATGGTTCAGTATTGCAAGACCGTGACAGCCCTAAGGCTGCTACAGGTGGACGATTTCTAGGTATTTACATTCAATGTAAAAATGCGGTGTGATTGGAAAATTGACTTCGATCAAGCCCTCCTCACGTATTTTCCTCCATGGTCCAAATACCTGTTCCAAGTAGACAGTCTCAAACCCAGCAACACCGGTTGTTCTGGGCGCAGAGGTGGATGAGCTGAACAGATCTATCTTCCGGCATCTGAGGGGGAATCCGGCCGACTTGCCCTGCATCTCCACAACCTCGCGTGATCCATCCCTGACAAGTGAATAGTTGATGATCCCAAGCGCATATTGATACTGGCCGTGGGCCAACGAGTTGTGCACAGTAATATCAATCCTGATGTTGGGACACAACAGGCAGTCGAATGTGATGCGGTCACGCCCTGTTCCAGTAGCCATTTCCAAAGGGAGTCTGAGAGGGAGTATCACTAGATGCATTCGCAAGCCGAGACCGGTCATAGTCATCTCCAGTCGCCCACCACTAGCCAACTTCAACTCTCGACGGTCCAGAAAGCTCCTCGGCGATCGAGGGATAGCATCTGAAGTATGATGTTTTGCAGCCGCACCCTTCCAGTTGAGGACAGAAGGGTCACCAGCCTGCATGATGGCTTCGATGAGCCTGCAGAATGCGCGGTCCCCTCCTTCTCCGTATGCGATCTGCAGGCTGACGTCGAAAATACCCATCAGAGAATACGCTACATCTTCAACCCTCGTTGTTTTGCGTCTGGCTGCCCATGCCATCCGCTCATCCACCTTGGACGGACCTGGATTGAACTGCCAGTAGATCTCATGATGAGGAATGCCAGTGGCTTTCTCCAGAGTCTGCAGTATTTCGGTGGTTGCTTCCTTTCGTTTGTCATTTGAATCATTCGTCATAGGCGTCCAGTACTTATTAAAGAATTTGATGTAGAAGGGTGCAAGGAGTTCTTGCAATGTCCAGCCCCTTTCTGTTCATTCATCAAGCAATATATCCTTGATGGTCGTGCTTTTTGCTAAATGGACGATGCAAATCTCCGAGTTACGATACCACCGGAACATGGAACGAATCGACTCGTCCAGCTCGGTACTGCTGCTCTTGTCGATACAGCAGGTATCTGACCACGCAAATTCCACGTTGTACTGCCTGGCCGCTCGACAGAAGTTCTTCAGCTTCTCGTATCCCGGACCTGCTGCTAATGAGCCCACCTTCATCTCTTCATACGTTGGCTCTCCCGAATCCAGCCATCGGTGAGATAAAATGGCATATTTGACAAGTCGTGAGGCCTTATAAATCCCAAAAGGATTCGTTTGAGGGACAGAGCTCCGGAAGTGCTTCCTCACATCATCACGCCCTACAAACGTCATGTCTGATAGGCGGATGAGGCGGATCGGGATGTGGTTCATCACATATTGGTCGAACTCCTCGAGGCGCTATGCGAAATCATCACTCATGACGAATCCCTAGAAGGGTCACAAACTAGTGGTAATGAATCATGATATGACAACATTATGATGATTACCATACTCACCTACGTGAACGTTAGGAGATGTTCCGCCGATGGCCTGATATTTGTTAGAGGTTGCCAGGTTGCTCAATTCAACGGCTATAAATCACGATCAGGTGAGTTCAGCATCTTAATTGTCAGCAAATGCATCCGACTTACCTCGGGCGAGTATAAAATGTTTCAAGCAATGATGAAGATGGTGCAAAGAATGGAACACCAAACGCCGTGGTCTTGAGGGTCGCCTTGTAGTAGGCCTGTAGTTCCTGTGTTCAGTTACTTCAGTATCCTGTCATTGTTTTTCTATTGTGTCTTTCCTTATCACTTTCCTGTGACAACGTAACCACGATGTCATCGGGGATTTAGTTGACAGACGTCCAGTCACAACTCGTAGTCTATACATGGTATGGGAAATCCAATACAGCCGCGGCAGTGTACCTTAGTTATACATTCACAAGGGTGCTGAATCTTTGACACTTATATCCTCCATGCATGGAGGTACGAGATGCCGCGTCCCGCAATGCTGTGAAGGTTTATGGTATGTGCCGAACGATCGGAGAATTTGATCCAAACGACATTAATACCAGGGCATCGTGATTTTGGTACAAGAGCACTCAGGGGCAGAGCCTCCGGCCGGGTCACCTACTTAGTGGAATAGAAGATTCTCGAGAGTCGACGGAATGGCAAACTTGAATTCGAGTCGGAACCCTAAACTGTTCGGTTCTTCATGCCAGTACAGTTTGATGACCTGTAAATTTCATGGACCTCGCACAATTGAACCTTGCGCCCTCGACCAGGTAACAAATTGATTCGCAGTCTGTAGTAGTACAATGACAATGGAGAGCACAAGTATCAACAAATTCGACGTTACTGGATTCATGCACTGCATGTTACTCAACCATAGTAATTTCCTGGAACAGGCATGTCGCGAGGCGCGATGTAGTTCAAGTACAACGCGTACTGCCTCTCGCGTTCCTTGACCTTTTTCCTGAGCTTCTTTTCCTTCTTGCGCCACTTCTTTTCCTCCTTCTTCTCCCGGCGCCTTCTCTTGGAGTCAGCGAGATCAGCGCCGTGACCGTAGTACTCCTCTTCTTCAGACTCCGAAGAGGATGATGATGACGAAGAAGAATCCAACGAGTCAAAATCATCGATTTCAGGCATTGGAAGGTTTTTGTCCATGGTCCCTACGTGCAGACCTGAGCGTCGCTCGCGGCCTTTGTAGAGGACCACCTCAACGCGACGGGCACGGAAGAATGAATCGTTCCATAAATTGATTAAATCTGCAACAAGTGAGCTCCGCTTAGGAGGAACTCCCCCCTTGGAGAACTCATGAATAGGCATCTTGCCGGCCCACGCAAGAGCAAGATCCTGAAGTGGAAGTGAGCTGATACACTGACGAATAAGTCTTTCACCACGTACATTCATGAATCTGATCCAATCCTGGTGGTAAACGTCATGAGTGTCGAGCACAAGTGGCATGCGAGGAATCTGATCGTAGAATTTGTCCATTTCTTGGATCCTCATCACGCTAAACGGAGTGTAAGGCTGAGCGGCATTAGGCGGACGGGAGAATGCCTCCGGAGCAGCGAGTTGTAACGATTCTCCTCCTGTGGCAGCGCCGGGCATACGGGGGGACGAAGGGAATCCACTATTGGGCATACGGGGGGATGAAGTGAATCCTGCGTTGGGCATACGTGGGGATGAAGTGAATCCTGCGTTGGGCATACGTGGGGATGAAGAGAAACCTGGCCCGGCAGGCGCACCAGGCATTGGAGAGGGTGCTCGCGACCGAGGGCCCGTGATAGGCTGACCTTCAAGGACATGCCCACGGGGGTATACTGATTGAATTTGCCCAGGAGGGACAAATGGTGAAGGAGCGCGGTGAGGAGGATAGGTCGATGTCGCCGGTTGGCCATTGTATGGGGACGGTGCCCGGGACACAGGGCGTGCGTATGGAGAAGGAGCACGCGGCCCCGGCGGCATTGGAGAAGCACCACGGGGCGCATGCGGCATTGGAGAGGGCGCTCGAGCACCATAAGGAGAGGGTCCTGGTCCTCCATAAGGAGAGGGTGCTCTGGCACCGTAAGGAGTGGGTGCTGGTCCTCCATAAGGAGAGGGTGCTCTGGCACCGTAAGGAGTGGGTGCTGGTCCTCCATAAGGAGAGGGTGCTCTGGCGCCATAAGGAGAAGGCGCTCTGGCACCGTAAGGAGAGGGCGCTGGGGCACCAAAAGGAGAGGGCGCTCTGGCACCGTAAGGAGTAGGCCCTGTGGGCCCAAAAGTGGGCCCTGTGGCCCCAAAAGGAGAGGGCGCTCTGGCACCATAAGGAGAGGGCGCCCTCGCCATGGGATCCGGTCCACCAGGGTACGTGGAGGAGAATTCTTGTGGCCTTATATTTGGTGAAGTTGAGAAATTACCTACAGGTCTGTAAGGGGAGGCTGCACGGTTGTAAGGGCTAGCGCCTCCAGTTGTAGGATAACCTGTTGGGCTGCTGTACGTTGCGGGAGGGGAAGAGTATGTCCCTGCACCACCCTGAGTACCCTTTCTTGGCCCTGGAGCGAAGGAAACCTGCTTGGGCTCTATGTCGAGATCTCCGAATTTGCGGTCAAGATCTGCGGAACTGTTGTAAGTGCCGTATGCAGCGGTCCCCGGTAATGGTCCAGAGGGAGGTGCTTCACCGTAGAAGCTCCTTTTGCGTTCTCTGACATGAGTAGTATCCCTCTCGCGCGCCATGCGGATCTCTATTTCGTCCCTTTCAAACTGTTTCGCGATGTTCTTTAGGGATACCTTCTCTTCTTTTTTTTTTGCGCTTCTCTTCAGAGCGTTTCCTGAAAAAGTTGTAGAGTATGAAGCAGCATGATATTGATCGGACAGTACCACTTTTCAAGCTCCCTCTCTTCTCCCCTGCTGAGCTGGCCGCGATTAAAGGATGCAGCGAATTCCTGATTCGCATGCTCAGTAGTCATGGGTAATCGAGCGATTTGAGGACTCACTGCATTGGCAGGTTGAGCACCTGTTGGCAAGATCTGTGTGGCTTCGGCAGGTACCCATTGGATACCATGCACAACACCTTGGGCTGTCTGATAGCTACACATCGTGATCTGATCAGGCGGTGCGATCTCGTCAACATCGCAACTACTTGCCTTGCAGGCACCGCTCTGCAACATCGATGGGGTTACGATAAAGCTAGTTTGCGAGACAGATGGGATCATACCTGAAAGGATGATATGTAACTGTACCATCCGTACTTGTGGATGTCGTGTAAGTGATAGATCCAGGCGCGATCTGGCCGCCAGACGGGGGCGAATATGGCTGGGGCTGCTGCTGGGGTGAAGCAAATCCTCCTGTTCCGCTCATTGTGCACTCTGATTCTGAAGATGAGGGAAGCTGAGAGAGATGGGAATCGCACTGATAAGAGCCTATTAAGAGGCGATTGTTGTCTCTTTAATATTAATAAATTGACCCTGTAGCCCTACCCTGCCTCGTGTTACGCTATATCAAGACAATTAACTGGCGATGGCCGAGTTTTTGAGCGCTGATTTCGATAATATTTGATCGGCTGGCGGAGCGAATACATGCCGTTCGGGTTCAGTACCTTTGTTGAGATCATTTGGCCCTCAACTTACCTGGGACCTACGTAGCACACAAACTCCATTTTGAATGTACTTAGGTCTAACAGTTTGCACTGCTACATGATATATACTTGTCCATCTCCAAGGAGAGATGTGACACAACAAAAACGACTTCAGATTTCAGAGTTTGAGAAGTCGCGCAATCATACTTAGCTCATGCTCGATATCAATTAATGAGCTTGGGTTGCGACCGACAGAGGGAAACATCATAACTTGAGATCTAGGGTTGATCAACTTACCTGATCATCTCCGATCGGCCTGCAAACCGTTCTCGAGCACAAATAAAAGACCGATTTTGTCGTGTTGAACTATCGATCTGATTATGGCCCAAACAAGAAACGAAGTCTGCCAGAATGAATCCCGTAAGTGTATGTACGCATAATACATAATGAAGGACTGGGTCAGATGCCTCCTACGTACCAGGGCGTCAACATTTTCCGAAGAAGCTCCAGTAAGATTGATTCATCTTTTGAACTCGACTCCGAAAGCTATATGCAGCATTGCCAAGGTCTGGTTTGGCTAGCTATCCGAGTCGAAGCGACGAATCCAGAGTATACGTCAGGATCTGCATCATCTGTCTAGCCATCATTAATGATTTATGATACTGGGGGTATAAGTGGCCACCGGTAGCACTCCTTTGGGATCGAAGTATCCCTGGTGGGGTCATAAACGTCTTCTGAGGGCAAATCATGTATGTCATTGCTTGGATTTTGATGTATTGATAGCCTGCTTCTCAACACCACGGCGGACTACCAAAGCACTTCATTTATGAGTGCAATCAGATTTCCCTCGGTCAGGTCGTGGGCAGCCTGTGATTTTTGTCAAGATCCGGGACGAAGCCTCATGACTAGGAAGAAACAATGGTCTACGGAGGTCAGTTTCCTCCACCATCGCATCGCAAATAACGGCTTACAGTATCAACCTCCTGTATAAAATGTCGTTCAGATTTTCAACTAGTAAACCACATGGCGTCTGGGCAGCCTACTTCACGATGATTTGTGCCTCTCTCTGCCCTCAAGAAACCAGCTGCAGTGAAAGATCGAGAAGCAGGACCGTGAGCTAGCCTTTCTCTGCATCAGACAGGTCGTCGACCATTTCTGACCAAAAAACTCAAGCCCACTTTATAAAATGACACCCCAGGGTACAAACAACGAAGGTGCCTCACTAACTACCAGCCGTCAATACCATTGCCTACTGATGAAAAAGATAAACACGCAGACATACATGAAAAACCCACTGCATATGTGCCACATGTGTTCGCAGTATTGGAAGTTTTGCGATAAAGCTCTTCCTCATCCTCGACAATAGTTACACTGCGCCGTCCGTTCTGCGAACTGATCACGGGATTCGTCGGGTAAGCGCGCTTTAGGAAACGGTACACCTGGCGTCGATGGTGCATGATGTTCGCCCAGTGCCAATAGTACGACAATTTTTTAGGCGGTACACTTTAAACCTGTTGCCGTATTTCGACAAAATAAGGAAGTTCTTTCATCATCTACAAAATGCAACGGTCGGTTCCGCGGAAGCAATTCGAATTTCGCAGTATAGTTGCTGCGCTATTCGAGCAGATCTTTCGCGAGTTGTCCTGAGTTGATAAAGATCACAACGTGAACCAAGCATGGTATTTTCACTACAAGTTACGGGCATCAACGCAAGTTTGTAGGCGGTAATTTACTCTTACCATGTTACTTCCCCTACGAACTGAATGCCAGCTGCGGTCTTTCGATGGCTGAGTCGAGTACGCGGTGATGGAGTTGGGTCTCAGCAACTGCGGTATTAACGCATGCTTCACGAGATGGGACTCTCGAGTATCATTGTACACAACGATTCTCCCTTTCAAACTTCTGACACTCGAGCTGCGAGAGGAAGCGGCCGGTAAGCGGATAGCACCACTCGGTAATGTCATACAACTCCTCACGGTACTCTGAAAATAGTGGTCGACTTCCCGGAAGGATTTAGCGATGCACCGATGGCTGCGAGTTTGCCTGGAAACGCGGCTCCTAGGAAGCACTTGACTTCCTTTTCCGTAAGACTGTAACTGTGCAGGGGTAAGTACCTCCATTTTTACGGAAGGGGGCAACTCACAACTATTTAGTTCGGCGTCCAAGCCTCTTCATGGTCATGTCGAGATTTTTGTTCAATTTATAGACATATTGCTGGAAATGAAAGGAGACAACCAGTCGACTGGAAATGACGGTACATGTCACCGAGCTGTCGCGGCGAATTAAGTTCCATGTGGTCAAACGATCTTGCGGAAAAGCTGAAAACCGGTGATGCTTCTGATCGTCACGAATCTCCGCCGAAAAAAATGGCAATGTGCCATTAATTTCCCCACGACGGAGATGACAACTATTGCTTGCAGATTGAACATTGCTCCCAAAAAATTCACTCCTGTAGAGCATTCAGTCACTTTGCGACATGGAAGACAATATCCTTCAGAGGGAGATGAGTAGCGTGATGCGGTTCATCATTGACACTATCCGATACTTTCAGCAACTTATGTTAGGATAGTACTGATGGTGTAGAAGGGTACGAACGAGGAGATCGTGTGAATTGACGTCAATATCAATTATGACCCGTTCTCATCGTACTTGACCAGCAATGCGAAGGGGCAAGGGGGTGGCACTTGCTGTGAATCCGAGGATTCAGATGGCAACAGAAGATATGATATACTGGTCCGATGGAAGACAGCAATATTACAAAAGTCATGCAAAAGGTAATAGATTACTTTGCCTGGGTGAAAGATGTCCAATTCTTCGCGGAAGGACAGGTCATGAGAACCGCCACCACAACACGATGATAAGGATAAGTGCCACAGCACCAAATGGTGCATATTGTCGTATGAGCGCCTGTATGTTTATGTTTCTTGCTGCCTTGCGGTACCTGTCCGATTCAGAACGCAAGGAAGTTGACAGATGCGACATCCCTGTAAAGTGTCAAGGCATTAAAAAGAAGAACCCAGAGAATCTCCACACTCACTGTCTAACGAGTCCCCCCTCCACAAAAGCTCCTCCATGTTCTTGGTCATGATTCGGGTGACGTCTTGCAATTCGTTGTTTAACTTGTCCAAGTTTGATGATCCAGTTGTATCAGCTGCACGTGTGTCCTGATATAACCGTGCTGTTTTTGACATAAAGGTATCTGAATACAGCGCGAATGAGTCCTCGGTAAAAATTCGTGCAGTAGGATCGCGCACCAAACCCGACAAAGGCATAAGGTTTCCGTACGGACTCTACCTTGGGTCCGTAAGATACGGAGAATTCCTTTGAAAGTTCTTCTAGATACGAGAAAGCAAGCTTCCGCGGGTAAGATTTGTCCGCAATGGTGAGGTACACGACATTATCCGCGAGGAGGTAGCTATAGCAGCCGGCGGCTTAGGATGCGGAGCCAGATCGAGATGAGAACGGACACTCACTGAAGCGTATACTGCCCACTTTCTATGGAACACCGCGGTTCCGAGTTGGGAGTGATGCGTCGAAAAATTAGTTTCGACTGTTGCTTGTGCTCCTGAAGAGCCTGCTCGGTCTATTAGGGTAAATAAACCTCCTGAGTAATTGAGATGAGTGAGGAAGCTGACCTGTTCATCATCCACAGTTGCTGCCATTGGCAAAGCATCTGATGCGCGGACTATTATTGTTGAGCGGACCATGGTGGGAGATGACGATGTCGTGGCTCAAGTGGAAGCAATTGCGGACGTGGTAGAAGCACGTGATCGGCGGTGAATTGGTCGATATCTGAAATAGGAAACTTCGGGCAGTGTAATGTAGTAACCTGCTCAAGGCCGAGTTCGTCAAAACCTTCTTGAATTCTGCCAGTTCGATTGACCGGTGAAGGTGAATCTCTCGCTGTCATGTACAAAAAGTCGGGCAGCATTACATTGGAAAAAACCGAGGAAGTTGTCAATTGATAGTATCCTGTTCGGTGCCTGCCGCCGGCAGGGTCACGTTCCGTTGGAATATGATTCGTTACTTGTGAGTGTTTTATTTAAAAACGTTCCAGGGGTCAATATTCAGTTTCAAATCAGTACTTCTTGACAAACCACCACCATCATGACTCTCTCCTTGTTCGACGTTCGCAAACAGGTGCGTATCAATGTACATGGGTCTCATCCACTTTTTACGTGTCATTCGTCTCAACAGCTTGCGTTCTACGGTTCCTACCATTCCAATCCAGTCAATATCCTCATTCACATCTTCGGGGGTCCCAGCTATTCTGTGGTGCGTCGTTCTCTCACCGCGTAGAGTATGGATCATGTACCACATTTGTCCGATCCAGGAGTTCACTACTGTTGGCTACTCGCATCCAAACTCCCACGTTTTTGCCAGAGTTTCGCTATACGTTCAATGAGTACCTCTTATTCGATTTGAACACGCCCGCGGTGGTCACTGCCATCTACATTGTATATTACCTCATTCTTGAACCGTTTGCTGCGGTCAGTCTCTCACCCCATGGATCGCATCTGTAGCGCCATCTGACACCGGTCCCAGTTGTTGTACGCGCCGCAAATGCTGGTGTCATTACTGACAGCAACAGCTCACGCACACCGCCCTGATGGTATTCGAGACGCAATTATTGTTCAAATCATTTCATGGATTGCACAGTTCCTTGGACATGGACTTGCTGAGGGTCGTGCTCCAGCCCTTCTGGACAACATTGTTGGTGGTAGGTTCATCGATCAAGTATTTAATCCGTAGGTTGGTCGCTAACAATCCTTTCTAGCCCTTGTACTCGCTCCTTTCTTTGTGCACTTGGAATTGATGTTCATGATCGGATATCGTCCCGCCCTGCACAAGCAGCTGCAAAACGATATAGGCGTTGAGATCGCCAAGATGAGAAAGGCAGAAGGCGACAAGAGACGCCTTGCAGAAAAGAAGGCCAGTTAATTTGATCAATGACAGGATCCTAGTCACATATCTATCGTCCTCGAATTTCTGTATCTCCTGCCTTGCCAGACCTCATCGGTTCTTTTATTTCTGGCCTGTGGAGGTTCTGGGCTGTTCATAGTTCATTATCGTCTTGTATTATACATGGGTATTTCCATCTCTACCATTCATGTCAACCAATAATGAAACCGGTTTACACTGTCAGGTTGCATGTTTATCACGGTTGGTTTACCCTTCAAATGAGACTAGCAGGAGGCTGGAGGGTTGGTTCTCCGACAGGGGTAACATAGCATGAGGTGAGGCCTCCGTCGACCTTGAAATCCGTGCCCTGTTGACATGGCGTTCAACAAGCATGTCACACTAATTGAAAAGAAACATACAGTCATATAACTGCTGTCATCGCTTGCCACTGCGTATGCGACGGTGAAATCAGATCAGCCAGATAGTGACACCCAAGTAAAAACGTACAGAACAGTGCAGCCTTGGCGAGTTCCACGGCCTCACCGAACCGACCCATAGGGAGATGAACAAGCCGGCGCTCTTTCTTTTCCGACGTGTTGAGGAAATCCATCAAAAGAGCTTCAAAACATGATACATCAGCAAACATCGATTTCTGTGTGGTTATTATGCACTGACGCGTCTTCAGCGGTCCGCTGTCAGCATTAAGGTTAGTACGCGGCAATGCAAGTTTCACTTCAACTTACGGGCATAGGGAGTTCAGCCGAATTCCTTCTCTCGCATGCACCATCGCGAGCTCTCGTGTCATGGACAACACAGCACCCTGATGTTCTTTTAAACTAACGTATCTCGGCGAACGACTTTATACTTACCTTGGACGCAGTATCTGAAGAACACGGTGAATCGTCTCCAAAAAGATGCAGTGTGTTCACGTACATGCTAACTGTGGGGTTGCGGCGCCCATGAGCGCGACAAAGCTTGCAGTGTTGATGATGGAGCCCCCAACACGGAGGCCTTTCTCCTCGTCGATAGGATTTTGCCGCATGGCCATAATAGCATACTTGCAGCCCCACCAGACACCCTTTACGTTGATTTGCATTGTCAGATCCCAGATCTTCTCCTCTGTGTTGAGGGCGTGATCGTCTGCTGGGTGCATGATACCCGCATTGTTGAACTGCGGATTTATCGAGACTAGTTGAAACATCGTACGGATAATCGTAAGATATGAATCTTACCATCACATCCAATCTACCAAATTCTGAAACGGCAAGATCAACCGCTCCTTTGATGTCATCTTCCTTCCCGACATCAGCGTGAACGGCCAGTGCTTTGACGTTTGGGAAGCGTTCCTTGATAAGTGCAGCACCTTTCTGTGCACCTGCTAGATTGATGTCGACCAACAAAACGTTGGCGCCTTCCTGAGCGAAGAGGAGGGATGACTCAAGACCGATGCCACTGTAATCTCATCAAGATCAGACAACGCGATCTGCTCGAGCAGACTCACGAGCCGGCTCCGGTGATGAGGGCAACCTAGATTCAAACTTTCTGTCAGCAGTATACCCGATTTCAAGGTAGCTATCTACATTACTTTGTTTGCAAGGCGTTGGGACATGATCAGGTTGATAGGTTAGGTTGTGATTGTAGTTCAAATTGAAGTCGTTGTGCTCGGATACACAATAAGGTTGATACTGGATGACTTTCCATGGGCAAAATAATGCCGAATAGAATATCTCGGAGTCTCAAAAACATTTCCAATGACGAAGATATGTTAATCTATACTAGGATAATCCCCCGTGCGCTCAGCCAATAGATTTAGTCCAGTTCTTGATGTGATGGACGACCTTACAGTCCAGTACCTGCTTCTTGACGAAGATGAGGCAGACCTTTGCAATGACGATGAAAGAGCTCAAATCCTGGCTGCTGCTATCATTGCTGGGAGCGAGGTATCACGACAAGACCGCATTGACACTCGGCACCCTCATCGTTTATATCTTTGCCGACCCCAACTACTTCCAAATCCTCGCATCGACACCCCATGGCAGGTACTATATGATAGCCAGAATGATCGAGCCTTCATCACTACAATGGGTGTGGATGCGTCCACCTTCTCTTCACTACTTACTACAGGCTTTGCTCAATGCTGGTATGAGACACCAATTCCTCGTGATGACGTCCATACACAAGGAAATCCACGGACGAATCAGCGCTCCCTTGATGCTGCGGGGGCACTTGGGCTTGTGCTGCATTATCTCAGCTCCACTATGCATGCTATCAGCCTACAGCAGATCTTCGCTATCATACCCAGTACTGTCACTCAATATCTCAGCTTCAGCCTCGAGCTTCTGCTATCCACCCTTCGCACCATCCCGGATGCCAAAATTCAATGGCCAGGAGGCCTAGATTTCGAGCGCTGCAGTGAACTTGTTGTAGCACGTCACGGGAGACTGAGAGGAGCATTTGGCAGTATCGATGGCCTCAAATTACCTGTGCAAACGTCTGATGACGTTGACATTGAGAATGCAACGTTTAATGGGTGGCTCTCGGAGCACTTTATCAGTTCTGTATTAGCCTTTTCGGCTGAAGGTAAGTTCAATGCGGACTCGCTATAGTCCTGGTTAACCATGTTACAGGGGTGATTATTGCTGCCCGGTTGAATGCCCCGGGCAGTTGGCATGACTCACGTGTCGCTCATCAAATCTATGCCTCCCTTCGAAACGATACTCCCCCAGGTTATTATGTTGTTGCCGACACGGCGTTCTCGCATGGCAGTAATAACATCCAGGGCCGAATCCATGCACCACTCAAACAAGGCCAGCGTATTCAAGGCTCACTTGCTGAGATTGACGAACAGATGGCATTCAATCGTGAACTTCTTTCCTACCGGCAGACTGCTGAATGGGGCATGCGTGGCCTTCAAGGCGCTTTTGGAAGATTGCGTGTACCGCTCAAAATCGGCGACAAAGACTCCCAAGGCAATCTCATTGAGATTTGTGTGCGATTGCACAATCTGCGTGCAATACGTGTCGGTATCAATCAAATACGGACGGTGTACCTCAAACATTGGCAGGAGACGGATGATGATATTGCAGTCTGGAGAGATTTTGAGAACATGTTGTTTTCGGAGCAGAGGCAGAAAGATCGAAGTAGCGCGTTTCCATGTCACGCTAGAGTATGAGTAAAGAGCTGGTGACTTCTATGTATCTATCCATATAAGCTGCGTGAGTGCCTTCAGCGGAAAGAGCAAGAAATGAGACTGTAAATAAGCTGCGCGAGTGCCTTTAGCAGAAAAAGCAAGAAATGAGACTGTAAGTAAGCTGCGCGAGTGCCTTTAGCAGAGGAAGCAAGAAACAAGACTGTATGTAAGCTGCGTGAGTGCCTTAAGCAGAGGAATCAAGAAACAAGACCATAAGTAAGCTGTGCGAGTGCCTTTAGCAGAGGAAGCAAGAAACGAGACCTTAAGTAAGCTGCGCGAGTGCCTTTAGCAGAGGAAGCAAGAAACGAGACCTTAAGTAAGCTGCGCGAGTGCCTTTAGCAGAGGAAGCAAGAAACGAGACCATAACTAAGCTGCACGAGTACCTTCAGCAATTACACCTCTGGAGTTTGACGAGCTGACTTGCACTCTGGCAGGTCATCTGCATCTGCCATGGCCTCACTCTTGAGGTCTGTGCACACCTGGGTCTCTTGCCAATTAGAGTGAACGACCATGGAATTGCGTGGTGGTCCTGCGCCACGTGAACGGGGTCTGGATGCCCAGCGACGGAAGGCAAGGCGAGGAGAAGGAGTGGAATTGAAAGGAGGGGGAGTAGGATGGGTGTATTGAGGAGAAGATGGAGGGTGGTCCGAAGCGTCAGATGCCGGGGTGTCTGGATCACTGTGCCAGATGACGCTTTGGCCACCATCAGGGTAATATGTGTAATCCGCCTGTTTGGGTTTGGGTCTGCGCTGGTGATGAGTCTTGTGAGCGGCTTTTTTGGGAGGAGGCTGGTGCATCTGTATCATCTCCAGACGAAGCTGGGTAAGGTCACGCTCGCGTTCAGCATCAAATAGTCTTGATTGCAAGTCAAACAGTTGGGTCCGCAATTTCTCCGTGACTGCATTTGCATCACGCAGCTGCTGCCCCTGGGAAAGCAACTGCGTGTTTGCAAGAGACCTAGTGGCGCGATCCTCATCCCGAGCTTGCTGAACAGCAGGGTCAAAGGCCCCACTGATGCGAGAAAGCAACTCGGAAGCTGCTGCACCTCGGCGACGTGGCATAGGTGTATCTGTCCGAGTGGCGCGAGTGACTGCAGTGTGTTCAAGAGGTGACATACTTCGCACCTTGACGTTTTGTTCGTTACAATTCAACTCGTCGTCGTGGGCATCGTAGTCCGAGTCATTTAGGTCACGGGTACCAGCACGCTCGTTGATGCGCGCATCGAGCTCATGGGCATGAGTGACGTCGGGGGGACAAACTCCATCACCGGTGGGCTTCGTGGTCTTCACAAACTGAGGTCAAAGTGTGAGATGGATGTCGTAGAATAGAGCATGACTTACCTGCTTGAATTTAGTTTCAAGCAATGTGGCTTTACGGTGAGGGCGGCCATTAAGGCCTGCCCACTGCGTGAACTTCGAGTGTATCAGTTGCCACCCTTTCTGGCCCAGAGGAAGTTCATCTTCGACAAGGTCAAGAAGAACTTTGACATCAGCCGTGCTGTAATTGTTAGAGCCGTTGGGCCGACCACGTTTCGCCCTTGAATCATCTTCATCATCCTCAATAGCACGTGCGTGCTTTTGAGGGCGGTCAGCAATGTCCAGGTTAGTGTTCTCCTTATCCTTTCCCCTGCTTTTATTAGTTCTAGTCTTGCGACGTGCCCTGCCAATTTTGATGGCAGGTGCATATCCACGAGACCCGGCAATGACCAAGGGGTCACGAAGCTCCATATCCAGTGAGTCAGGGAGTGGGATAAGAGCAGGCTCGCGGTGTGCGCTAGGTGGCAGGAGGTGGGACCCAGATGGTGAGGGTGGTGGCGACGAGCAAGGTTGGGAGAAGTTCGCAGGAGTTGTGAGTCCATACATGGATGGCGCTGCTGCATGTCCCTACAAGGTGATAAGTACGTGTTGTGAAGGTCAAAGAATGATTGAAACTTACGCCATAAGCCTGGGACATGTATCTGTCTTCAGACCGCTGCACTCGAGTCACAGCCTGCGCAATCCCAGGATGGGGTCGCCAAACACCTAAGAGATCGCGCACATATGCATTGCCTGCATCATCATAGCGCAACTCGGGAATTGTTTGGCTAGCAGGGACAGTCATAGATTGGGAAAGGCGAATATCAGACATTGGAGGGACTGAATGTTTAGGTACTGACCTTGTGGCTACTGATACACGAACTTTATATGATACAAGTCTTTGTTGAGCCGTCGGGCACGAGGGGTGGGGATATTCATTGTAAAAAAATAACTCATGGGCCCTGCACTGGTAACAGTGCAACCCGAGCGCGCATAGGCGAAATGGATGGACTGTAAGCATGGCAAGTGCATATTGAATGAAATTTTCATTGACAGAGGGTGAGGATTGGTTGGAGACAGATGCTAGGATGTGTTACGAACTAGGATGGTTCTGACGTATGGCTACTCGGTAAGAGTAATCGGCCAAGGTCGGTTCAAGGCTTCGGCGTATACCGAAGTTTCAAGGTTTCTTAAGACAAGGCAAGGAGAGTGTCCTCGACTTGAATCACGTTCAATACAACTTAAGATTGGAGGTCTTAAGCGAAGGAAGTTCCAGGTAAAACCTAGTAAGATTAAAGTAAAGAACTACATAGTACAGGACGAGTTTATATAGTGAATGGTAACGACTTTAGGGCCAGTACGATGAGTCAGAGATAAGACGAGTCAGAGATAAGACGAGTCAGAGATAAGACGAGTCAGAGATAAGACGAGTCAGAGGTAAGACGAGTCAACGATAACAAGAATAGATCATCTAGCGACGGCAAGATGCGATCGTGATGTAATACAATGATGTAAGAGAAAGAAATGAATAGGGGCGTAATGAATAGGGGCGTACTGGACTGTAACAGGATGGATTGGGGAAGATTGGAGGCACCGGAGGCAGACTGGTCAGGTAGGAGCTTCATTACCGCGCATGGATGATCGAGTATGTCGTACTGGTCACTGGGTATCATCTAAATAGAGCCGGGAGAAAGAGACATTAGCATACTTGGCGAAAGGTTGAAAACGTAGCTTGGTATCAGTGCGCAAGGTGTTGTGTTGCATGGCATGCATGTCGAGCAAGGCGGATTATGTCAGCGGATATCGCTGGCGTTAGTGGCCGAAAATGGAAGGATGTCGTTTATTTTAGTCTGCAAAAATCTATTGGATGACTTTCCGTAGGCTCGAAAAATTCTGATTAGAATATCATATCATAAATTTGACCGTATTAGGCAGGTGTGCCGCGATGCCGCTGTTCATTTCGACACAATTTGCACACATGTGTCACCTACCCCCCTCTTATAAACCTGAATCTATTGGGGGGGGGTACCCCCCCCCCCCCCCAATAATCAGAATTTTTCGAGCCTACGGAAAGTCATCCAATAGATTTTTGCAGACTAAAATAAACGACATCCTTCCATTTTCGGCCACTAACGCCAGCGATATCCGCTGACATAATCCGCCTTGCTCGACATGCATGCCATGCAACACAACACCTTGCGCACTGATACCAAGCTACGTTTTCAACCTTTCGCCAAGTATGCTAATGTCTCTTTCTCCCGGCTCTATTTAGATGATACCCAGTGACCAGTACGACATACTCGATCATCCATGCGCGGTAATGAAGCTCCTACCTGACCAGTCTGCCTCCGGTGCCTCCAATCTTCCCCAATCCATCCTGTTACAGTCCAGTACGCCCCTATTCATTACGCCCCTATTCATTTCTTTCTCTTACATCATTGTATTACATCACGATCGCATCTTGCCGTCGCTAGATGATCTATTCTTGTTATCGTTGACTCGTCTTACCTCTGACTCGTCTTATCTCTGACTCGTCTTATCTCTGACTCGTCTTATCTCTGACTCGTCTTATCTCTGACTCATCGTACTGGCCCTAAAGTCGTTACCATTCACTATATAAACTCGTCCTGTACTATGTAGTTCTTTACTTTAATCTTACTAGGTTTTACCTGGAACTTCCTTCGCTTAAGACCTCCAATCTTAAGTTGTATTGAACGTGATTCAAGTCGAGGACACTCTCCTTGCCTTGTCTTAAGAAACCTTGAAACTTCGGTATACGCCGAAGCCTTGAACCGACCTTGGCCGATTACTCTTACCGAGTAGCCATACGTCAGAACCATCCTAGTTCGTAACACATCCTAGCATCTGTCTCCAACCAATCCTCACCCTCTGTCAATGAAAATTTCATTCAATATGCACTTGCCATGCTTACAGTCCATCCATTTCGCCTATGCGCGCTCGGGTTGCACTGTTACCAGTGCAGGGCCCATGAGTTATTTTTTTACAATGAATATCCCCACCCCTCGTGCCCGACGGCTCAACAAAGACTTGTATCATATAAAGTTCGTGTATCAGTAGCCACAAGGTCAGTACCTAAACATTCAGTCCCTCCAATGTCTGATATTCGCCTTTCCCAATCTATGACTGTCCCTGCTAGCCAAACAATTCCCGAGTTGCGCTATGATGATGCAGGCAATGCATATGTGCGCGATCTCTTAGGTGTTTGGCGACCCCATCCTGGGATTGCGCAGGCTGTGACTCGAGTGCAGCGGTCTGAAGACAGATACATGTCCCAGGCTTATGGCGTAAGTTTCAATCATTCTTTGACCTTCACAACACGTACTTATCACCTTGTAGGGACATGCAGCAGCGCCATCCATGTATGGACTCACAACTCCTGCGAACTTCTCCCAACCTTGCTCGTCGCCACCACCCTCACCATCTGGGTCCCACCTCCTGCCACCTAGCGCACACCGCGAGCCTGCTCTTATCCCACTCCCTGACTCACTGGATATGGAGCTTCGTGACCCCTTGGTCATTGCCGGGTCTCGTGGATATGCACCTGCCATCAAAATTGGCAGGGCACGTCGCAAGACTAGAACTAATAAAAGCAGGGGAAAGGATAAGGAGAACACTAACCTGGACATTGCTGACCGCCCTCAAAAGCACGCACGTGCTATTGAGGATGATGAAGATGATTCAAGGGCGAAACGTGGTCGGCCCAACGGCTCTAACAATTACAGCACGGCTGATGTCAAAGTTCTTCTTGACCTTGTCGAAGATGAACTTCCTCTGGGCCAGAAAGGGTGGCAACTGATACACTCGAAGTTCACGCAGTGGGCAGGCCTTAATGGCCGCCCTCACCGTAAAGCCACATTGCTTTGAAACTAAATTCAAGCAGGTAAGTCATGCTCTATTCTACGACATCCATCTCACACTTTGACCTCAGTTTGTGAAGACCACGAAGCCCACCGGTGATGGAGTTTGTCCCCCCGACGTCACTCATGCCCATGAGCTCGATGCGCGCATCAACGAGCGTGCTGGTACCCGTGACCTAAATGACTCGGACTACGATGCCCACGACGACGAGTTGAATTGTAACGAACAAAACGTCAAGGTGCGAAGTATGTCACCTCTTGAACACACTGCAGTCACTCGCGCCACTCGGACAGATACACCTATGCCACGTCGCCGAGGTGCAGCAGCTTCCGAGTTGCTTTCTCGCATCAGTGGGGCCTTTGACCCTGCTGTTCAGCAAGCTCGGGATGAGGATCGCGCCACTAGGTCTCTTGCAAACACGCAGTTGCTTTCCCAGGGGCAGCAGCTGCGTGATGCAAATGCAGTCACGGAGAAATTGCGGACCCAACTGTTTGACTTGCAATCAAGACTATTTGATGCTGAACGCGAGCGTGACCTTACCCAGCTTCGTCTGGAGATGATACAGATGCACCAGCCTCCTCCCAAAAAAGCCGCTCACAAGACTCATCACCAGCGCAGACCCAAACCCAAACAGGCGGATTACACATATTACCCTGATGGTGGCCAAAGCGTCATCTGGCACAGTGATCCAGACACCCCGGCATCTGACGCTTCGGACCACCCTCCATCTTCTCCTCAATACACCCATCCTACTCCCCCTCCTTTCAATTCCACTCCTTCTCCTCGCCTTGCCTTCCGTCGCTGGGCATCCAGACCCCGTTCACGTGGCGCAGGACCACCACGCAATTCCATGGTCGTTCACTCTAATTGGCAAGAGACCCAGGTGTGCACAGACCTCAAGAGTGAGGCCATGGCAGATGCAGATGACCTGCCAGAGTGCAAGTCAGCTCGTCAAACTCCAGAGGTGTAATTGCTGAAGGTACTCGTGCAGCTTAGTTATGGTCTCGTTTCTTGCTTCCTCTGCTAAAGGCACTCGCGCAGCTTACTTAAGGTCTCGTTTCTTGCTTCCTCTGCTAAAGGCACTCGCGCAGCTTACTTAAGGTCTCGTTTCTTGCTTCCTCTGCTAAAGGCACTCGCACAGCTTACTTATGGTCTTGTTTCTTGATTCCTCTGCTTAAGGCACTCACGCAGCTTACATACAGTCTTGTTTCTTGCTTCCTCTGCTAAAGGCACTCGCGCAGCTTACTTACAGTCTCATTTCTTGCTTTTTCTGCTAAAGGCACTCGCGCAGCTTATTTACAGTCTCATTTCTTGCTCTTTCCGCTGAAGGCACTCACGCAGCTTATATGGATAGATACATAGAAGTCACCAGCTCTTTACTCATACTCTAGCGTGACATGGAAACGCGCTACTCGATCTTTCTGCCTCTGCTCCGAAAACAACATGTTCTCAAAATCTCTCCAGACTGCAATATCATCATCCGTCTCCTGCCAATGTTTGAGGTACACCGTCCGTATTTGATTGATACCGACACGTATTGCACGCAGATTGTGCAATCGCACACAAATCTCAATGAGATTGCCTTGGGAGTCTTTGTCGCCGATTTTGAGCGGTACACGCAATCTTCCAAAAGCGCCTTGAAGGCCACGCATGCCCCATTCAGCAGTCTGCCGGTAGGAAAGAAGTTCACGATTGAATGCCATCTGTTCGTCAATCTCAGCAAGTGAGCCTTGAATACGCTGGCCTTGTTTGAGTGGTGCATGGATTCGGCCCTGGATGTTATTACTGCCATGCGAGAACGCCGTGTCGGCAACAACATAATAACCTGGGGGAGTATCGTTTCGAAGGGAGGCATAGATTTGATGAGCGACACGTGAGTCATGCCAACTGCCCGGGGCATTCAACCGGGCAGCAATAATCACCCCTGTAACATGGTTAACCAGGACTATAGCGAGTCCGCATTGAACTTACCTTCAGCCGAAAAGGCTAATACAGAACTGATAAAGTGCTCCGAGAGCCACCCATTAAACGTTGCATTCTCAATGTCAACGTCATCAGACGTTTGCACAGGTAATTTGAGGCCATCGATACTGCCAAATGCTCCTCTCAGTCTCCCGTGACGTGCTACAACAAGTTCACTGCAGCGCTCGAAATCTAGGCCTCCTGGCCATTGAATTTTGGCATCCGGGATGGTGCGAAGGGTGGATAGCAGAAGCTCGAGGCTGAAGCTGAGATATTGAGTGACAGTACTGGGTATGATAGCGAAGATCTGCTGTAGGCTGATAGCATGCATAGTGGAGCTGAGATAATGCAGCACAAGCCCAAGTGCCCCCGCAGCATCAAGGGAGCGCTGATTCGTCCGTGGATTTCCTTGTGTATGGACGTCATCACGAGGAATTGGTGTCTCATACCAGCATTGAGCAAAGCCTGTAGTAAGTAGTGAAGAGAAGGTGGACGCATCCACACCCATTGTAGTGATGAAGGCTCGATCATTCTGGCTATCATATAGTACCTGCCATGGGGTGTCGATGCGAGGATTTGGAAGTAGTTGGGGTCGGCAAAGATATAAACGATGAGGGTGCCGAGTGTCAATGCGGTCTTGTCGTGATACCTCGCTCCCAGCAATGATAGCAGCAGCCAGGATTTGAGCTCTTTCATCGTCATTGCAAAGGTCTGCCTCATCTTCGTCAAGAAGCAGGTACTGGACTGTAAGGTCGTCCATCACATCAAGAACTGGACTAAATCTATTGGCTGAGCGCACGGGGGATTATCCTAGTATAGATTAACATATCTTCGTCATTGGAAATGTTTTTGAGACTCCGAGATATTCTATTCGGCATTATTTTGCCCATGGAAAGTCATCCATTGGGGGGGGGGGGGGGTACCCCCCCCAATAGATTAAGGTTTATAAGAGGGGGGTAGGTGACACATGTTTGCAAATTGTGTCGAAATGAACAGCAGCATCGCGGCACACCTGCCTAATACGGTCAAATTTATGATATGATATTCTAATCAGAATTTTTCGAGCCTACGGAAAGTCATCCACTATAGGCCGCGGATCAAATAGATAAGATTAAATGCCTATTTATAGCTATCGTCGATCCAATTCATTGCTGCGAGTTCGCTGTTATTAGCCCAGACGATATCCACCATTCATCAAAATCCCAATGAGTGAATCAAGGCAGGTTATATCTATCTGAAAATAACTTTAACCCACCGAACGGGAGTCCTTCTATAGCGGAACAAGCAAAGAAAAGGACGTTGCTGAGCCCAGCCCAGCGCTTTTTTTTGTGAATTTGCCTAGAAAATCATTGATATATGATACTGATTCTGTTTCACCGGTGTGTGGCTATTGCATACTGAGAGGGCGATTCCAGCGATTAAAAGCATCTGTGTCGAGCACCGCAAAGTATGTGTCGGAGGAGTTCCCATAGACTTTGGTCTATGTCCGAGGGAAGTTGACCTTTGGGAAATGACCCGGGAAATAGTACTTCTGCACGCAACATGCCACAGCATCTGAAGTCGCCTATTCATTGAAAGGGCGTGATTTCGCTGGTAGAATAACACCTTGTAACGCAAGCAAATCCAAGCGAAACACTACACAAACGACTGTTTGACTCCGCCTTGTTGACTCTCTGGGTTAAGAAGGTCGAGTGCCATGAACGGCACCGTGCCCGTGCGTTCGTTGCCCCAAGGACCAGGGTCATTCACCAGCGGGGATAGATCGTAGTCGTTTAAGACGCCTTTCAGCTTGCTGTCTTCCACGTACCACATCATGTTTCCAGCGCTAACATCTCGATGATAGACCCCTTCCTTCCAGAGTAACGTGGCCTGCGCGCTATGTCAACGAAGGAGCCACATGTTGAAAAGGTCTTTTCCACGTAGCGTCGTGATGGGGTGGAGCTTGTGATGTAGAGTACATGATGGCCCATGGTGGGTTTTGGAACGTCAAACGCTTTTCAGATGGCGAACGTGGGATTCGTGAACTTGTTGTGCCAAAGCATCCCAGGAATATCATAGTCTTTGACAATGACAGTATCTTGCACCTGAGCGATCTGCTTAACTTTTTCAAGATTTCCGGTTCACTAGCGCGATTCTCCTCTCCCATGAAGATCTTGGCCACCACCTTATCTTCCTGGATGTCTGGAATTTTTTTGACGAATGTTTTGCTAGTGGTGACAGGGACCACATATTGGTGATGCGTTCTTGTAGTCCGTACTCCGTAATCCGTTACTCTTTCTTCGTCGCTGGTGTGAAGCAGCAGGTCGACTTTTCAAGAATCTCATCATCGAATTTGTGAAGTCCTTTTTCCTTAACTTCGACTGGGAGGAAGTGGTTGTCAAATAGAAACAACATACGGCTTCAGACTCAGAGTTCACTGGCAGAGAGGAGTTCAGGCTCAAAATTACTAGTGACTATTTATAGCTTATCCAAAAATCTTGTTCGGCCCTAGTACCCTCACAGCCTTCGACCATCATAGTATTGGCTCGGATTCAAGCCTCCAGCGCTCTTTGGCGTCGGCATCGGATCATTTGGCTATTAATATGTTGGAACATCCGCCTTTGTATTTGGGTCGGATGTCCGTGACCAGTCTGAGACATCCGAGTTCAGTGCGTCATCATGTTTCGAATTAGCCTAGCCCGTATAAAACCCTTCAACCCCAGCTAGCTAGCAGGTCCTTCATTCATTTTCTATCCCACAGGTGCAGGTTACCTTTCCACTACAATTATTCGCTCTTGCTTCATTTCGACAACGATACTTACTATGTTCCTTCGTCATAAAACCTATACTGCTCGTTACCCACAATGGATGGTCGGGAGGCCTTTACTCTATATGTCGTCCGCCCTTGCATCTCTCGGCGACGCTATGTTTGGCTATGGCCAAGGAAGTATCGCATCGGCTCAGGTTCAGCCTTCCTTTATCTATCGGATGTTCGGCAAGGAAGTTACTATGGCGCAAATCCAAGCTGGCCAGACCGGCGTGGATCCTTTCACACAAGGTTTGACTCTTTTTTTTTCGCCCTCAGGTCACTCAAACACCCCTGTTGTTAGCTATAACCGTTTCTTGTTTAAACCTAACAGCGCTGCTGGCTTCATTCATTGCTGCCTACCTCTGTGATTTTCTTGGCAGGCGGATGTCTGTCCGTATCGGAGGCATCATGTATTTTATTGCCGCTCTCATTCAGGTCTTTGCTCCAAATCTCGGTGCCCTTATCGCTGGCCGGTGTATTCAGGGTTTAGGTGTCGGCATACTCTCCATGACTGTCCCGATTTTGCAGTGCGAAATTGCCCCCGCTCATGCTCGCGGTCTGTTTGTCGGTATCGAATATATCTGCCTCAATTTCGGTTACGCTGTTTCCGCATGGGTCGGATATGGCTTCTTCTTCGCCATGCCTTCTGAGATCTCATGGCGTGGCCCATACATCATACAGGCTGCTATTGCACTCGTTCTCATCTTCTGGACGTTTTTCCTTCCCGAGACACCCCGCTGGCTGGCCCAGAATGGCTTCCAGAAGGAGGCTTTGGTAACTCTTGCAGACTTGCACGGCGCTGGAAACGTCACAGACCCCAAGATTCTGGCTACCTACGCTGAGATTGTCGCCGCTGTCGAGTTCGAAGCACAAATGGGTCAAGCTTCCTGGCGTCAACTCTTCACGCAATACACTCGTCGATGCATCGTCGGCATCACTTGCCAGATGTTTGCTCAGCTCAACGGGATCAATGCCATCTTGTACTTCTTACCATCCAACCTCACTCGTGCTGGCTTCACAATTTCCCGCGCCCTGCTCTACTCCGGCGCATGTGCTCTGATCTACTGTTCCGGCACCATCCCCGCAATGTTTTTGATCGACAAATTTGGACGCCGACCGTTCTTGCTTTTTGGAAGTGTTGCGCTAGCCGCATCCCTTTCTATTGTCGGTGGTCTCCAATACTATGCGGACAGTCTTCCTCTGGGATCTGCCCGAGTTTCTGCTGCTGACGCTATCTTCTTTGGTATGCCATCATTTTACTTGAAAGCCAAACATGTGCTAAAGCTCATCCTCTCCAGGTGTTTGTCTATACCTATTCTTCTTCGGTGCCACTTGGGGCCCTGGCCCCTGGCTCCTCGGTGCCGAAATCTTCCCTCTCCGTGCTCGCGCCAAGGGCATGTCGCTCAGTGCGGGCGCCAACTGGCTTTTCAACTTCATTGTCGCCTTCATCACTCCCCCGCTTTTCAACGCCATCAATGCAGGCTACTACTTCGTCCTCGTCGGCTTCTGTATCATCTCTCTTATCGTCGTCTGGTTCATCTATCCCGAAACTGCCCACCATACTCTGGAAGAGCTTGGCGAGGTATTCGGCGACAAGGTCATGGACGATGAGGGTCCTGCACGTGAGAAGGCTCAGAGGAGTGCCAACGCGATCCAACGGGAACGCTCGGGCTTGCCTGTCACCACCGATTCAGAGGTCACTCTTCAACCCAGCATGTCCACTACACCAACAGCCAAGGACGAAGCCTCGGTTGTCATGAAGGAAAGGTCTTCTGTTATTATGATCGCGTCTGACGTTTAGCTTGACCCTGTGGACTCAGTAGACTACTGAGCTTGTATGCCGGACTATAACACTAATTCAATATTCATGATTGATTCAACCAATGTCCATTGATCTAACGACTGCTTGTCTGTTCTATTAACCGATATTCGACTTAATTGACTACTGAACTTGTATGTCGAACATTAACACCAATGCATAAGTGATTCAACCAAAGCCCATGTGCATATTAATCCAACGACTGCCTGTCTGCTCTGCTAACCAATACTCGACTTAAATTTTAACAACGCAGAGACTCCGGGAAATCGTCAGGGTAACTTCCATCGTCCTGAAACATCGCGAGGAAATCTCTCACCGCCGGCGGTGGGGTTCTTGAAGGTAATAAGAAAGGTCTGCGTGACACTGGGATACTCATTCCAGCGCCCTGCTGCATTAAATCGTCCAGTGAGGAAGTGTATGACGAATCGGGTGCATGCCGCTTTCTGTAGGGAGAAAGTATGGTAGATGGGTTTGAATGTGGGATGGAGGTTCTAGGTGCAGTTGCTTGAGGCCGCTGGGCCACGTCTTCCGGTGTGCAGTTCGCAATCTCTGTTGGGGGTCTGACAATCGGTATTTCTGATTCAGGCTCGGTTTCGGAGTCGTCATCCGGAGCAGGTTTGAGTACTTCTGGTTCTGATTCTGGCTCTGTGACAGAGTCGTCCTCGACAGGGTGAACATTCTTCACGGGCCCTGGACATTCCATGGGCTCCTTGAGGGGAGAGATCTTGTCTAAAATGTGGTGTGGAGTGCGTTTCGAAGGGCTGCAAGACGGCGATGCAGCAAACGAGGATCTATTTCTTGGAGACTTGGTCGCCAAGAACGAACGAGGGAATCTTTGCGACGGAGAAACAACGGGGGACGTAGCAGGACTTGACCCAAGGGTAAATTGGTGCAGTGGTTTGCGTTCGCTGCGATTATTGTAGGCAACGTGCGCAACGGGGCGCGGTGTTGGGAGATCGACTTCGATTCTGAAAGTTGTTGTAAGTAACGAATTGTGATAAGGATAAGTTTTGCTGACCTTGCCAGCGACATCTTGTTCAGCAAGCTTCCGGACAAAGATGTCATAGTCATTGTTCCCTCTTCCTGCGACTGTGAGCTTGGTATAGGCTCATAGTTGATTGATACAGGTTTTGCTATCCGCTTGTGACTAGGCGTCGCATCTAATGCAAGCAAGTATTGACTTTGCGACGATGGGACGAGTTCCTCAAATATAGTAGACACAGACTGCAGGTCTTTAAATGGCAGATCTGGAGAAGACGCTGGGGTTGCATGGACCACCTCCTTGTCTCGGGATGCGCAGGTAAAAGGGTCGTCAGGATCTATTGCCTGCTTTGTCCCATTGGAACCACCCGTGTGTTTCCTTGGCTGGGTGTCTTTGTCAGTGTCTATTGGGACAGCGAGCTTCTTAATGAGCGGCGCAGAAGCTGGAGAGGGGCTTGATGGTATACGAGGATCGAACCCATGCTTGGTTCTGCACGGCGACGTCGCACCAACGAGTGTGCACAACCCGGACGGTGCATGTATATTGTTGGGTTTGCGCACATTGGTCTCCGGAGTAGGTAAAGAAACAATGGCGGGAATAATGATAGTGGGGGTAGTCCTAGGGGGGAGAGACTGAACTACCGCAGTGCTTGCTGCTCTCAGCGTCTGCTTCTTACTTTGGTTCGTTGGGGGAGGAGTGGCTAAAGACTGTTCTGGAGCAATCGCGAGACGCACAGGTCCTTTAATCCTGGGGAAACTTGGTACATTCATTCTATGGGAAGCAGTGTTTGAGATGCCTTTCACTGAGCGAGAGCTGCCTGCAACCGGCCGCTCGGGTGATGAGTCGATGGCCACTACATCGTGAGGTGGTTTGGGTGTTGATACTCTCTCTCTCCGGCTGGAGGTCGACGCGACCAGAAGCTTCGAAGCAGCAAGATTTATTTGCTTCTTAGTTTTCTTTACCTGTTTGGCGCCGCCCTGAGAACCCGTTCGCGCATCAGTAGAAACTGTTGCTCGCTTTGCTGGACCTCCCCTCTCGTCTGCAGCCGCCGAGAGTTTCCTCTTCTTGGTTAGCTCTGCCTCTTTCTTGTCCTTCTTATTTCGCGCAAAGTAAGCTGTGATGGGGAGTTCCAGTTGCGATAAGTCCATACGAGGAGTTACTTGGCTGGACTTATGATTCTCTTCACCAAGGGCGCGGGAGGGTAATAAGGGCGGAGGCTCGGAGTTGACACGCTTTTAAAACTCAGAAATATACATCCGACGCGTCTCGTCACGAGCTTTTCATTCACAAAGCATTTTCACCAAGCACAGCTGCAACATTATCCGTCACAAATATTATGGGAGGCATTGATACACCACAGCTCAAGAAACGCAGGGTGTCTGTGTCCGACAGCACAGATAACGACACGCCTGCTCCCACATCGCAGCTGTTGGTCAAGAGACTCTCTGACAAGGCCAAGATTCCCACTAGAGGATCAAGTTTGGCTGCAGGGTATGATTTATACAGGTAATGCGCATTCGACAAACAGACGTAGTAACTTGACCGCGAAATACAACACAGCGCAGAGAAAAAAGTGATTCCAGCACATGGTAAGGCATTGGTTGACACCCAGCTTTCCATTGCTGTTCCTGCAGGCACCTATGGGCGAGTTGCACCTCGCAGCGGTCTTGGTAGGTCGTGTTTTGCGTGCTATGTAGCGTTTGACTAAGGAGATTTCCCTTCAGCATCGAAATTTATGATTGACACGGGTGCTGGTGTTATCGACGCGGACTACAGAGGTGTCGTCTTTGTTCTGCTCTTCAACCTCTCGGACAAAGACTTCCAAGGTTTGAAAATGAGTAAACCTGATTATTATTGTGTTGCTAATCGGGTACGTAGTCGAAGAAGGTGACCGGATCGCTCAACTAATCATAGAGCGCATTTATACGCCTGAGGTTATGGAAGTGGAAGTGCGTCTTGCTCGCTTGTGTTCTTAGTTATGTGGTTAATGATCCAGCAGAACCTCGATGAAACGTTACGTGGAGCGGGAGGTTTTGGCTCTACGGGCGGGCACGGCTCGTTGTAACATATCATACCAGCTGTTCATGTGGCAGCCTTTGTATTATTATCATAATGAGTGAAAAAAAGCCTATTTTTTTGGGTGGCAGGATCGATGCTCATTATGAGTTGGTTTAGTACTGCTTGTGATGTTGAACGTAAATGCTGCATGGATGTCTGCTGATTCCTAGATATGTCAGCGTTTTTGTAGGCCCATTTCAATGTCGCACTCACTCGATTATACAATGCCGTAAACCCATTACCGGGGCACGACTGAAGAATGTGTGCTCTCCAAGAGTGAATCATCTGGAGCGATCTGTCTCGACGATATACATCCCATTCGTGCTATGGCTCGCATATGAAAGTAGGTCCCGGCCTCTCACATCTCCGTCCTCACGTGGTGTTCTGTCGAGGGGTACCCCAGACCCTTCTGCTATCACCCGCCCGTCTGGGATGCCTATATTGCCCGTTTCCTCTAATTTGATCAGCTTCGTGGCCTCCACAAGCTTGATCAACTCCTCGAGTTCGTGCTTTAGCTTTACATATTCCGGTGTACCTTCTTCGGGTGGTAATAATGCAGACAGTTCATGTAATCGTTTGAATGTGGCTGGTGATATTGAGGGGGCTGGATAGGAAGACAACAATTTCTGGACGGACCAGGTAGGCGTAAGTGGTATACCATACGTGTCGGTTTCAACTGTCGCTCTAAACGTCGAGTACTGCAACGGGACGTTCAGAGAACGACACCAAACACGCCCTGCTTGCTTGACTGAACGCAGTAGCATGTGGTGAAGAGATAGAACAGCGTGGGAGATTTATGGGAAACTGGACGTGATAAATTATTTCCATTAATATTTGCTCAAACTCTTCCGTCTGCAGCAACATGGAACGAGCAGTTCGCGCTATTCAGGGCCTATTACCGAGTACACTTCCCCCATCTCTACGAACAACACCTGCAAACCTTTACCAGGTACTTTCTCGAGCCCCTGGAGGTGGTGTTGGCCAGTGCGTGCACCAGATCCGTTGGACGGAGAAAGGTATAAGAAACTGCTACTGGCAGGTAACGCGGACACGGCTCAAGCTCGAGGGGAACCACGGAAAGGCTTGGGGGAAGCTGTACTGGAGAGGTGAGTTCCTATCTCGCAAGAGAAGCGGACATAAACTTACCTGCATATGCAGGCAAACAAATTAGTAGGCAGGAGGAGAGAATCGGTGGTTCATTGAAATACAAATGGTCAGCAGGTTCGTCTTAGCCAATGCAAATGTACGTGAAAGTATCTGTCGTTATAGAGCTTACACTCATACAACTTCTAAGATTATCGTGCAGGCTTGCCTTCACACCGACATTTGGGACGGTTCAAGTTTAGTTGCCCGCGTAATGAATACCGCCTAATTAAAACGTCCTGTACACCTACTGCTCAGCATTATTTCCGACCACCATAGATGAATCTTACAGATCATCGAATACGTCCTGCCAAGCCAGCTCATCAACAGTGCAGGGGTGGTCTTATGTCTTCCCTCAGCCTAGATATCGATGTTTTGTGGGATCCGCACTTGCGCAGTCAATTCCATATTATTTTTAAATAAATTCGGATGGACATTGCAACAACATGTATTAAAGAGAACAGTTCATGCTAGTCCCCAAGAAGGAATTGTTTTTTTGTTCATATGCCCATGTCTCCGTGAGCCATTATTGTCGCCGAGAGTGCATTCGGCGAATCCCGAAAACCATGGAGCTGAAGACGGTTCAAGGGAGTATAAGGCCGGTTCACGGTGACGCTGGACTCCGGGAGAATCTCAGACCCAGCTCATAATCTCTTTCTACCACTTCCTTGCTCTAACCTTCTGTTAACTTGTTGGACGCACCGCATTGTCCACAGGCTCATTCTTTCCGTCTCACTATTTTCTGCCAGGGATGGACTCGCGCGAACTTATTGATGCGCAATTCGATCGGGCAGTGGAGATAGTGCAGGGCCTCCCAAAGACTGGGCCCATACAAACAGGTTATGAGGAGAAACTGACAATGTACAGGTGCGTTACATGACTTTACATCTTCAAGTTCACATTTACTTGCTGACTTTCATTACTAGCTTGTACAAGCAAGGTGAATGTTTCCCTTGCATATTTCAAAGCACCTCTTGACTCATTACTATGCGCAGCAACTGTTGGAAATGTCAAAGGCGGTCGTCCAGGCATGTGGGATATGCTAGGCCGGGCAAAGTGGTCAGTCCATGTTGTTCCTCACTCTCGCGTTATCACGTGTTAACGAGCACTCGAGGGACGCATGGGCGAAGCATATGGATCTCGATCTATACGAAGCTAAATGGCTTTACGTGGACGCTTTACTGAAGGTACGATCTTGGATGATTCCATGATGCCCGACAATAATTTCAGTACAGGTTCTAAGTAAATACTCGGACAAGACTGTTGCCCGTGACCTCATGAACGAACTCCAGTCTTATGGTGGTGACCCGTCAAATCTGGTGATGAGCCGTATGTCCAGCGTCAAACTTTTCCTGTGCTAAATTGATATATTTCACCTAGATTCACTTCCAAGGTCTCGGACCTCCCAGTCGTCAAGCTCCAGCGTCTCATATAACGATGTTCATCGAATCCCCGGTCAATTATTTTCCTCTACCAAATCAGAGGCTCAACAAGCTGTACAATCAGCAGTTATGGAGGACAGTGGCTCGAGTTCCGAAGATGGTGAATCGGGCGACGAAGCACGCGAACTCCCATCCGTGCGTGAGCCTGTTCAACAGCCAAGACCACTTTCTTCCATGTCTTCAAGATATCGTACTCCTGCAACCGGCTCACTTGCCATGTCGCCACCACTTGCTGGGGTCGTAAATGTTCCACCAATGCAACCAATGCCCACATACCAGACGCAATCCGCCTTCGTTGGTCAACCAGTACCAATAGCATCCTCATCTATATATCCTCCATCAGGACACTATTCTGGGACATACCAGTCGCCCGAGTTTGCACCACAGATTCAGTCAGCTCCCTCCATCCGAGGGGGCCGGTTTTATGGCGCTGAAGCACCTATACGAACACCCTCACGGTTGCCCCTGGAGCAAGCCGTCGAAAACGTTCAGACGCACCTTGCCGCAATAACAGAACGGCTCGATATGCTCGAGTCCCAGGTGGTGCATCCGCAGCGATCCACCGCTTCGCTTCCCTTGAGAAGCTCTTCCGGTAGAGGCAGTCCGACGGATAACCGTCCTGAAGCACACGAATGGGATTTGGATGATATGGGAATGTGGTCGTTCGTTCTGAAGCCATTGTCACGGGTGATGGTGTCATTGAAACAGCTTCTTATATTTTTCGGTCGGAGCGAGAATCGGTCTCCGGTACTCACTATCGTGCGAAGACTGTTCCTTGACATATCATTCTCATTGGCAGTTCTCGGGTTGCTGAGACTGACGTGGAAGAAGACGGCTACAAGACGGAGGGAGGTCAATGCAGCCCTTATATTACTATGGGCTGCTTTGTCTGGGAGGGACAGGGGAAGATTGATGATCAGTGGTGTGTAGTGCTTGCTTTTTTAACTCGTGGGTGACTCAAGAGTAGTCATTGCTGCATTTATACCTCGATGCCCAGAATTATTTACTTTTCCCCAAAATCATTTGAGCTTCGCAATTGCTAATAATATTTTCACTTCATGCTCAACAGTTATTCGAAGTTTCAAGACTACCATTCGTGGATACATCTGGTCCTATTCTTTTACTCCGTCATATCGACAACACAGCGGATACAGTCACCACTCTAGAAGTTAGGTTACACTTCCGTTGGGCTTATAATGGAGGGTGATACGTACGTGCATGTCGTGGAAACCGTCGTTGATTTCCGCAAATTTGCGGTGGTGGGTGACGTATTCATCGATCTTGAGCTTGCCTTGCAAGTAGTCTGGGTGGTAGATTACAATGTTGAGGGCATGAATTGAAAGCACTGAAGATCGAGTCACCTTCGACGAGACCAGGGAGCTCGGTCCGACCCTTCACCCCTCCAAACGCAGAACCTCGCCATGTGCGACCAGTAACCTGGAATCCATAAGTCACAGTTGACCATCTATTTCAGCTGAATCATTACCAGTTGGAACCTTTATAGGAATCTTCAGCACACGGAATTCCCGTGAAAAACGCCAGATCACTTACGGACGTGTCGATATCTCCTGGCCAGCAGCAGCAACACCGATGACAGTGCTCACACCCCAGCCCTTGTGGCACGACTCTAACGCAGCACGCATGACGTGTACATTGCCAGTAGCATCGAAGGTGAAGTCCAACCCGCCATCGGTAATCTCGACCAGGTAATCCTGAATGCGCTTGCCCTCTGGGAGAGCCATAGGGTTGATGAATTCGGTGGCACCCATCTTCCTTGCCCAAGACTCTTTCCCGGGGTTCGTATCGACCGCAATGATCCGAGAAGCACCGACAATCGACGCGGTGGAGAGGACACCGAGGCCGATGGCACCGCATCCGAAAACAGCGACGTTGGAGCCCTCTGTGTACCGTATGAGTGACAGCAGAAATAACACATCTTCACATACTGATGCCTTGCTGCTTCACAACCGCGCCCCATGCGGTGGTGATACCGCAACCAAGAAGACAGACCTTCTCGAGAGGTGCAGACTTGTTCACAGCGACAACGGAAACCTCTGCCACCACGGTGTACTGCGAGAACGTCGAAGTTCCCATCTATTCTTGCGTATAAATAACGTCAGATCCGAAAGGGGATGGGATACATACGAAATGGTGGATGGGTTGGCCCTTGCACGTGAAGCGGCTGGTGCGATCAGGCATGAGACCCTGGCCTTGTGTTGTTCTCACTGACCACAATAATAGTCAGACTCGTGTCTTTGAAGCAAACGGGAGTCTAACCTTTTCCACATAGGTTGGTCTTCCCGCTCTTGCAGAATTTACATTCGCGGCACTCTGGTGAATTGGACTGAGCAGGGAATTCAGGGGCCATCATGGGCTGGCTCACCAGCAGTGTAAAGCGGGATAACGTGGTCGCCCTGGCAAAGGGTGTTTAGGACGGCATTACAGCGTATCTGTAGTTGAGACTTACAACTGACACACTTGTGACACCCTCACCAACCGATTCAACCTGGAGAACCCCGAAGAGCAATGAAGCGATAGGAACAGTAGCAAGTGTTCTGAACCTACCACACCTCCACCTTCATGACCAAGGATTACGGGGAAGAGACCCTGCGATACTTCAGATGAACTCAAAAAGACTGAACTCTAAGCACACCTCAGGATCCTTGCCACTGCGAGTGTACTCATCAGTATGACATATACCTGCAAGATCGCTCCGCGTCAGCAGATAAGATAACTGTGCAGGTCCCCCTCTCACCAGTGTACAAGATCTTAATGCGGACTTCGTTAGCGTTTGGAGGCGCAACCTCAACTTCCTCGACTTTAAGGGGCTGACCAGCACCCCAGCAAACAGCAGCCTTGCAGATGATAGGCTTACCGACTGTGCTCATGATGGTGAATTGTGATTGTCTGTGAGTGAGAAATTCAAAGGTGGCTGGTGGCTCTGGATAATATATTTCTGTTCTTCTTTTATACGGCCCGGAGAAATAACAATGTGATCATTATCAGGCCCGGGTCACTTGAGTCGAGGTGCTGCAGCTGTTGTTGCATAGCTTACACACGACAAGAATCACAAGATAGATCCTTATCATCTTCCAGCGCCAAGATCCTCTGTCTTCTTTCCCGCATCGATCTCTGGATGCTGTGAATCAACTCCAACCGAACCGACTTCTGATCATACACCAGCAGCATCACCGTAGCTGCAACCATGTCGTTCCCGAATCTTTACTATAAGCGAGTATGTCTCAGTAAATCCATTGATTTCTACCCGTAACAAAGAAACTAGATCACAGCGACCGCAAAAGCATGCTATATCTGTTATAAGCCAACAACTGTCGTGCTTGCCACGATTGATACCTCCGATTTCCTGTATACATGCACGGTTCACCTGTCAGACCACGGATTCGCTACCCGCGTGCTCGAGCCTGAGAGCGAGAACAAGATAGGAATCAGTGTTGAGGAAATCGCAAAGCTCAGGGAGGAGTGGGAGGAGAAGCAGAGACGCAAGAAAGAGAAAGAGAAAGCGGATAAGGACAAAACAACTGATGGTGAAAAGAAAGAGGATGACGGCAAGTCAGAGAAGTCATCAAAGATGCCGGGATCATTGCCGACGTCGGGCTCTCTAACACCAAGGCCCACCCACGAGAAGTATATATTACATCGCGATATATTTGCCCTGAGAGTCTCGGAGCACCGACGAAGGAGGCAAACCTCACAGGCGAAGGATCTAGCCCCTCGTCTTCCAGGAGCCCCCAGTAGCAGTCTGTCGTAATATGTGTTGTCTAATCTACTGTAGATTGTCGTACCATAGAATTTTGGTATATGTATGTTTGGGTTTAGGGTATACGTGCTCAATTGATGAAAGGATTGCATTGGCAAATAATAGCTCTTATCCCGAAACTTCCAAAACCCCCGATTGCAAGACCCACGATAAGACAGAAACCAGCCACGGTGCTCGCAATGGGGACGTCTTCGCGACGTTGTCGCAATCGTGGATTGTGCTCTAGAGAGGATGCACCCAGCATGCAGAGCGTAGAGACGTATCCGCTTGAGAGGCCTAGAGCGCCGACAAGGAGCATATAGACAAAGTCGGAGCTGATTACGGGCAAACCACGTGAAGGGCCCTGTACCGTGTTGCACAGAAGGAAAATGGGTATGAACAGGGTACGGACGATCGAGAATGCCAGTATGCGTGTAGCGGACCACGTTATTACTCTTGAGAAAGAACAGATGTATCGTCCAAAGAAGTCGCCGAGGTTGAACATCAAAAAATGAATGGCAGTGAATAGCAATGGATGGGTATTGGGGTTAGTCGGTTGTATGGTAATTGTAATAACAGGGAAGATGGCCTTGGGGCAAAGAGTCAACTCGTGATCAGGTGATAAGTCAAGTTACCGCACCAGGGTGATCACATAGACATATGCAACAGCAAATTCATAGATGATGTTCGCCTTGAATACACGTATTATTTGATTTCTTTCCTCAAGGTTTGCTTGATCTGTATTGCGAAAGACGAGCCCTCCTGTTTCATCGGCACTGCCTAGGGCTCCTTCAAGTTTGACGTTTTCTTCTAAAATCCCGACAGTGGCCTTGTAGGCTGGCAACCGCGCCATCCAGGAGTAGGCCATGAATGTGCATATCATAAACAATGCGGATATTCCAAAAAATGTACGGGCAGAATCCTGCTCTACCATTCCGTCTCCAACGCCATCGTTAGATATGAAGGCGGCAATTGCTTCCGGCGTCGAACCCCACACGGACAAAGCGGACGTAACCACCTGGACCATACTAACAACCACAGCTATGGCAGCCTGGCCAGATATCATAGATTGCATGTAAGGAGCCCCGAAGAGCGAGGCGCCAGCGTAGGTGGCTGTGGAAAGATAAGAAACGCATATCGCCAAAGAAATAGCACATAGGATTGCAAAGAAAAAGAAGGTTGATGGTTGGTAGTATCCAAAGGTGCTGAAGAACAGGAGAACGATGATGAGTGTGACTGATGCGGCAGACCAGAAAACTCGTCGAGAGGGTGACGACTGGTAACATGATGGTCAGCGTGATATAGATTCCATAGAAAGAAATTAGGTTCCAACCTGTTTCGAAGTTGCTGTGGCATGTGCCAGCGCAAATACATTGAATACGCTGGAAGTGGTGGTCATGTATGAGGCAAAGGTTGCCCGCAATGGTGATCCGACCAAACGAGACAAGAAGAAAGAGGTGGCGGTAATCAATACTGGGCAAAAATTATGTTTATAATCGTAACGCGTGCAGGAGAGATAAGTATTGATACGCACCGTTCCAAGGGAGGAGAATCGCGCACCCTAGCATAAAGTAGACCCACCGTATTCGACTATCAACCACCTCATCAACGACAAAGTGGTCTGTTGCAGAATCATCGAATGTCAATTCAAGTTCGTCGTCACAATCGTCATCGACCGCGGCTGGTGGGAGAGCATGATAAACGGCCCCCGAGTCTGTGGTTGAAATCTGTGGCAGCATGCTGCTAGGCCCTATTGACATGACGGAGTTGATTGACTGGTTCAGTAACAGTCGATGCAAGGCGGAGGACTACGAACGGGTGGTGTGACTGTAAAGCGAATGGAGTGGGATACAGCCGGAAGAACGCTGTTCAGTTGATATGCCTTGTGAACCGAGGAGTTTCTTTGCCTGCCATTTGCTCGCAGGGCCAACCATGTACGTATAAACGTCTTAATACGATATCGAACGAGTATAACTGAATATCAGTTATTAGGACAAGTTCAGTCGGTACCGTATTACTAATGGGCAAAAATTACGTACGATGACTAGAATGGGGCCGAACTACGTGGGCAGGAACCTTGTTACTGTTTCTGTACACTATACTGCCAAGCTTTTCGTACAATACGAATGGCGGGAAGGATGACTAAGGGCTTGCCCCGTGGCGCGCAGGCTTGGCGCAGACTTCGGGACGTCACTACCACAATTTCCTTTTATAGTTTTTTGCCGCCCTAGGCAGCATACACAGAGATTGCAGCATCGATTATTGATGGCATGTCATTGCATGAATTCCAGTAAACAGTTATGAACAATCGCAAAGGCTGGCAAGAATCTTACAACGTTTTGGAACAACAAGATGTACTTGATTATTGATGAATGTCCCCAGGTTTGATGTCACGTACATTCTTCGCCCGAGTCTCTCGGCATATATAATGAAAGGGAAGTCCCAACTTGGAAAAAAGATACCAATGAGTCTTTCGATTGTGGAATTGACATATCCACCGGGATATCTTCTTATTAAGCTGAATTGTAAGGAAGCGGTTCAGCTTTACGGTCTGGAAAACAATAAGTTACTAAAGCGCACGCACATTTACCGGCATTATCCATAGGAACCAGCCAAAGTCCATAAAAAGACGACAGCTACCTCTCACACCCGTATACTCGTTCGCGGACTATCATCCAAAAGGTCAAATCATCAGTAATGCCATTATAAACATTGTGATACCACCTACCGCAGGGCTTACACCATTCAATGCGTACGTCCGACACTATCGCGAGCTCGTGGCCGAGACAGTAGGACCTAGGTTGTTGCGAGATTTCGACAAGAACTTACTAATGACTCATCCCTCTGAACATTTGAGAATTGAAGATCAGGCAAGGAGATGGAGCGCTGGAATATTTTTCAGCAGCCCACTCAAAGACATTGGCCTGTTGTGCTGTTCACCACAACGACAAAAGAGATCAATAACGCTTGTCATTTTCACAGCTAAAATGTTACCAAGATTCCTTCGACAGTAGTGCCATCGCACATGGGCATTCCCAACGGCGCGCTTATGCAGTCACATTGTGACCAAGCAGGCCTAATCCTGATATTCACGGTCTTATGTATAGCAAATTGCATCGTCGTTCTAACTGTCTTCTCTGTAGGCTCGAGGGGGGTCCAGGAGTATGACGGTAGTTTCTTTCGTTTTGGGCAAGGATGACAAGAGCGACAACGCCACTGTGCTTCCAAGAGAGTGGCTTATAATCACGTCACAGGACGTGTCCTTGACAAAGTACCATTGGAGGTCCTCTGTAAGGGTGGTAGTCACCAGCGCCCAAGGAGATTCGGCACGACGACAAAGAACCTCAGGTATCCTTTTGAAAACAGAGCATCATCACCATGGTATTATAGAACCTGACCTTTTGCTGAGCGAGGCCTTCCTGTGAATTTGAAGACGCCGTCAAACCATGGATGAGCAAAGATCGTCCGGAAGCAAAGGGAGAACCCCACTGGGATACTGAAATGGAAATGTGGATACGAAAATGCCCGGCGCGTAGGAAATGGCGGGGGTTAAAGAGTGTACAGCGCATCCTGACTGGAATGGCCATAAGACACCGAAGACTAAAATGAAATCATTATGGTATCAGCCCATTGAGAGGTGCCACGAAACGACACACTAGTTGATGAAAGGAAAGCAGTCAGCGCGGCTCAGGCGTCGAACAACAAACCCAATTCGGGGATCATCGATCACGGCGTGTCTGCCTGAATGCATCGTTTGAAGTCGTCAGCATATCGTGCTGACCGCGTGGTCTTGAGTCGGTATCACCAGGTTCAAGCCAGGCAAGTGTATAGTTGCTCGTGTGCAATAGGTCGAAAATTCGAACCAAGGACTAGTATGCATATTAGTTGAAGCAAGATACCACATGCCTAGTCTCAAACAGTCTAGAAGAAAATAAATAGCGAGGACATGATTGGATGCGATGGTCATAAACAAAAATAACGCTGCAAAACACCATCCCTTCTCTGCACGGCTCACAATTTTGTTCTTGGTAGGGGAATTGCATCCATAATAGCATCCGGACACTCGTATTGAATCCAGTGACTGATGCCAATAAGAGCCTTAGCATTCAATCTCTCAACGTCACAAGGGATGTTCTCCAAGAAATTCGTGCCGAACTTCGGATCTGATGCCAATACGGTGATCTTGACGTGAGGTGGTATGTTTTTGAGCAATCCACTAAAGGACCATGATTTGTTTCGCTGTTCGATGCAAAGGCAGAATCTGTCAGCAATGCCTCCTATTTCAACACCTGAAATATTACCCGAAAAACTTCGACAGTGTTGGGATCAACGATTGCGATTCCCAGCGTTCTTAACACGCAGTCACGTCGTGACCAAGCAGGATTCTCAGCCATGTGCTCTTCCGCAGTTTTGACATCAGCTGTCCACTCTAAAAACAAATTCTGATACCCGACAACCTGCACTTCTGTACGGTCGACGGGGGGATCGACCAGTATGACAGTGGTTTCTTTCGTTTTGGGCAAAAACGGCAAGAGTAACAAGGTCATTAGACATCCAAAAGAATGACCGATGATCACGTCGTAGGACGTGTCTAAGGCGAAATATGGTCGGAGGTCTTCTGCAAAGTCGGATATCTGATAGTCGGTGCACCGTCTTCCTCCATGCCCAAGGAGGTTCGGCGCTATAACGAAGAAACCTAATCATCTGTTAGAAAGAGCGTCACTACGGTATTACGACCTGACCTTCTGCTACCAGCCGCTGAGCGATGCCCTCCCAGGAATCCGAGCACATAGTCATGCCATGAATGAGAAGAGCTCGCCTGGAAGCAGTAGGAGAACCCCACTGGGACGCTGAATTGGACATGTGCACACTCAGATCGTTTAGATGTGTTCAAGGTCTTGGTTGAAGAGGTTCGTCGCTTAGTCCGGCTGCGGAAGGGGTAGAAGAAGAGAGCGTAGGAAAAGTGATCAAGTCCAGGGAATCTGACAGGGTCAGAAGGCACCCAAGATTAGGTTAGTACGGAACAGGCGCGGTCCGCGTCTGAACGTGGGATTTAGGCCGTCGCGATCTGACATGCATTGACAGAGATGCGAAAGCAAACACGGCCCATCAGCAAGTCGTCAATAAGTTTATTCGAGGATCATCAATAGCAAGTGTATGATCGAATGTGACGGTTGCAGACGAAAACTACGGAAACGTAGAAGCACCATGGATCGCACGAATGTTGCAAAATACGAGATTAGGTAGCATGATCAGATATAATCTGTGTTGATAGAGAAGTGAGTGTGGCCCGTGCGAAATAGGGAGGTAAGACTTGCCAAGAAGCTAGCCCACCTCGAAAATAATAGTGACACTAAATGAGACGAGACCGAAGGCTGCCATCGAGAAAAATGCATAGGATTATCTAGTGATCATAGCTTGACCAGACACAGACATGAAACGTTCTGGGTATCTCGCCTTGATCCGTGCTGCTAAATCCTCCTCATATATCTGGTCCTGACCCAGCTGATTCCCGAGCATTAGCCACCTGCAGAGCATCATCTTCAGTACACCACAACATATGAAATTGTTCGCTGCCACCTACCCAGGTCGCGTATTGTGCTTTCTTCCGAAAATTTCAATCTTCCGCCTGTCAGGACACATCCTTTCGATCAGGCTGTATACCTCGTCTAGTTTGTGATTCGTCTCATGCACCTCGCTCACGATAACGTCAGTATCGAGTCCGCAGTTTGTCCAGGAATGGAAAATGAGCGAGGTTCCCCACAGCGTCTGTGCGCGTTTTGACACCGACAAATATGTGGTCTTTCGTGTGGTTGAACTAGTGGCCTGTTCAAAATGAATCCCAAAGAGGTAGACCCAGCCAAAGCCAACGCTCCGAACCAAGCAGCTTTGGTTTGTCCAAAGTCTGAATCATCTAACATGACACTGGCATATGCGTTTTGGGCCCCTCTCCCTAACACACTTGAGTTGCAGTAACAATTATCATAGACACTCGTAAACTGGAACATCCCTGCCGCAATTATCCCGATTGCATTGACGATCGCCACCAATTTCCCTCCCCATCTCAAAAGGTTTGATACTACCTTTACGAGACGGATGGTGATAGATGAGGACGGACTCCTGGGTCTGTCTGAGTGTGAGGATGCGTAGTGCGACAAGATGCTCGACATAACAAGCATCACCCATATTATCGTTGCAAGTGCGCCATAGATGATGTAACCGAGAGATCTACAACCAAGGCCCTGTCGTGTGTGGCTGGTCAACAACAGGAGCAGATAACTGCATATCAAATAATGCTTACCTCAGTTGGAGTAAAATACACAGTTAGGATCGCAGCTCCGGTTGTTGCCCATTGCAAAGCCAGGGGCAGTAGCGAGGCCACGAACATGCGAGAGAACATCCCTGTCGCCCAGGGGCTTCTTACTGCGTATCGAGGAAGTCTGCAGTAAGCATTGACTTCTGACGCGTTTCCTTTCCTGTTGCTGGGCTCAATAAAATTTCTCCTATTCGCATTCTTCCATGTAGCACCGGTCGCGACTGGTTTGTGTATTTTGGCATTGTTGGAGGCTATTCGAAAAGCATTGAAGACGTCCTCCGCCGACCGAGACCATGAAATGGCCCTGGCATAGTAAAAGACGGGGGGAGTTAACATTTCGTCGGGAGAAGAAGGATTTTCCATATCGGTATCAATGGATACTGCTCGCCTTTCAGAAAGATCTGATGCCTTTACAACTGCATCCGAGTCATCGTTGGCTACAAATGCCATTGCATCCGCGTTGTCCATGGCCTTTCTAACGCGTACATAATCGCACTTCGGGGACAGTTGCAGCCAACCTATAACGATTGGGATAAGCCACAACCACACCGATCCCGTCCCTTGACCGTTAGAATTGATGTTGGAGGGGACGTCCGATAGCGAGCTGGCGACCGTCAGTAGGTAGGCAACAACGACCCACGCGATGGTTGTTGCAGATGCGATGGACCAGGTATGAGTGTAGTCGAGAAAATCAGCAATGGTCGGCCACCAGTCATCATTGTCCGGCAGAACAACGAGAGAGCTGAGCAGTGAGTCTTCATTTGATATCCTGAGTGGACTTTGTTGAAGGCTTATGAGGATACGGACGGCGGATTTAGTGTTGGGGAAGGATAGGTTATCGAATTGACGACTGATCCAGTTGGCGTTGAGAATGGTGAGAATCATCGAGTAACCGGCGAGAACCGGCGAACCGACTATGAGGATGGCAGACATGAGATTGTCAACTCTATGTCTTGCACCAAAAGGCAGCTGGGAAATGAGCGCAAGGTAGGGTAATAACCAGGCCCCGAACTGTTGCGATATGTTTGCCCAGGTGGGATTCTGTGTTCCAGAGCCGCAGTGATGGTAACAGGTATGGTATGTGAATCCGACCGCGTTCATGATGTCTGACGACAATACATTTCCGCCATTGCGATCCACCAATCCAGATGCATTGTGCGACGTGCCCGCATTCTTTCTGAATTCAATGAAGCAATCGGTGATGTTAACGTTGCTGGCGTACGCCCCTTTGATAAATGGGAGCAGCAGTAAGAACAATAGGATCTCTGAGAAAATAGTGAGCATAAGTCATTACAAGCCACCGAACTCACTCTTTGTATCGCGCATGAGTGGTGTCGACTTTCATCAATAGGGCGGAATGCACCTAGGAATATATATGAAGGAAGTTCCTGTGTATATCTATTAGTACGTCTTCGGTAGACGTTCAGAAGCCTCGGGGGACGCGATAAGACTGTATTGCCATACAAAATTCTTATCTCAAAAAACCTGGCAATCCATGGTCAGTTCATCGCTCGTTCTAAAACAGGAACTCGACGTTACTTGATCCAGCCGACTTCTAGTGGAAAAGCCCGCATGAGAACCATGGGAAATTCCAAGTGTGAATGTAAACGAGTCTCGTAAATAAGATCACTGTGAGTCTGAACAATGAGCACCATGTTTGTCATTCTAGGCGCCTTCCAGCGCCGGTCGCTATCACAATTCAGGAACTCACCTGATATCAACGGTCACTGCCTTGGGGGAACAGATAAAGCAAACTGCCTATAAGAGCAGCAATAAAAAATTTGTGCCTTCTCCTGGGGTTGTAAATCGACGGCGGAAGCATTTTACTTGGTGACAAGAATATAATTGATAGGTAGTGATGCAAGACAGACATAGTAATTGCTGTGCGACTTAAGCTGAGGAGCGCGCAACGTTGGAGCCTTCAGAACCCAGCTGGGCACGGGAGGAAGCACTTGCCAATATGTGATTAATGCCGTGCAAACAACAGTTGCATGCGAGGGCTGTGCGCACTGCGGATCCAGGTACTTCATACTGCATCAATATCCTGGAGATTCAACAATTTAGTCCTGGTCAAAAGCGTGTATATATCTTGTTAGAGGACTCTTCAATTACCTACTAGCCTAGAGCGTTCTAAGCCCTTCGAATTATCCTTCCAATAAGCTTTTCGAAGACTGACTCGGAGGGTGACAGATGGGCTGGTCTTCTCAAAGCAACGAACTACATTAATATTACTCATGTTCAGTGCTAGTGTGGCCGTGAGCATACTAGTGCAGTGACAAGCGACCATTACTTACCCTAGCTGTGATGCATTGATGGTCCATAGGCAGACCAACGAAAGGAAAGTTCCGTTCTGTGATGCGGCATAAACTGCTGAGTCAGAGTACCATGAGGACGCAATGATTTTTACATACTCGGTTTCTGCCTTGAACAAATTCGATGCGGTGTAATGTCGTGCAGTAATGGAAGCACGCGGCGTCGCTACCTTGACATCTGAGCACCGCCGCAGCTGCAGCGCTGAGTGCTGATGCATGATGTGGGACATCTACTAGATTAATCGTAAATGTGCCGGTATTGGACAACACTCACCGATCCATCGACGAATCTCGGCAAGAATAACATTTGCCGCTGTAGTTACTAAATCGCTGGAAATGGGAGGCAGATCTGTCGTATGGGCTTTGCAGTTACTGTATTGGCAGAAAATGTTGAGCCGCGAAGAACTTATGGCCTGAAAAACACGGGCAGTGGCCAAACCCCACAATAGGACTTATCCTGGGATACGGAGCTGTCACTGTCCCCCATACCCCAAACGATAACGACCCCGACGATCTAAGGAAAGCCGCGCTCAAGAGAGGGGCGGCAACTGCAGTACGACTACTATGTACCAAGTTGGAGTCCTTCCATCAGAATCAGCTTACATAATATGGACCTTACAGTTGCTCACATTAATTTTTAGCACGGCAAGAATATTTGAACAAAGAGCGTTGGGACACATATTGACCGAAACGTTATAACGAGCCTGCTGTACTAGTGGTTCGGACTTTTCTGAAGGATATAATGTCGCGAGACGAGCAACATCACGACCGAAAATAGAGGTTTCAACTCGTCGTGAAAAAAGGTCGTATGGAAGATTTTATGTGAAAATGAAAAATACATCGCGGTCGCCGGTCACATCAAGAATCAAGGGATGAACGACATTCAGAACAACTCGTTCGAGATTTAGACGATCCGCGGTTTGAAAGTGATGTTTGTCTAGTCCGCGGCGAAGTCATCCATTCGAGCACGCAAATCTACCTAAAGGTTTACCACAACACAGCAACTCGAGTTAAAATCTCGTCAATCAATATTAATCAATCGTCTAGCTAACGTTTAGTTAATCTTCTTCGTATCAAATTTTCAAAAAGCATCAGGCAAGACCTCAGGCTGTACAGTTGGATACAGCACGTAATTTGTGTGTAATATCTCATCCGAGGCTCGTATTCGTCTAGCTTCTTCGAACGTCCGCGTCATCTAGTACGTGAGTCAGTACTTGCTGGCCTTGGGAGTGGGGCTTCAAGTCCTAGCTTCGGTTTGGCCTATGTTATCCCCCGTCTCTCGACCTTTGCTCTCTCCCCCTCTACTTCCTATTCCCTCACCTCATCCTTGTACGCTTGCCTGCGCATTTCGTTCCTCTTCTTTCCACCTTCATCAAAATTGCATGCTCATCCCTGCTCCTGCTGACGGCTTTCACCTGCCGCTGCAGCTTCGTGATGTTCATGATCCGGCGACAACTTCAACCACTGGTGGCCGGTCCACGTATGAGTCTTAGCATACAGGAAAAGGTACTGATAGTCAAACCAAAAGAGGAGGTACAGTCGTAACCATAAAATATTAGCTACGATGAAAGTATCGAGCCGTAGAAAACATTAGCACAACTTTACACATCGACAGAGCCCTCCTCCCACTAATGTTGGGTGTCGGGGATATTCCATGGTATCATAGGTATGTACGTAGGAGACGTCCAGAAGACTAGGACGTGAACGGGTCGCAGTTACAGATAACAGCCCTCACTCCAAAGCTCGCAAATCCGCCAACTGCTAATCCTACAATCAGACAGAAAGCTGCGACGGTGCCAGCAACATCCACATCTTCCTGACGACCCTTCAATCTCCTGTTGTGTTCCAACGAGGGCGCGCCCAACATGCATAAAGTAGACACGTAACCGTTCGACACGCCAAGAGCGAACAAGAGTAGCATATAGACCAAGTCAGAGCTGATAAACGGCGTAACATGGAGTGAAAGTTCCACATTGCATAGAAGGAACGCAGGGATAAACAGGATCCGAAGGAGGGTTAGAGCCAAAACACGTCGAGCCGACCAGATTATGAGTTGTGGGAAAGAACACATGTGTCGTCCCAAAAGGTCACCGGAACTGAACACCAAAAAGTGTGCAGCACTAAACAGTAAAGGATGAATAATCGGATTCGTCGGCTTGATGGTGACAGTGATGGCTGGATAAACAGCCTACGGACGCTGGTGAGGAGAATAATGCTGGCAGACGGTATGAAAAAACATACCAAAGTTACAGTGAAAACAAATCCCACAGAAAAGTTATAAATAAAATTCGCCCGGAAAACACGGAAAATCTGGTTTTCTTCAACTGCCAGTGGGCCTGGCGGCGCCGCAGGTAGGAGAGGTTGTCGTTCATCAACCTCGTCTGAGACAACTCGAGCCTTGAGGTTATCCTCGAGAGCTCCCACAGTCGTTGTATATACTTGCAATGATGCCAGCCATTTATATGCGAGAAGCGTAGCAATCATATACAACGCGGAAATCCCAAAGAATATACGCGCAGATTTCTCCTCAGCTTTACCGTCAGAGTCGGTATCACTGATAGCTAGAGTCAGTGGAGTGGTTCCCCAAACTGAGATGGCGGAGCTGATGACTTGCACGCTACTGACAGCAACGCCTACTGCGCCCTGGCCCGACATCATCGATTGCATGTAAGGTGCGCCAAAAAGTGCAGCGCCGGCAAATACCGAGTTCGATAAATAAGACGCGCAGCCCGACAAGCAGAACGTGCTTATCATGATGAAGTAGAAGAATGGAACTGGGCTAGGATGGAGGAATGTTGTCAAAAACAGTATGGTGACGATGGCCGAGGTGAGCGCGGTGGACCAGAAGGCACGCCTGGAAGGGGAAGACTAAAAGGAACGCCATGATCAGAGACAAACCACCCTCATGCATGCAGTACCCACTTGTTTCGAGGTCATAGTCGCATGTCCTAATGTAATTACGTTGCTGGCGGTAAACACGCTGGACAAGTACGAACTAAATGACGTTCTCAGTGGTGAACCCGATAGTCGCGACATGAAGAATGGATTTGCATTGATCATTGCTGGCGGAAAATATCAGCCATTGATGGGTCCATATCTTTCCAATGACATACCGTTCCATGATAGCAGAGTAGCGGCTCCTAGCATAAAGTATACCCAGCGTATACGAGCGTCTCCACGCATATCTTGCGTGTGTGAAATCTCCATGATTGTCCGCTCATCATCCGAGTCATCGTGTTCGACTTCTGTGGTTATACGGGGAATGCTACCTCCCACGTCTGAGCCCGTAGCAGACGTACGAATGTTCATTGTGTGCCTATGAGTGCAGCAACGTCGCTGGCAATGAAGCTATGGTGGAAGCGAAAGAGATGTGCAACATGGTTCGCAACGCTCAGGGCAGGTGCCAGCTGCGGTTTTCTTCCTTCTGCCAGTCTGCCAGCTGAAGACTAGCCCAGTCCGAGAGCAAGTCTCTCACGTTATATTATAAGCGAAATGGCATAGGGCCAGGGACTGATAGAGATTCAGATACCAGTTGATAACTAACCGAGCCGTATAATACGATAGGTACTAGCTAGAAGCATCCCCCGACACAATATCATACTTCTTGTCTCCTCGCAGACTTGCCAGGGATAAATTGGTTTGGTGCATCTCGCAAGACCAACTGGTTGAGCTTCTCCTTCTGTTTTCTCCGCCTTCCTTGCCTTGCGCTTAGACTTTCTGTCCATCTTCGCAAGACGGTCCTTGGTCAACCACCTCCGTTTCTTCTCCGACTTTCTCTCCTCTTCCAGCTTCTGTCGGTACTTGAAAGCAGCTTCTGCGCGCGCATCCCGAATACTCCGGCCATTAAGATTCCTGAGTTCCTGGGCAACGAACTTTTTGAAGAGCATGCTCTTGCGCTTCGCAGCAGCCTGCCAGCGCGCTTGCTTCTTCGCTCTGCTATGAGGATTGCTCAGCTCCTTTGTAAGATATACCTCCATCGGCGCTGACGTGTCGAAAGGAACGGCAGAAGGATTGAACAGCGTCCTGAGGTATGCCTTCTCAGCTATGCCACTCTCGAGGGAAATCAATTTGGACAGCGAGAACACGGGTGGTTTATACGTTATTTCCCGAACCGTCTCTGGCGTCGTGTCCAACAATGGATTAGCTACGTCACCCTGAGGTCAGAAAACGAAACAAAAGTAAAATGTGAGTGTCTGACGTTCTTTGTGGTCTCTCTCTTCCGGTTGAGGCCATTCTAGTTCGATTTTTGTCTTTGGGGTATATGGATCAGTAGCGAGCACCAGACGCTTCCAGTTCCAGCGGTAGAGAATGGGATCCCAATGAGGATCTCGCACACCAATACGTCTCGCAAACACACTGGGCATTATACAGTCAAAGGCAAGGACGCGGAAAGGTGTAAACACTTACGAGATCGCCTTGGGCTGCTCACCAACTGAGGTAGCCTTTCCCACTTGTTCGCCCATGTAGAGCATACATCTTGAGTAGTGCACACTGCGGTTGACCGGGGTCTTGTATTGCTTCCCCTCATGCTACAAAACCACTCAGTCAGCACCAGTGCAGTACAGTCAGTGTGATAAACTACGCACGAGGTTGGCACCCTTCAAATAGACGCGATTGGTAAATTTATTTATGCTGAGAACCTCGTGGATGGTCTTGCGCGTGTCTCCGCGTATGCAAATTTGATCACCTGGAACAACGTTCCAGTATTTTATACGGTCTTTGACGCGTACGGCCTTTGTGATGGGGTCGAACCATGTCTGTCTATTCTGAAAGTGTTTTGGGACAGGGAGAAGGTGTCGGAAATCTCGAGTCCATGGAGAGACAGTAGTAGCTCGCTGGACCTGTATACGGGTGAGTGACATCGAGTCCGAGACTGTCTAGTATGTTCAAGACAACTCGGAGGAAAAGTAAGTAATAGCTGACTAAGCAACTTTACGGTATAGTAATACTACTACTAGCATCTCCTGAAGCGGAAGCAGCTCAGCTAAGTACTGCGGTTTGAGCATACTCAAAGTCGTGTCTCAGGAGAAAGACGTGAGTCAACGATTGATGTGCGATTTTTTTTTTGTATTGAAGTCGAGATCCAGCAATAAAGGCTCGGTATGATTACAAGAGAAGAATGTCATAAATTACCAATGCCTCAATAAACTCGGCCGTCAGCCCATCGGCCCAGCTTTGGACCCGCTCCATGCTGTCGATGATGCGCTGGGTTCCTCCGACTCTAGCGTCTACAGCAAAAAAAGGTGAGACATACGGCCAATACTCGAGGAAATGTAATTACCTCAAGCAACATCCCAATCACGTTGTCCACTTCCGATGGCTGCACTCCACCACACCCTGCCCCAATCAGTTTTCTATACTCAGCCATTCGTCCACCAGTCCCCGCCTCTGCTTGGAATGAAACCAGCTCGTCAAACATATCTTTCCTTCGTTTCCTGTGCAGTCCAATCTCTTCTCTTAAGGCATCGCAGGTGACTCGCAGTGTTTCTGGATCCGTAGGCACGTCAGCATATAACGCCAACAGGTCCGAGATCTCCTCTTCCTGGGGTAATGCCTTTCGCTTCCCTTTCCCCTTGTCTTTCCCAGGCTCTGCAACTTCCTCGATGTCGTCGTCCGTCCGGTAAGGCACCGTCGCTGCTGTGATCTTCAACTCTCCATCAGCAGCATCCCGTATCGACATTTCGCGGTTCTCCTCGTCCTTTACCCATTTCTCCCAGCCCAGACGATACCGCCTCCCCATCTTGTCAAGTAATCGTCCTTCCAAATCCACAAGCACACTCTTAGCTAGCTGCAGCCCCTCCGCTTTCGTTTTGAGCTGGTTCACGGCGCGGTGGCTCTCTAGAATTTCTTGCTGAATATTCTGCAAGAGTGCATGCGCTTGTGTCATGTCACGCTCTTTTTCTTGCAGTTCGCGGTCGAATGACGAGGCGAGACTGTCGAGCATGCTTGTGATATCATTGACACAGCGCGTGCTGGCCTTCTGCCCTGCAACAGAGTGATGGAGTGGGGGCCTGTCACCATTCATAGGGTAGGCCAACGTCATTGCATTGGAGGATGTGGGACCGAGAGTCGCTTGGGCATTGCGGAAGGACATTGATGAGAGGCGAGAGGTTGGACCTGGAGACGAACGGAAACGTTCGTCCTCGAGGATGTAGTCTTCGGTGCTCTTGCCATCATTGTTAATGATTTTTGGATTAGCCCCGTGATCGATAAGAAGTTTCACAAGACGCTTGCTCCGACACCGGGCAGCCATTGTCAGTGCAGTTTCACCGTCTTCGTCTTGAAAATTGATGACATCTGCGAGTTCTTTTGGGTAGTCAGCTAGGCGGTTGAGCACTGTTTCCATGTAGTACCGCGCGGCATGTGTTTTCCCCTTCGACATTGCGACGTCGACGATGTGGTGAAATACGGTCCGATTATAATTGTCGATGTTGAGTGTGGAACGGTGAAGAAGTTCGTACAGCTCGGGGAATTTCCGCACATCATAGTTGTTTGCAAACATGACACTTCGCATGAGCGCAGTCTGACCTGCTTTGTTCACCTTGAATATTTCTGCGCCCGCTGTGATCAATAACTTGACAATACGTAGGCGACCCATTGCTGAGGCCCAATGCAATGCCGTATGACCATCATCATCGATGGCGGTATTCGGGTCAAAATCAGGCGGTGGGGAAATGAGAACCTGGGGAATTTGATTTGAGTCAGAAATGAAGTACTCGAGGATTTGGTCTGCGTATGCGCGTGGGTCGGTCGTGCCGTTAGACTGCGTGGGTTCCTCCTCTGAACCCTCGTCATCATAGCGGTCATCTATGTGGCGCTGTGGTGGTTTTCGACGATTGCCACTGCGGCGGTCTTTAGTAGTGTCCGTCGATCCAAATTTATTTCCGATGGGTGAGGGAGTGCGTGAACTTGATGAGCCGCGGGAAGGCGAGGATGTCATAGATCCATCCTCCGATGCATGGACGGATAATATTTCGTGATCGGATTCAACTATGGGTTCTGCATTACGGCGTGAGCGAGCAGTAGCAGCAAGGGCGGCCGCTGCTTCTGCAGCTGCAGCGGTGCGACGCGGGGGACGAGCCGCTGTACTCGTAGAGACGAGATGTTTAGGAGCCAGAGGCGGGCTCTTGGCTGCCGGTTGAAAATCAATGATGGGGCGCAGAGCAGCTTCACAGTTGTACTGTTTTGCCAGGGCGAGACCTCGTTCAAGAGGTATCCACGTTCCTTTAGTGGGATGTGTTCTTCAAGCGATCACAAAAAAGGAGTCACGGAGATTGCTTACCTTGGTACTTTCCATACCCACCCTGAACCTTTTCGTGCTCGCCTTTCTGGACTTCTCTCTCGAGTACGCGGGTTCGCTGAGGTTTGTCGAATCCTGCGACTTTCAGGATCTGAGTCGCGTTGAGCCACGAGTCAGCGCGCCGGCGCATGACAGCAACGCCCTTGCACATCCTGGGCGCGTAACCATGAATGAGGCTCCGACCTGAATGTGAAATGAAAGACTCACATCTCGAACACGGGAATTCCGCTGTAAGTTGCCTAGGATTATGGGTCACATGAATGAGGTTAGTGCGGGGGTGGTTAGCAGGTAGCAAGTAGTAGTACCTTGAAAATCTGACCCTCAGGCATGATGAAGACAGTTAAACGCGTTTATGCGTGATTCCAGGGGATTACTGCTATCCAAACGATTTTGGTGGTGGACTCTCAGGCGAGCTGGGGCTGACGGGCGTCGCGGTTTCCGATACATACACGTGCTTCAACAAGAACAAACAACGCGATGTCCATGTCGTCCACCTTTGAGCTTCTGCGCTGTGGCACCAAAAGACTTCATAATTTTAGAGAGCATGTATCACTGAATGCTATGTCCCAGCATTGCATGCTGCAGTTCAAGATGACCATAACGCTCTCCAAGCTCCTGGAAGTTTCTCTCACAACGATCTGAAATGCTACAGCACCCAGTCCCTGGAAGACATCCGTTCCTTCTTTACGGCACCGCACCGTGACTGTGGGCGGGTTTACAATGTCTCAAGAGTGTGTTTTGATGCATGATGCATTGTGAAACCCGATCCCCAACAATCCATCATAAGATCCGATACTCGTGTTCTTCGCAAGTCTATTTCGATTCAGTTACGCCCGTAACCCCCTTCCTTGATGTTGCATTTAGGCTTCCTAGTCTGCTTCGTATAGAATTAGATAGGCTGCCGCGCATTAATGTACACCACGTTGTTTTACGGGTTGCCTCGTTGCAGACGCGCTGTTTTTGCCAAGGAGTTGGGATTATCCTTGGTCGACTCTTCTCTCTCTTTATGAGTCTGGAAGCTGCCTGTGGCAAGGCAACTTGAAGTGAGAGCAGTTGCTTTAATTTAAAAATCTGTCAAATAAGAAACAAAAGGATGTGAAGAAAGCAACTTTGAAGCCTGACGCGACGGTCACGGGACCCGTTTCCTTTTGTAAGGTGGTTCTTTCCTCGAGGCTTGATAGCGGCAATTGTTCCTGCCCTCACAAACCGCGTCTTTCACTCTGACCACCACGAGGCTTTCTACCGTTCTAGTCACCGTTCACAACAGTGAGCTCCTGTCATGGCACCAACCTGCGCTCCGCTCTGCTATTTTGGAGACAGGCAAGTCCGCTCTTGACCGGTCATTTCCAAATTTCTGAATTAATCCTATCTCTAGGCTTTACTTTACTACCTTCCCCTACCCCGCACCATCTCCCCAATCTCTCAATAGCGCAGCCTCCAACTCAGGAAATGCTCCAAAGATTCGCCCCCAACCCCACATGGGTGCACCACTTGGTCCTTCAGTCCCCACCCCGGATGATGACGCAATTTACTACTACTTTACAATCGATGACCAGCTGCTCTACACCTCATTCTATCAGGACTGGGGCCCGCTAAACCTCGCAATGGTCTACAAAGCGTGCCTATTAATTCATGGCCTTTTGAAGGTACGCGTCCAATTCTCCTCGATCGTTGGCACGCGATCATGATCGCCACAGGATGAAGATCTCAGCGCACACCGTCTCGTTCTCTATTCTTCCGATGATCCACGTCGTAAAGCTAATGCTGCCTTGTTGATGGCCCTGTACATGGTATGACTCGTTATCTCACAAAATCCTACCGTATTCACCCACTCTCAGTTGATCGTCCATAATTACACTCCATGGCGCTGCTTCCAACCCATAAGCGAACTAGAGTTCATGTCTTTCAGAGACGCAGGGCGTGGCCCTTCTACCTTCAACCTTAGCATTCACGACTGTTTGTGGGGTTTCTGGAAAGGAATTCAAAACCGCCTTATCGACCTTGATGTTTTCGACCTCCAAGATTACGAGTTCTATGAGAAGGTCGAGAACGGTGACTGGAACTGGATAACACCCAACTTCATCGCATTTGCTTCGCCTAGAGATTATGCGTGGACAAAACAGAAGAATGAAATCGAGACTGCTGTTGCTACTACTGTTGTCCCTACATCCCCTGTGCGACCTGGTGTAGCTTCACCACCCAAATCACCTCGCAAACTCGCTCTACAACGTAAACTTAATTCCGCTTTCTGCAATTGCCTCGATTATTTCGAGAAGCATAAAGTCGACCTCGTCGTCCGTCTCAATGCAGAGCTCTACGATAAACAGCTATTTTTGGATCGTGGAATCAAACATCTCGATCTATGTTTCGAAGATGGGTCAAACCCGTCAGACGAAATCGTCCGCACCTTCATTGACGTGGCAGACGCCGTCATTGAGGGCGGTGGGGTCGTTGCTGTACACGTGGGTTATTTCACATGTATTTTGCTCGTTGTCCTGACATGTTTATATGATACCCAGTGCAAAGCGGGGCTCGGTCGCACCGGATGCCTCATTGGGGCATATCTTATCTGGAAGTATGGATTTACAGCATCGGAGGCGATTGCGTTTATGCGCATTGTCAGGCCAGGCTGTGTTGTTGGTCCACAGCAACATTACATGCACCAGATGCAGCTTCAATGGGCAAAGTGGGCCGCTGCAGATGAGATACGACGCTTGCAGGCAGCTGCAGTCGCAGCCGCCGCACATGTCGTGACTCCTGCTACACCTCCTGCAGAACAAGATGAAGTCATGCATGAAACCAGATCGTTGACGCCACCCCTACCACCCATACTACCCGTCACCCCCGGTCGTGCTGTCGTAGCTACGAGGGCGCGTGAGACGCCTCCGCCAGGACAGCCGCGCAAGACGCCTATGGCAAAGCGAGTCGCCATTGAATCGGACGAAGAAGATGTGGAGATGGATGACACCCTCCCTGCTCTTGGAGCAGCACCACCCGTTACCCGGCCTCGTGCTAGGACAACGACTCGAGTCTCGGGCGCAAGAGGTACAGCGTCTGAACAACGCCCGACGCGGGTGTTACGGTCATCCGTGACGAGCGTACATCAGAAAACTACTGCCGCCAGGAACGGTCGAGCGGCAGCTCCACCTCCTAACAAGATACCCCGATTGACTGGAGCTTCAGCGGCGCGTAGTACTGCTGCTGCTGCTGCAAGAGGGCCTGGTGCCCCATCAGCGCGTCGTGTACCCCAACCCCCTTCACCTACCCCTTCGCGATTACCGACACTCGCCAAGAAACATAACCCTGCACCTTCGCTGGCGGAACTACCCACTACACGATCAGGCAAACCTGAATCCTGGATGAAGGCAGGAGCCTCTGCCATCGTTATGCCTCCCTCGAAGTCTACACAACGCCCTGGTCCACGGCCCGTTAGACGGAGAAGAAGCAGCTTTAGCGCTGCGGATGTCGTTGCATAGACACCATAGCATTGGATCTGTTGCAAGCTGTATTCCTGCTTTCGCGTTCATGTTTAGTCAGCTCTCGCACTTTTCATTATCGACAATGATCATCTTCATTCGTTTTCTGTATTTAATGGTGAATTTTCTTTCTGGCGTCGTATAGGCTCAGTATCTTTCGATATCCGCACTGTCCACATTATCCCCAAATCACCCATCATCGAGCATCCATATTGTGTAGCCCTGATCTCATTTACCTTTCCGTACCACTTGTCTTACCAGAAGGCGCTATGGAATGATATACGAGAGCAGGTGATCTCGTCCGCAACGTCCTGCCTATTGGCGGCGTGAGATGAAGGTTCCCTTGGTGTAATTACAACTTTTTTTTGCCCCTCTCACGTCATGAAGACGGTACTGCCGAGTACTTGTGAACACACTCCAGGAAGAACTTCATGTCTTCTGGATCAACCCCTGGTGTGATGCCATGACCCAAATTTGCAATCCATGCCTTGCATGCACCGCCCCTAGCATCATGGAACATATTGCACATCCTCTTCACCTCACGCTCAATGGCTTCTCTACCGCCATAAAGCACCACGGGATCGAGGTTGCCTTGTAGAGTGATAGTTCTACCGTCAATAATGCCATCGGTGAGCTTGGCAACATCCCGAGGGTCAAGCGTCCAGTCGAGACCGATGGTGTCGTATCCTGCGCTTGCAGCGAGAGATGGGGATGCGCCTTTTGCAAACAAAGTGAGAGGGACGACAGGGAGTTGTCGTGCCTTGAGTCCCTCACGGACTTCGTCCGCAATACGTTTCAGATAAGGCAGAGCGAACGTAGAAAAGTCATGCGGCGACAAATCTCCAGCATTCGAATCGAATATCTGCAGAAGCTGTTGGTAATCATAGTTTAGTTTGTGTGATCCCACTGTCCTGATCCGCGATAAGACAAACGTGGACGAACCTGTGCGCCGGCCTTCACCTGCCCGATTAGATACTGCACGCAGATGTCTGTGATGCGCCAAAGTAGCTGTCTTGAAGCCTCGGGGTATTTAAAGAGCCACGTCTTTGATTTCTGACGCGTCTGGCTTCCGCCGCCCTCGATCATGTACATCATAAGTGTCCACGGCGCCCCGCTGAAGCCGATGAGGGGAACCTGCCCTGCAAGGGTCTTCCGCGTGAGGGTGAGTGCCTCGAACACATATCCGAGCTCTTTCTCTACATCCACCTCGCGGGGCAGCTTCTCGACGTCCGCAGGCGTGTTCAAGGGATCGGTGAAGTGCGGGCCCGGGTTCATAATCACTTCCATACCCATGGCTTGCGGCACGACGAGGATATCGGAGAAGATGATAGCTGCGTCGAGAAGGCCGGCGTACCGCCGGATGGGCTGCATGGTGATCTCAGTTGCGAGAGTAGGCGAGCGGCATATCTCGAAGAACTCGTGGGTTTCACGGGTTTTTCGGAACTCTGGTGCAGGTTATGGTGAATCGGATGGAAAGGGTATCTGGATGGCGTACCTGGGAGATATCTCCCTGCTTGGCGCATAACCCATACGGGTGCGCGTTCTGTCTGCTCGCCGCGAGCTGCGCGGAGGAGCAGGTCGTTTGTTAGAGTCGGAAATTCTTGTGCCATCTTGATGATTAGGTGAAAAAATAACTTGTGTACGCGTCAGACGCCAGCGGCAAATGTGGTTCGTGACGAAGGCCAATAACTCGTTTGGGTGTAGCACTGATCATGATCTGCTTATGTCCGAATCGGGGTCTTTATTTCCTTCTCACCTTGACTGTCATCCCGTTATCTCTCAGCGCTAAGTATGCGCCTTTTGTATTATGACCATCACCAATCCAACCCAATTAATAGACGAGTGAGTCGTTTTATATGCTAGCGGGGTAATACTCAAAAACTACACCACAGGTTCAAAAAATCGGGCGAATTTGACCGTCTGAGACGTGATCTCCTGTCACATTTCCAGCGCAGTGTGAGTTGTCATCCAATACATACGTGGCACGACCGCTTACCCGGCCTGTAGGACCGCACAGAGGCCTTTAAATCTCGGGTTGATGATATAGCCCGACAACGGCTGTCTTCTGACCCAAAACTGATATCTATGCCCAATGATGCTGTCCAGCGTGAATTATTAGGGGAAATCGACCGGTTCGTCCGCTCATTGCTGCTTGGTCAGTGCTGATGACCGGGCCTACTTTTCTCAGCTATCCTATTGTTGAGCGAGCGATAGCTGACGCCCCTTTATTATCGGACCCATCATTCATCGCTGGCATTCGTGCTTCACTGGAACGTACCATGTCGGCAGGCAGGGGCGAAAAGAGCAATGCTACTCCAAGTGAGCATTTATATGTATGTTTTGACGGTTTCTTTTAGTTCTTGACTGGGATGATAGGCCAATCGACGCCAAACCTGCAACCATGTGATTCGGGCAATCCCGAATTCAATCCAGCTATTTCCCAGCCCAATGGCGCTCTGACGCCTTCTTCGGCGATTCAGAAAGAGTGAATTTGACCATTGCGCCCCTGGAATCTCTATACATTGTCTGACTGGACACTCGAGTTCTATCTAAAAGGTTCGACTGTTATGCCTCTGCACAAGGTAATGCTCATACGGCCAACTGCAAGCTGTTTATTTATTCGTCCTTGACTTATTTATTCATTACAAGGAATCACTTGCGGTTAGGAGACCAACAATCTAAGCAAGATCAGTGATGTATCATCATGTAATACACCGGCAGCTGAGCTTCAAAGAATTGTAACGATAATAGGCGAGTATCTCTTCCATTCAATTTATTGTGAGAAGGCGCGCATACCGTGGTCCGGTAGGATATCAAAAGACCCTACAAGACAAATAGAGGATCGAGCTCAGCGTGTGACGCCGCAGCTGCTTACCCTGCAGCTAGTTCACTTCCGCAGGTGTCCGATCGTTGGACCAAAGTCGGCCAATCTGTCGGATGGTACTGACTTTGCTTGGAGACCGGTAGGTTGATAACACATAAAGACCTAAGTTGTTGCTTGCCACAATTTGAGGTGTGCGCGTGAAGTTCCTATAAGAAACAACGTTTGGAAATAAAGGAGATGATCGTGACATTCAAATAGAGACACGGTCACATTATGTGATTTCTGAGTCCTGAGATCTTCAGCCACTACTTATTGGCATTATCAATTTTAAAGTTCCCGCATGCAGCAAATAAGATCCGGCATCTCCTGGCGCAGGGGTCGGGATACACCATGAGCTTGGAGCAGCAAGGACTTAAGTAAGTACTGAGAAGTACTGAATGTGCTGAGCAAACGCGTAAAGGAGCATTTTATTTCATTTTTGGTGAATGATTGCTAATCCCATATGATTCTTACGACTCGTAACCGAATGAGTCTATCTTGACCAGTCTTATTAGCTAGACAAACAATCTTTTCCTTTTACCACGCCTTGAACATTCACTCATGAATGGATTTTTCAAGGCCTATCTCGAGTAGTCATAGCTAACCGTCTGGCACCAGAACAGATTAGAAATCTGCTCTCTTGTGGTGCGGATTCGAAACCTGTTGACATGCACAGTTCTTCGGAGGTTCGTCTAAACTTGGCCAGCAAGCGTCCCGGCCCAAGTGGTTAACACAACAGAATCAAAATCTGTTTCTCTCGTACTTCGCAGGTTCGAAACCTGCCTAACAACAGGGTTTTTTTCTATCGGAACACGCCTTGAAGATTCACTCACAGACAGTTCCTCGGAGGTTCATCGCAACTTCGTCCTCGCCGAAGTGGTTACCACAACGGAATCAAAATCCGTTTCTCTTGGACTACGCAGGTTCGAAACCTGCCGAACAACAGGGTTTTTTTCTATCGGAACACGCCCGGTTCCTCGGAGCAACTTCGCCCTGACTGAAGTGGTTACTGCAACATAATCAAAATCTGTCTCTTGGGTCGTACCAGTGCAGGTTCAAAACCTGCACAATGAGTTTTTTTCCATCCGAACACGCCTTGAAGATTCACTGATGAACAGTTCCTCAGAGGCGCATCTCAACTTCGCCCTGGCCAAAGTGGTTACTGCAACGGAATCGAAATCTGTCTCTTGGACTGACACTACTAGTGCAGGTTCAAAACCTGCCGACGAGGTTTTTTCTATTCAAACACGCCTTGAAGATTCACTGAACGACAGTTCCTCAGAGGTTCATCTCAACTGCGCCTTGGCCAAAGTGGTTACTGTCACAGAATCGAAATCTGTCTCTTGGCCTGTATCAGTGCAGGTTCAAAACCTGCCGACGAGGTTGTTTTCTCTCAGAACACGCCTTGAAGATTCAGTTATGGACATTGCCTCGGAGGTTCATTTCAACTTCGCCTGGCCAAAGTGGTTACTACAACATAATTGAAATATGTTTGTGTCGGACTTGCGCAAGCTCGAAACTTGCCGACGACAAGGTTTTTTTCGATTGGAACACACTTTGACATTCACTCATGGACGGATTCCTCGGAGGCTCATCTTAACTGATCTTAACCAAGTGGTTACCACAACAGAATCAAAATCTGTTTCTCTTGCAGTCGGTTCGAAACCTGCTGACAACATTTTTGCAGTGTATAGATCCTCAGAGCTCCGTCTTAACTTAGTAGGCCCAGTCATTGCGCCGAAACCTCCCTTTTATGTGATAGTCTGTCCATGAAATAGAATTCACCTTCACGCCTCGTGCGGATCGTCCCAGAAACATAAGGTATATCACTGAGATGTGTACGTGCCAACCTAGATTCTCGACGGACTAACCAAAACTGTCGGGATTCACCTCCAAATGAAACATTGATGGAGCTGGAGGCCAGAAGAATGCACGCAAGCTAAGGACAGAGTGAGTCTGATGGTCAGGCAGATGGCAGATGATGTAACCTCCCCAGCCTCGCTGAAGTCTCATCGATGAACACTCCTTCGGTCGTTGGCTCTTCCAAAGCGTCCGAGGATGATTCGGAAGCTAAAGGTAGGAGAATTGAAAGTGGCAGACCGAGTCATATCATTCTGATATGTGTACTAATTTGCATGCGCTCCTGTTTTGTGTTGATGCGGGGCGGAACATATTTTCGATTGCCATTATCAGCGCTCTGACCGACAGCGAGTGAGCGCGAGTCATCATAAGAAAATCATCAATCAAAATCAAATGATGGAGACTCGAAGCAGATCTACAGTATGGGTTGAACAATGTTCCGAATCCTAGAATAATGGAAAAAATTTGCTCAAAACCGAACCAAGGTACTCGGATGATTCGAAGGTGCACGAAGTCCTCTTACCTATTACGGATGTGTGATACTGACTAAGGGAGCGCGGCTGTCTGGCTTTCCATACTTCACCTGTTCAGGTGCATATGGTGTCCGGATTATGCGAGCTTTCTGATCAGTCAAGGGTAGCCGCAACGCGTAAAATCGTCGGCCATTGGCTGAAGAGCTTAAGCTTGCTACTCAAGTTATCAGACAAGTATATGGCATTGGTTCAAAAAGATGAGGCAATAATAATACATGATGTACGATCACCAGAATCCTCCATTTCCGAGAGAGAAACATGACGGAGCGAAATGGCGAAATGGCGAAATGGCGAAATGGCGAAATGGCGAAATGGCGAAATGGCGAAATGGCGAAATGGCGAAATGGCGAAATGGCGAAATGGCGAAATGGCGAGAAGCTTATCCTTGTGCCTTTAGTATTTAGCATCCTGCTGAATGAGTGCAGTTGCTTTCGCCGAGCGAGCCCGAATAGAGCACTTGAAAGGGTTGGGGTGGCTGCGAGTGCATCTATTCATACCAAAACCTTCAACGCGATAACGTGGGCGACATACCTGATGGTGAATGGTGAGGGGTCAACCTCGGGGGTGATCTCAACACCGTTCTCGACGACCTTGGAGATATCAAACACCGCCAATGACATCGCCGCGGATATCCAGATGGAGGATTCTGCGAGGAGGAGACCTGTACATCAAAGACAGGCAACGTCAGAATACTGCGTTGATCATCGATGCTTCTGCGAATTAGGGATACCTGGACAGATACTGCGCAGGAGAAAGTCAGTATTCCTCTCAAAGTAATTTCCATACTTACCGTCTTCCAAAACCGAAACAGATCGTCCGAGGCTCTGTCTCAGGCTTCTTTCCGTCATTGGCCAAAAAGCGTTCAGGGTTGAATTGTGAGGGATTAGAATAGGTCTCCGGGTTATGGAGCATGAACCTGGCACGATATACTGTGAAAATATCGAACACGGAACGAGCGGGGTACTAACCAAAGGTTGGGTATTATGATAGAACCTTTTGGAATGTAGTACCCGTCATGGACGTCGTCCTCAGTTACACGGTGGGGAAGACCTGTCATTGAGGACTGTTCGGCAACTAAAGAATGTAATAAACGAGGTACGCATACCGATAGGAGCGACAACATTCCAGCGCAGTACTTCTTTGACAAGCGCCTCGATATAGGGGAGGGAGGCGCGGTCGGCCAAGGAGGGAAGACGATCAGGACCAACAACGGCATCTATTTCAGCCTGAGCTTTCTTCTGCACATCAGGAAAAAGTGTCATGGCTAGAAAGAGCGAATATATTGCGGACACAGTCTGAGAAATCAGGCATTAGTCTCATTGACACACAATGACTGAAGTATGTGAAATATGTAGGGAGGGACCAACTGTGTCGGAACCACCGCCGTATAGAGCTTGAGCAGACCATCTTGCAATGTCATGTTCTTCCGCAGTCAGAGTTTGGCCTTCCAACATAGCGGAGGTGCATGACATTGGGGCATCGCCAGCAGCCTATAAAATTTAAACTTCAACCCGGATGACCGGAAAACTACGAATGTTAGTCACTATCTCATCTATGGCGAACTTGTAGGGCGCAGAAACCATCTCTTGGACAATCTCGTGCCATTCACGGGCTAGACGCTTGAAGCCAGCACCAGGAAGCCACTCAGGGACCTTGGCCACTAAAAAGATAAGGTCATTGGAACCAAACCATTTCGATGCTATAGCTTACAGAACGGAAGATAATCAACCATGAAGGCACCAGGAGTAGTGGTCTGTGAAAATGAATCGAGACCGCGTTCTGCAATATTGATAAAGGGATCGCTGCTCTCTTTCACTTCATAACCATAAGAGATGTACAGAATGATAGCGCCAGCGGTACTATAAAAAATCAAGATCATGTCAATGCAAGAATGAATTACATACTGTCGGATGTGTTCCTGTAATTGGTCAGGTGTTGTAAGCACACGCTTGAGGAATCGGTGAGTCTCGATCTCCATAATCGGCCTATAGATGTCCAATGCCGCACGGCTGCCAATGACGCGGTGGAGGTTCTTGCGGTACCGACGAAAACGGCCGCCGTAAGAGAGAAGAGGTAAACTGTCCTTGAAGCCAACCAGTTCGCCAGCCATGGGAAAAACAGGACGGTCAGAGTACACCGTGCTCTTGTTATCCAGCATGTCCATCGCAGTCTTGACAGAATTCAACACGATGGTGTGCTGACCCAGAACCTCGACGTGCGATATTTCACCTGCAGACCAGACTTTGAAATGCATGATTTATGGAAAACGAGGGACTTACCATAGATCTTGCCCCACTTTGTGAAGGTGAGCCAGGGCTTGACTTGAGGAATGTCTAGCACATTCCCAACGAGAGGCAACCCCGGAGGACCGGGTGGATATGGTGCAGGGTTCTTCTTTCTGAAGACCCGCATTAGCAGATATACTCCGATACCAACAAGACATATTGGGTTCAGCCAAGCGACATAGGTAAGCGTCAACATAGTTAACTAGCAGAGGTTGAAAAACTCAAGAACAAAGTCACGGTTGTGCAACAACTCTTATATGGTCGCTCAAACAAATGATATACCATGAATGGTCCCAGTACCCAGGGTAGGACAAGCCTGAGCCTGATGCATATGCATGACTCATTCAATTTGCTGTCATGCCAGTCTGATACCAACTTGTCTTCTAATCACTGTACCCTTGTTAGTGACACAAACTCCGAATTTATCAAGTGCTACTTACCAATGACCATTTCTATCTTCAAACTACAAACCTGAGGCCTGAATCATCGTGCCTGCTGTCCAAGTATTACATTCCAAGAAATACCCTTGTGACACAAGCTCCGAATGATATCCGAGTCAGACCGAATAGTAGACAAGTAATACTAGTATGTCCAATTTGACTTTCATCTGAATACTTACCACTCACCCAGGTTGCTCTTATCGCAGTTATCAACATGTGGTCATGGTGTTAGAAGTGGATGATCAGATCTAGAATCGAGTCTGCAATGACACTATTGAAGTTCCGCGATGACTCGATCCGACTTGCCACCGTTGTCCGCCACTGACACCGAAGCTCACAGCTGCCAGTGGCTCCGACCCTGCTCTATTCCTCTTTTCATATTCCAAAATAATTTGACTACCGGATCTCAAAACGAATGAGGTACAACTTCCTTGACAGAGGTCCAGCATTGTCTCTGAGCGCAGACACCAATTCCCATTCGGTTCGGAAACAGCCAAAATGGGTACCTCGGTGAGTGGGTTTTGGCCCCGATGTGCTGAAGGCCACGAGGTCTGGGGCCTGAAGCTTCCTGCCCCCCTCACTAGCCCTCCCCCAACTGTAAACTACCCTGCTGGTGGGTCACACTTACCGTATGTAACTGGCCGGTCATCGGACGCGGTTGCAACGGTCCTACACAGAACGAGAAGGTTGGCGCGGTTGGGTAGAGGTAGCCCCCTGATGAGAACTTTCGCAGATTCGAATCCGTTGTCATCCCCGCCACCTAGCGTCCATCTTGCCCCAGCTAACGGACCCTTATCCCAGGAGACGGGGTGTTAAGGACGTAGTCTGCCTCGCGACGCTCTACTGGCCGCTTCCGGCTTGGGCTTCGCTTTTCCAAGCAGCTTGCTATTCAAGACCTCAGTCACCGCTCGTCAAGCATCTCTTCTGGTCATTGATCCGACTCCACTATCACCTACTCTGCCTCCAATCACTCTAACGTTGCTTTCTTCAAGTTTCTTAACAAGCACCCATCGTGAAAGTCGCGCTGTACCGTATGGTTCGGCAACAAGATATATCCCATCGTGATCTATGTTTCTGTCTAAGGAAGACTCTGACAATGTGGCCGAACTCGATCCCATGGTCAACCTCTATTCCATGGCCAAAACTCGATCCTGTGACTGAACTCGATCCTGTTGCATCTCATAGTACCACCAAACAAGTTTCGCTGTTGCCCGTTTCCAGCCGTCTACACTTCAAAACCGGCTTCGGAGGGTTGGATTAGGTTGGATTGGAGGGGCAGAGATATGGGTCGTGGTAGAGTCCAGGAGCGTCAGACCAAAAGTTTCCCATCCTACGCGCTCAAACGGGCGACGACTGAGATATAAAAAAAATCGATGGCACTGGGAAGTTCTGACATTAACGAAGCCTGCGGATCCGCAGTTTAATGTTTGAGAGACAAACTTCGCGATGCTAATATAATGATGCACTCAGCACGATAAGTTTGTCGTGAGCTGTTGGTGAAGTAGCCGGAGGTAGCTACCGTGCGTAAAGCTTGAGGTGTCACTCAATGAAAAGAGAGCCAAAATACTTGGGTGTGCTCTTGATCATGAGGCGTGAGGTGTCAGACAGGCGGATTGCCAAGTAGACCGCAATAGTCTTTGATTTCAGAGCATGCACTGTCAACATGGAACAAGAAAACAATTGTATCGATATGTGACACCACAGTCAATCCTGCACTGTGATGCAAAGTTCAAACTATGACAGACCTAGATGTCAGATGTGAAAATCGCCACCGACAATAAGTATTTATGTCAGCTTCGTATTTCATCATCACACGCTTAGTAGTTAGCATCTTGCTCAATGAGCGCGACGGCTTTCGAAGAACGAGGCTTAATGGAACACTTGAAGGGTTTTGGGTGGCTAGAAGGGTATCTATCGGATCAGCGCCGGGCGTGATCAGATATGTAACATACCTGATCGTGCCTAATGATGGATCAACCTCAGGGGTGATCTCAATACCGTTCTCGACGGCCTTAGAGATGTCGAACACAGCCAGTGACATCGCGATAGATAACCAGGTGGAGGCTTCAGCGAAGTGGATAGCTGTAAACGAAAAGTAATCGAGCGTCAGAATACAATCTCGGAGTTGGGCATACCTGGACAAATACTGCAGAACAGAAAGTTAGCATGGCACAACAACCTACTACAAACTTACCGTCTTCCAAAACCGAAGCAGATCGTGCGGGGCTCTGTCTCGGGCTTCTTTCCGTCATTGGCCAAAAAGCGCTCAGGGTTGAATTGCGAAGGGTTAGCATATCTCTCGGGGTCATTGAGCATGAACCTGCCATTATATTCTGAAGTTCAAACATTGAATATGAATAGAAGAGGGTACCAACCAGATGTTAGGTAGAACCATGGAACCTTTTGGGATGTAGTACCCGTCATGGATGTCGTCCTCAGAGGCACAGTGGGGAAAACCTGGCATTGAGATACCGTTCGACGACTTAATAATGCGTTAAACGAGATGCACGGACCGGTAGGGATAACAGTATGCCATCGTAGGGTTTCTTTGGCAACTGCTTCAATGTAAGGAAGAGAGCCTTGGTCGGTGAAGGAGGGAAGGCGATCAGGACCGACAACAGCATCTATTTCAGCCTGAGCCTTCTTCTGCACATCAGGGAATAGCGTCATAGCTAGGAAGAACGAGTTGATAGTAGCAACAGTCTGAGGAAGGAAATGTAGTGTTCTTAGAAGATGATTATTAGAAATATGGAGGGAGGACCAACCGTGTCAGAAGCGCCGGCATATAGAGTTGCAGCAGACCATTTTACAATATGCTCGTCTTCCTTTGACAAAGGACTGCCTCTCAACAGCTTCGAGGTGAAAGACTCCGGGGCAATGCCAGCAGCCTGGGAAAGTCAAAGTTCAACGCATACTCGCAAAGCTACATATGATGGTCACCATCTGATCGACGACGAATTTGTATGGTCCAGAAACCATTTCTTCGAGGGTGTCATGCCATTCGCGGGCCACGCGCTTGAAGCCAGCACCAGGGAACCATTCGGGGACCTTGACCACTAAAAATAGTGAGGCGATTGGAAGTAAACGTCTGAATGCTATGTCTTACAGAATGGCACAACATCAGCCATGAAGGCGCCAGGAGCGGTGGCACGCGACCACTGTTCCACAGCGCGGTCTGCAATGTCAACGAAGGGGTCGTTGTTCTCTTTCACCTCATAACCATGAGAGATGCGTAGAATGATAGCGCCAGCGGTGCTATAACAATCAAGATTTTGTCGATGTAAAGATAAATGGTACATACTGTCGAACATGTGCCTGTAGTTGATCGGGTTTCGTGAACACACGCTTGAGGAATCGGTGGGTCTCGACCTCCTCGACCTGGCTATATTTGCCCACAGCGGCACGGGTGCCAATGACGCTGTGGAAGTTTTTGCGTTGCCGGCGTAAACGGTCGCCGTAAGGGAGGAGAGTCATAACGTTTTCCCAGCCAATAAGTTTGCCACCAACAGGAAAAATAGGACGGTCAGAGTATATAGCGCTCTTGCTGTCCAGCATGTCCATCGCAGTCTCGACAGAGTTCAGCACCACGATGTGTTGACCCAGAACCTCGATATGCGACATATGACCTGCAGATAAGACCCTGAAATGCAAGATTGTGGCAAACGAGAGATACTCACCATACTTCTTGCCCCATTCCGTGAAGGTGAGCCAGGGCTTGATGTGGGGCATGTCCAGGACGTTCCCGATGAGAGGCCACCCCGGAGGACCAGGGGGATATGCAGGGTTCTTCAACTTGTTGAATACCTGCTTAAGCAGATACGCTCCGACACAAGCAAGACATAGGTCGAGCCCAGTGGCGTTGGTAAGAGTCAACATGGTCTAGTACTAGTAAGAGAGGACGATCGACTCAAGAGGGGGACGGATGTAGTGGAGCTTGAAGGATTAAATAACAAGAGTCCTGTCTGCGGACCGTGTTCAATTTATGACCAAACTCAGGTACTTACCTTTCTTGCGCCCATCACGAACCCTTGATCATCAATTTGATTGGATCTCAGTGGAAACCTACAGGTGACAGATTGAGTCTTATAAGACTCGAAGGAAGTCAATGATGGTAAGTACCGTTTCGTACGATTTCACCTATAAGATACTGAACACCGGTGACGAATTCCTCAGTGGACTCCTTGACCAGGTAGCTAGGCAGACCCTTGTACATGGCAAATGGTAAAATAGCCGCAGAACGGTAATTAGCAGAATGGCCGCACTGGATCTAACGGCAGTTGGCAGAATGGCAGAAGTTGTATTGTCACACTGATGGTCTGACAAAAATATTTCTTACTATATCGAGGCTACACCTTCTGATGAGTGGAATGTCCCATCATCCATGCCGCATGTTGCAGGCCTCGATTAAGTACGTATACGTCATTTCTCATCAGAAAAACTACATATTACTTATAAGCAATGTCTAAGTCCCGAACAGGGTTTTCCGCAGTCCGTCTATCGAGTCGTCGACGGCTTGCCTCATTAGACGGGCTCTAATAAGAGCTGTTGCACAACTTTGTTCTTGACCTCTGCTAGTAAACTATGTTGACGCTTACCTATGTCGCTTGGCTGAACCCAACATGTCTTGTTGGTATCGGAGTATATCTGCTAATGCGGGTCTTCAAAAAGAAGAACCCTGCACCATATCCACCCGGTCCTCCGGGGTTGCCTCTCGTTGGGAATGTGCTAGACATTCCTCAAGTCAAGCCCTGGCTAACCTTCACAAAGTGGGGC